AGCTGTAGATCATATCGCTCGCATTAATTAGATTAATGTAACCGTAATACATTCCATTAAAGCCGGGACTGCCAACCGTTTAATAAATACTGACTTGGCAGTGGACGGCGCTGCAAAGAAGTCGATAATACATGTAGATAATTAACTAATGTCTTTTTATGCGTACTATGAATAAAGATAAAAACGATAAAGGCTTAAATCACTTCTATATTATCGTGTTTTTTTACAATAACCGACTGGAAATATTATCCCGATCTTAAAGCAATAACGTGAATCGTTTAATTAATCGAGTGGATATTTTATAATATCGATGACTTTTCAATATTAATTTTACGCAGTATTATTCGAACGAATATATATATGATAGGATTTCACGTGCAAGAAACTCGCAGACTTTTAATTCAGATTTATAAACTAAAATCCGATGAAATATAATTTGATTGAAATTCAAACTATTTCTATCGAAAGCTTTTATTTTTTCATAAATAAAAGTGTGTTTTACCGAATTTTCATAATGTTCTATTTTCACATGCTATTTTCATGACTCTCATGAGAAAAGAAATTTTTAAAAGGTGACACACAGAACTAGAATATGAAAATAATCGTGACGTGCAATAACTAAATATTTTTAAAATAAAGTGGACATGTATTTTTTCTTAATTGGCGTGCAATTATTCAAGAAAGCACAACGAAAGCAAATACCTCAAATCCGAGTACGCGTCATAAAAAATCATTATATTAATTAATAATAGAGCAATTTTTACTGAGAGTCCTGTGGATGGCAGTCCGGGCACACATCTTTGCTGTGCCAATGCAACATCTCTTTTATGTACATAATAATTGTAATTCTAATTAATCTTAGATTAAATAATTAAAATCGTGCTCTAAGTTAAGCGAAAATAAACGTGTAACATTTATCTTCTCTCTCTCATTGATAAAATTACATTTATTTATCATCAATTAGGAAGAATTTTTCAGATTAATGTGTTATTCAGTTTTGGGAAACATATACGTGATGTCGTATGCTCTGGACAACTTTTATGATATTTTTTCAAAGGCAATAACACTTTTTTTAAACAAAAAAATCTAAAAATCTATTAGTAATTATTTTGATATCTCATGCAACATATATAAAAATATATGAAAATAAACTATACTACTATTTGCAGCTTATTATATAATGCAACGTGTTTAAAGATCACAGGATGTGTTCTCGTTATCAATTTTTGGGTCAATTTAATTTCGATAATATTTCTCCCTTCAAAAAAAATTGGTAAGCAAGGATAATTTTTTCTGAATATAATGATATAATAATTAATTAAGTCCCGGAAGAAACTGTTCTGAAAAAAATCTCTAACATCCCAACTGAAAAAAAATTGTATATCTCTTCATATATTAAATAAATAATTTTATCTGAAATATTAATATTGATGATATGTAAATGAATGTAAAAGACGCTATCTGCGAATGATCGAGTTAAAATATTTCAAAATATTGCGAAAAATGAGGCACTCATTGATGCCATTTTATGGCTGAAAAAAAGATTTTGTAGATAAATAATTCCTCGTCACATCTTCCCAAAGCTAATAATGCGTGCTCTAATAATTATATATATATATATGTAATTTCCATATAAATAGTATATATTATAATTACAACACGGCACAACCATACGACATGTAGCGAGTAAGTTTATCATTGTGCGCAGGATAACGATCCACATTTAACTTGTACCTTCCCCAAATTGCGTGCGTAGTATGCAAATTAATAGTGTAACTTGCGTACTATGCATATCTAATATATTAGTATACTTTGTACAATAATGCTCGTTTTATGGGAGGACGATATAATGATTAAAGGAAGCTTCGTTTTCACGTGTATTCAAGATCAACGCGTTATTCTTTAACGACTACTTTGGGTATTACTTTTATTGCGCGACATTTTATTATTTCTATAAAAATATATAGGCTATTTTCTCTCCCCCTTTTCTTCCTCCTTTTTTTACAAAATTGTATTTTCTAATGCGTCAATTTACCAGCGCGAGTCGGAGCTATATATATGATATATATATATATATATATATATATATATATATATATATATATATTTATAGTTCCATTTATATTGTAAGTTTCAAAAAACTTGTACAATACATGAATAATCAATAATAAATCAATAATAGAAGCTTGTGAATTTCAAAATCAAAATAATTCGGAGTTGAAGATTATTTAGCTACATCGAGTTATAATTTTATGTAAATCAAAGAGGACGAGATTTCTCAGAGATGAAAATGAAAATAATTCATTCCGCTCTTCTGTACATAAGCATTTTTTTACAAAAATATAAATTACAAAATTTATACGTATATACATGAATATCGGTGTCGCATTCGATAGATCGTATTCGGTAGATTCGTACCTCGATAGAGTATTCTGGAGAATATCGTCGAATATCTTTCTAATCCGTCCGATCCTCGGGTCGATCCTTGGAGAATCAAGTTTCTCGCGTACAATATTACAAAAATGTTACAATATTACAAAGACACTCTTAAAAAATACTATTAAAAAACACTTTTAAAAACACTTCGATAACACGACGAGATATTTCAAAAGGACTAATTAAAATGAGGCTCTAGACGCAGTACAGCCAACCTTTAGAAATTGGACTGTTCCCTGGATAGTTTCTAGGAAACTTTTAACCCCCCCATACTCATTTCCCGCCTTTTTCAGAACTAGTGGAAAAAAGCTAGGCGGGATATTCTAGAGATTTTGAAAACGGACATTTATTCTTTCGCCTTTTCGCGCGCTCGGAATTGATGAATCCGTTTGACAGACGCTTCAAATCGTTTGATATTCTTGTGTGAGTAAAAGAACGTGTTGTTCTCTCTCCTACGTTAACGAAAGGAAATTGAGTTTTTTAAAATTACTATGCTAAAAAGTTTTACAATTAAAAAGAAGAGTCAACTGTCATCCATGTTTGATATAAATATTCTTGTATATATAATTAACTATTCAAATATATAATATTCCAATGAAAGATATCCTTGAAACTAGAAAATTTTATTTTAATCATGCAATTTTAATTTCTCAATTTCTATCTTGAGTAATATCTGGATTTACTGTCGCAAGAGCGAATTAAATTAAACTGAATGAAACCTGGCATTCGCATGTCAAAATAATTAAAATATAAATCTCGACGATGCGATTATATTCATATGGATTTAAATTAGTCATTGCGGGATTTTCTTTTGTACGAGGAGCAAGGAATGTGTGCATATTTTCCTCTATATACGATGTTACATAAGATTATATTTTGCCACTTTCTCTTCTGCAGTGTTCTCTCAGCAGGCTGGACCCACTTTTCAAAATGTGATAAAATGCTTGTCGTAATAATACATTATTCGATTCCTCTTTCACTTTTTGTTTTACGATTTCGTCCTTACGATGCTCGATCGGTTTATTTAATTAGCGTTTGCCATCGGTCCTAAACAGTCTCTCAAATATATAACAATCGAAAGAAGGCGCATACATAAACGCGCTGTCACAAAATTTATAAACTACTCACGATAGCCAACTAATGATCCTTCTCTCTCCCGCTCTTTTTCTTTTCTTTTTTCTTTTTTTTTCTATCAATAATAATAAAAACAGAACCAGTTAAAAATGATATCGAATCACTCATCGCGATCTATCAACAGAAAATAATATCTCTTTCTCTCGCGCGTGTCCTTTTACTGGCACCTTTAAATATAGATTATGAAAAGGTCCTGCGCTTAGAGACGGCAAAGTCTCGTTCTTGAATATCCGAAGAAAAGGAAACGTTGTTCTGACAGGCTGCTAGAAAATGTAAATTCACGAATGCCTCAAGTTAAAAATCATACAATGTATATATGCCATCTTTTTCGCGACGAGATACTCTAAAACAGGAATCGCTGCGAAATCCGAAGGCGTGACTCCCACTCCCTTTTATTCATTTATAAATGTAATTTCGCACAAGCAAAAATACTACTATAACTGATTAAATATAAACTTGACAGGTTTCCTTTAATCTTGTAAATACATTGTCCCCGAAAGCAATTGCGAATTCATTAACAGAATTGCAGCTGACCCCAGATATTTGCTACGAAAATAGAGAATGAGTTTTAAATATACTTTTGCATTTTTGAAAATATCCTTCGTGTCTTTTTCAGTCACAATTGTCCCGCATCGCATTCGGATCTCGCGACATCCCGTAAATATTTCAGGTAAAAAATATCGCAACTTCTCACTGTGTGTGGTATATTCAAAAGACCGAAATCCTTCATTTAACATTCATTTCGACATCATACACACACACACATACACACAAATACATTCTCTCTTTCTCTCTCTCTCTTTCTTTTCCACTCTCGTTTTCATATTTAATGCACTCATACGCTTTGCTCTTCTATTCAACTTCTCATTGCCTTTTCGTGGCGTACGAAAAAAAAAGTGCTTGACGCCGGTTAATTGGAAAACGAAAACAAGAGTAATATAATTTTTTCCGGCTGTCGTGAATGGGAGCACAGCGAACATTGTGCAAAGTAACAATCTGTGTCTATCATTGTGATATTAATTAAATTGAAGCCTCTCTCAACTAGGCTTTTGCAGATATCTGTGAAACGCAATATTATTTTAAATTTAGATCGAGAGATCTTTTTCTTTTTTTTTCAAAAAATAATCTAATTCGAGATGCATAAAATATATTCCCGAGTCTTAAGATATTAATCTTGAATTATGTACAAGATTGTGTATGTGTGCTACATATTCGATAAATTAATTTTAATTTATTTATTGATTTAAATATAACCGAAATAATTTTAAATCTTTCCAACATGCATTCAAGTTTGTTATCCTGCACAATGTTTCTTCATCGTAAATTTAAATACGTATTACATGTACGTATATCTATATAAATGAAATTCTATATTTCATATATAAACTAATATTTTGTTTCGGTTTATGATTTAATAATAATTAATAATATTAATATATTAAAAATAAGTGTGATTCGTATTTTTACGATAATTACATGTAATAAATGTTTGCAGCATCTGTCCATTTCTGCGTGTGTGTGTGAGAGAGAATCATTACGTTCTTACATATAATATATATGTATACGCATATGTGTGTCTATGAGCTTACATAATTATGTTTGTAAAGTATTTACAATTGCAGAAGGGTATGATCGTTATTTTGTAGGCACTATGGCTTTGGACGTACACTAAGTTGTACGTTAGAGTACATCCTTAAGGGAGACTTCCAGACGAGACAATTTTCCCAGTGTATTCTTGAGCTCTCGAGAAACAAGAAGATATATATTTCTACGCGAATCTCGCTCAACAGAACTAAATTCCAGGACCGCGTTTTTCTCGACAAGATTCAAGTGTTCACCGGTAAGAGAAACTTTTTCTCTCCTTTTCTCTTTCTCTCTTTCTTTTTGAAAATCCCCATAATCAGTTCCAGAATGAGACTGATGTGTCCTGAATGTGGATCTTAGACGATAATCGTTAGAAAATCGGAATTAAATACGCATTCGAATATAAACGATATAGCCTAAGATCTTCCATTTTTTTACACTCTCATATTACATTTCCAGTTTATCTTCATTCTTTGCCATATATCGATGAAAAGAAACTAATTAGCATGTGACCTTTCTAATCGACTAATAACATAATCGCTGTAACAATAATCACTGGTCATCGCGTTCCATTTCGCTCCCATCCAATAAAGCAATGTACTGTAAACAGGAAAACGACTTCAATACTCGTTACGATTGCCAAGAACTCGACCAATTATCAAAGTACGCGGAATAAAAACTACTGTACTGTTGAACAATTTGTCAACGAGGTAATATGCATTCGTCATATCTTACAAAATCATGCATCATCCAGATGACAGTCTTTAATCTTGAATATAATTTAAAAATTCCGTGTCCTAATGACACGAATGATAAGAAGAGACCGCCATCCGGATAGTCATCTCGTGTATTTTGCTCTTTTTCTCTTCTCGCCCCACTTGAGACTCTTACACTAGAAAAAGCTTGATGGCTCTTGATCCTCTTATTCGTTTCACGGGCAACTAAGTAAAGCAATTAGATCGTTGTCCGACACAGTCTCTCTTCTCTAAATTCCCGAATACATTCTCTCTTTTCTATATCTCTTAGCTCAATTTATAATATTATTACAGATTGCACGAAAAAACGCCTTCGCTCTCTTCAAACGCACCCCTTTCTCTCTGTTCAAAAGTTTTCGCGATCCATTCCGCAAACGCGATCGATGCAGATCATCGATCAAGCCGGAAATACGTGTTAACAATGTCGTGATATGTTTTTCGTGTGCCTCATCCGGTTCGGTTTCCTCTACATCCAGAATTTGCGATCCGAAAAAAAGCAATTAAAACGACATTCCGAAACAAAAAAAATATGTATATGCGAAGAAAAAAATCTCGAGAATATTAAAATATTCCGATGGATCCATAACAATATTGCATTTTGTAATTTCTCCATGGAACAGATGATGGATCAACTAGTAAAATCGTTCACGGAAACATATAATCTATTCTATATAATTTTTGTATTTATATCTATCATTGGTTTCTTAAGAAGGCGACAATATTTAACAAATTGCATCATGCGTGCGTGCTTAATCATTTCGTTACTGTGCTTGTACACAGTAATTAACCATACGCATAAAACGTGAATCACTTTTTAGATCAAATAACGTTTGCTCGGCGAAGCAGTAAAAATAAATAAAAACGACTTTGCATGTTTGCGATTCCTTGCAAAGATCGACGCGCGGAAACAAAAGTGCCAACCACCTATTGTCTAACACGAAGGAGCATTATAAAACTGACAAAGCAGTTTTTCATCCACGTTTGAGTACCAAACTCAGAGTAATAGCCCAAAATAGATAAGAATGCTCTTGCGCTAGTGACGATATTCCTAGAATTTGAAATCGAAGAGATCCGATAGACCCTCCTCGGTGCCTAACGAGAACGAGTAGTCATTTTCAGAGAGAGGCGGCTCCAAACTCAGCAGTTGCTCTCCAAAATCGAGAATCGAATTCAGATCTGTAACAAAAGTGAGAAGGATGATGGACTTGTTGCAATATTCAAATCCATCCAAATTTTTTAAATTCCTTTTTCACAAGCAGATTATTGAGATGCATCACTTTTATTTTGCTTAGATTACTTGCAAATAATTATTCGAGAGAATAATTCTGAAAGCTTGCTGATCATCTATAAAAGATTCTACATAAAAGATTTTATATTATGTTTGAAATGCATAGCAAGTATCTTGTATTTTATTGCAATTTGTCATTGTATATGAAGGGTTAAAGAATATAATTGATGCATGTTGTTAGTTTCTAAAATTATAAATATGTTAAGAGCAATTTATCAAAGACGCGTCTACAAGCTTTTATTAAATTAATTTTAAAAGTAATGAATGCAGCAAAATGTTTCTGTATAACACATTTAGTCATGTCGTAGGAAAATTGCCATTTATGATATCAAAATGAAATTATTGCAAAATTCGGGTCGATCGTATTGATTTCCAAATTGCATATAAGTTTGCATATAAATTGTGTGTTGAAGACAATTACAAAGACTCTTTGCAAGGAAATCTTTGTCTTACGTTTGTATATTGATCACATGATTGTAATATTACATAAAGTATACAATAAAGACAAGCCAATAGTTAGTGTAAATAAACGTACCTTCGCACGACACGAGCTTTGCTGTTTGAAACCGTTACCTAACTAGAACTCTGCCTGTGATGTGATTTTAATACTTTTAACACACAAGTCACAGCCAGAGCTCCATCAGGGTACGGTCATCATCCATTGGTGAAAAGGTAATATAGAAATATTCAAAAGAAAGGTAATACGAAAATTGTATTAAATTATATGTATTGAAATATCTAATTTTCCTCGTTGCCTTTCCTTTGAATAAGATTTAATCAACAGTAAGTATTAAGATTGTAACATGCAGTACGTTCCTTTCAAGTAAAAAAATATTGATTGTGAAAATAATCTTAATAAATAAATTTTAATAATAATCTTATTAAATAATAATAGATTATACATGGTGTTTGTTTCGCAAAACTTTTAATAAAAAAAAGAACGTATAACATGTTGAAAATATATTTTTTGATAATACAAAGACGAAAATGTTTAGAAGTAGTTTTATTAAAAAAAAAAAACAAAAAAAATACAGCTATATAACTTACTAGATTAAGCAATTAAACTAAATAAAGCATTAGAAATTTTGTGCAAGTAAAATAAAAAAGAGAATTAGTAAAGAAAAGAAGATATATATAGAATATGCAATAAGAATTAAAAGCACATTTGTTAAAATGTTGATAGGAAAATATATGCATCTTCCTAAATGAACATTGCTCAATTCTTTAACTGCCTGTTATAAAACAATATTATATAGTTTGACAATTTATACAGTTTTTCAACATTGTATAGTTGAATAAATTTCTTAATATTTTTAGAAATATGAATATATTTTAAATAGATAAAAAAAAGATAAAATAATATATTTATAAAATATATTATTGGATTTTAGAATATTGTTTAATAACACGAAATATTATATAAAAAAAAGAAATTTATAATTTATATTTTTTTTTACTTTCAACACAAAATTGCATATTTAAATATATAATTTAAATTTTCGTAATTTAACAATATATTGTGTATATAAAATAATAAAATGAAATTTTTAAAAATACACATACGGGGAAATAATATATTGATAAAATAAAAGATATGAGAGAGAGAGAGAGAGAATTATAGTTTCCCCGAATAAAAAAATATTAAATACAAATTTATAAAGAGAAAAGTATAAGGAATATAAAGGATAGAAAAATATAAATTAATCGATACCTAAAATAGAATTTAATAAAAAAAACTACTTTTTTCCCTATTTTTTATTATATACTGCTCTCTTTTTAAAATTATTTTAGCAATTGTTCTATTTATAATAAATTAGCTATTTAGAATACAAAGAAAGCTACCCATTCAAGCAAGCTAAATTAATCAATACATTAATTCCTTGTAGTCCTACCTGAAGTACTGATTTGATCCTCTGTTTGTAGTTGGAATTTGCCACCGCCCATTGGTCCATAATCGTCAGATTCACATAAGAACGCATCCTTCATGCCTGTTATATTGGTAACTGTAGTTACAGGGGTACACAGACGAGTATTCATAGAACTCTCATCGGAAGGTACTGATTCGACTCGCACGTCGCTTTCTTTCTTAACCAACAATTCAGGAGACAAACAAGGTATGTCAGACAGTTCTTTTGATTGAGGCACAGTTTGCGTTGTCGCATATCCGGAATAAGGTGACGTTTTAACTGCCGGATCGTCAGGACACAAAAACACTTCTATCTCTCCGTGTTGCGACCTCATGTGTATTTGAAGCTGAAAGTAAATATTGCATGTTTTTTTTTAAAAGAAATAAAATATATATAAATTTACAATATCAAAAAGAGCATAAAATAAATTAATAATTATATATAATGATATAAAATAATTATATAAATTCTCAACATTAAAAAATAATATAAGATACAATATAAACAATATAAAACACTTTATTCATATTTTACCTTTTGTTGACCAAAGTTATTGATAGGTTGTGGGACATGGAGGGTAGCTTCCGGCGGGGCTTTCACAGCCATAATAGCTTGGTTTTTGTACATTGAAACTGAACGTAAATCGTGATACGTTACATAAGCGTATTGTCTGTCCGCGCAGAGCTCGCGTAGAGACGTATCAGCACCGTGGATCAATCGGTCAAGTGAATTCTCTTTAGCTTCCAGATCCGCGACTTCTCTTCTCAGATTGGCGATATCATTCCGATTATTTGGTAATTGACCGCCTCTGAAACAAGTAATTTATGCCACGTTTATAATCTTTGATTTATCGATGTCATCGGCAAAACGGCAAAACATAATAATATACTAGCAGATAACGTACTTCCACTGGATATTGTTTTTACTTTTCTTCTCTAAGATACCAATGCCCTCTAAAACATTAGTAATGTCGTATATACGACGTTTTTGTACCTCCAACTTCTCTGATGCTACATTCAAGTCGACCACACCATCCTGACTGCTCTCAACTAAGTGGATAAACTTCTTTGTGAGTAAACTCAAAGAGGTATCATATCGTGTCCTTTCTACAGTTTTGGCTGCAATAAATCCGTCTTTAAACGACACGGAAAAGAGAAACGTGAAGAAAGGTCACGAAAAAATATAAACAAAATTTACTTTTGGTGGGTGTATGACCAGTTAGAGAATTCGAACCGGATCTTCTACGTTTACCTCTGGGAGCTTTGAAGGCAGACTGGCTGGGACCAGTTGTCCCTACCTCCAAATTCAGTCTTCTTTTTACCGCTTGAACTGATATCTATCAAAAAAAAAAAAAGAAACAAACTGCAACTTTGATCAGTCAACTCTTATGCTAATGCAATACCTTTAAACATATTGCATATTTACATTTACATCAAGATTATTAAAAATAGAAATTTTATCTCACCAATGGTCACCAATGTAACCATCGTAGCCATTCATTGATCAGTTTACCTCAGTTCTTGGCGGTGGTTGTGTGGGTTTCCTCGTTATTTGGTAACAAGGTGTTTGTCCGTATTGATGATCTTGTAAATGAGGGCTCGGTGTTTCTTCCGCCACCTTTTGTGGCTGGACTTCATCCAAGGATCCATCATCCAGAAACTCAGACTTTACTATAAAAAGATATCTGAATGAATTAATCCGAAAGAGGCTAGTGATAAAAAATAGTATGAGAAATTTGAATATATAAATTCTGTTACAAGTAACATACACAATTTTGTTTCCGCCATGTCTGGTGTAACGGGCCTAGCTGGATCCTCCAGGATCACTTGTCTCCTTACTCGAGGCATCTTGGTACAATGATTGTATCTGAAACAATAATACATGTATCAAAAATTTGAAAAACTGTCAAGTTGCAAAGTCAGACTTTCGTGCTCTTCAATATAAAATTCCTCAAAATGCAACAAGTGATAAACAACAAGAAGCCAGAGAATAACAATAATACGATAGCCTGCAGCAGTACCATCGATATTTCGAGGGATGTTTGAAAGAGACTAAGGTCAAGACAAAAAAAAAACGTACATACGTATCACAATAAAATAAAATAAATAAAATTTAACGCGGAGCAAGTTACACGTATAACAAGCTTTTAACGCACTAATTGGACGCAAATCGGCACAGATTGACGCGATTAAACATTCCTGGGCTGCGTTCGGAAACATCACCCGAATGCCCCCCCGGGTATCATTTTTACCCTTGTTGTTCACTGAATGTTAAACAAGGATAAAACGATACCCGAGTACACTCGGATGATGTTTCCGAACGCAGCCCTGATGGGACACAGCTCTCGGCTAACGCAAATTCCCCTCGACGTGGAACCGACACGTCGGGCAATATTCGAGGAGGCGAGGAGAGAAAAGGACCGGCGCGGACAGACCTATTTCTAAACACGCTCCGCATCTTCGCCCGCTAACCGCTGCTGCTCGCCGCGTGCGTGGAACCCGCCGTCGATGGGTTACACGCGGGTGAGGCGGCGGCGAGTGTCATTTTTAAATCCCAAGGTTCTCTCACGGGGGAGGCAGACGCGCTCGTGTTGACACGAGAAGAGCGACCTCATCCGCGACATCGGAACGACTACGAGTGCTACGTGCACCGCGAGCAATAGCGGAAATAATATAAGGGCGAGCGCGCCGCGTCAAGTAACTATACGCGCGACGTATTAGCATCTCTCTCTCTCTGACGGAAGGCGCGTGTGCTTAAGTCGGACGCGCACGAGAGTCGTAGTCGCGAAAAAAAGATTAAGAGGGAATTTTTAATTTTCGCTCCCTCGTTTTTGAGAAATTTCAGAATTAACGAGATGCCACGGGGTATTTTTACACCTGGATAATTCCGCGAGATCTTGCGAGGGTGAAAAAAATCTTGGCGAACAAGAGATTTCCCTTTGCGCTTGAAGAATTTAATTTTCAAAAACGACTCATTAACTTTCTATTGCCCTCGATAAATAAATAAATAAATAATCGATTCGTTTCATTCGCATATTTTGTGAATGAATAATTTGACATTCTTGGAAATTTACAATGAATATCGCACGTTAAATATATATGTAATAATAAATGAAATAGAACTTACATATGCATTTTCAATAAATTCTACAATTGCAATTTTTCATAAATTTTACAATACAATGCTGGTGTATATTTTAAGCATAAAAGAGATTATACGTTTATATTTTGATAATAATTCCGTGAAATCTAGTGGAAATAAAAAAAGTGAAATTAACGATTTAACAGAGGAATTCCTTTTTTTACAATGATATTTCAAGAATTTGATTTTCAAAATAGCTTATCGAGCTTTTATTTCGTTCTGGGTACAACAAATAAATAAATAATTGATAAATATATATAAATAATAAATAAATAAACAAATAAATAATTGATATCTCTAACATATTTTGTGAATGAATAACTAATTTGTAACATTTTAAAAATCTACATTGGCGAATATATATCATACATTCAATATGCATATAATAATAAACAAATAAAATAGAATTTTCACGCACATAAGCTCAATGTTTTCAATAAAAAAATCATGATCAATTTTAATCCTTGATTATTCAATCTCAAAGTTCATTCAGAACAGCTGATCGATTAGTTATCTTTTAAAAGGCATAAAGTAACATTATTTCATCATCATTATTATCAAAATATTTATTGACAAGTTTGAAATTGTTGATAAAGAATTGTTGTTAATCAAGATCTGATCAAAATTTTCATTTCCTGCCAATAATGCAATTATATATAATTATTTTTTCAGGTTTACAATAAGAATTTATGTTTAATGTATAATTTTTTAGAATTGAAATTTAAACAATTTTCTACATTTGTACATTAATTTGCCCGTCAATTAAAGTTATACGCTGTTTATTTATTAGACGCTATAAATAAACAGATTATATTATAGATTTTCTTGATCAATAACAGATTAACATTGTCGACAAATTTTGTAAAAGATAATATTTATGTGATTTATCAAGTGTACTTTCTTCTACACAAGTTTGAATATAAAAATAACATGCGAGATATATAATTAATATTAATAATAATTAATTTAAATAGTTTCAATATAAAATTAATTTTAGAGAGAGAGAGTTTTTCTCAACGTTTTCTAAACACTTGACACATGCCTAAAAATGAACCTACAACTGTACTCGAGGAATTTTTTGAAAGGAAAAAAGAGCAAAACATTTTTACACGAGATCGTTCTGGGTGTGGTTTGAAAAGATAGCACAAGGATTGTGCAAGCTCGAAAATGTCATGTACTCTTACATCAGATATACTGTTATTTTAATTTATCAAACTCTCTTGGATTATATACATATCTAAGAAATTTAACTTTCTAGAGATAACAAGGCAACTTTTCATTCGTGTAAATATTTTACACACACAATAATAATGTATATTCGGATCTAGTGGTTGTGCGCGCAATTAAAATATTACTTTAATATTTAACGAGGATACATATTCGATTTTATTAGCGCACTCCGATTATGACTAGACCGAGAAAAAAGCCTAGGGAAGAAATTACACAAAGAAGAGCGCGTTGGAGCAACCCGAGATCCTTCAGCCGAATCCACATGAGTTGTCGGAATCTCTCTAGGCAAGCGAGGCATTGCGATTCGCGTTTCGAAGGTTGGGAGCAATGCACGATGTAGAGTCGCATTGATTGGTCGCGGCCGTTTCATCTCGAGGACAAATCGCGGTACGAAAATCGAACAAATTCCGGAGCAGCAAACGGGGAGGATCGATTGACGCGATTGTCAAGCTGACAAGACGATCAGCTTGTCCACTTTCAACACTTTTTTTATCCTATCGCGCGAAAAATGAAACCGCTCGATCGCGCTCTTGTCCGTCATTGGTCGACACGAAAGGGATGGTCCGCGGTCAGCTGTGCGTCTGACAGTTGGCAGAATCGACGTCGGGAATGTAAACCGTCCTTGTCGACAGACGCGAACTATTTCGAGAGAGAAGTCTGTATATATTTTCCATGTTTTTCTTTTACTAATCATTGCTAGCGGTCGACTGCGTCTTTAATATGTCAGGGAAACGTCAGAGAAAAAGAACGTGCGCTTTACGAGTGCAAACGTGACACGTCTCGTGTCCACGAGACTCGGGTAACCAGATGCGATAACAGAGAGTCCCCCTCTCTCTCTCTCTCTCTTTTGTCAGTTCTTTTATTTCACTCTTCCGCTCTCGAAGCAGAATTTTGAATCATTGCCGCGATACCGCTTCCCTTTAACGCTATCTAATTTCATTCTCTGTCTTTTTCAGCTGATTCCAACGATAAGACAACGGGAGACTAGCTTCCCCCCTCCCCCGCCTTAGCCGTCATAACCTCTAGTGAAAAACGCGGGTGGTGTCGGCAATCATGCGTCCTAGGCCAATCAGCTGTTGAAGGCCACACACGTGCGTGGCTCTGACGTTTTCGCGTCATCGATTGTCAGAATTGTCGATTACGTCTGCCAAGAGGTCGGATCGGAAGGAGGCGAAGGAGAGCTCACGTGTCTACAGCCATTGACGAAACTGTCAAGTACGTTTCCAGATTGGCGCGACTATTCCTTTCCGCGCGAGATCAATGTCAACACGAGAGAGCCGGCGTTCGCCGAATCGCTATCTACAATGGTATCCTGTAACGAGAAACGTTTCTAAATATCGCAGCTTTCGCGGCCCGCGCTCTCCCGTACGGGCGAGCAAAGTGCGTACATCCGTGCGACACACATGGAGGATGGTATGCACGCGTACACGCGCGCACGAGGGCCGGGAGGTGCTTCACACACGCACACACCATTCACGCATGACGTACACACGGGCGCAACATCATGCAACATCGGCGGCCGACTCGTTTAAAGAGCCAAGACGACTACGAGAGGGATCCTTAGTAAGGCGCGCTACCGGCACGTTAGAGAGAAACCAAGGATGCTCTCCGAGGAGAGAGAGAGAGAGAGAGACGCCTCTCTAACCGACAGTCGAGAGGAAACGATGCCTTCCGTTGACGAGCAGGAGGATCAACGAGGGTTCGCACGAGCACTCCGACCTGTTTGCGAGAAAGTCAGAATGCGAAATGTGTAGACGACGATGCGCGTTTCGATCGAGCGAAAAAAAGGGAGACGGAAGTCGGCGCCGGAGCGAAAAGATACGCTCCCGCGTCCCTCCCCCGTCCTCTCTCTCTATCTCTCTCTCTCGCGCGCGCGTTTCCTCTCTCTCTTTTTTTTTCTTTCTTTTTCTACTTACTTGGCTGCTTTGCAAACGTGTGCGCCGCACAGTATTTTGAGACGGAGACCCGCGCTCTCTTCCGGGAGGAGAATCAGCAGGCCAGCATACGACGCGTATCACAGGACCGCGAGAAGCCTTCGCATCTCCCTCTCCGGTCCTGGCACTCTCGAAAATCGCGGCGAGGGACAAAATGATCGAATACGGCAGACGGAAGGAAAGGAAAAGCCGCCCCCTGCTCGTCGAGAGACGTAGTATCTCGGATCTAGAGCGAGCGACCCGCTTCCCTTCGACCTCGTCGTCGTCGTCGTCCTCGTCACCGTCGCATTTACATATCGTCGTACTCGTTCCTCCCTTTCTCTCCGCGGGTGTCCCTCCTTCTCCGTCTCTCTCTCTCTCTATCTCTCTCGAACGGCCTGGCCGTCTCTCCGTCCGCGCTGCTAGAACACGGTGTCCATTTTCTGCGCGCGGTTCGATGCCGGATTACGCTACGCAGGTACAGCTAGCCAGGAGACGCCGCCAGGCTTCTCGCGATCCGTCCTCGTCGTTGTGTTTTTATTCTCTCTATCTCTCTCTCTCTTGTCGCGATCCCGAGAGATACGCGGGCTCTCGACGCGGCCACCGCGCTCGGTATCGGGTCCCGGGTGCGCCGACGTGTTTCGATCTGCTCCTGGCGATGAATCCGAGAACGCGGCGTGGCGCGCCCGCTCTCCGGGGCCTCTACAGCGAGCCCCGCCTCGGCATGTTCGGCCACTTGGGCGCCCTCGGGGCCGACCGGGAGGGCCGGCGATGAGCGGAGACGAGAGACCGACTCTCGGGGTTATTATTTCTCGGAATGTCGCGCGCACGCATACACACCACGAGGCCGGCTCGTGCGGATCCGAGCGAATCGGTCGGCTCTCCCTCGCCTCTCTCTCTCTCGAACCGAACGTGTACGGACGAGGCCCGGGCTCGGTGGCGCGCTGGCACGACTGGCCGGTTCAGGCTACGAGAAACGGATAATGTGTGCCGCGTGCGCCGGTGCTGGCAATGCCAGGAGGAAGAGAGAGAGAGAGAGCCAGCAGACGAACAACTAGCCGCGTGTCCGTGCGTATACGCGAATGCTGGGGGAGGGAAGCGGAGGGGGACGAGGGGGGAGAGCCTTCGCTCTCGCGCGAGCCACCACCAGCTGTGTCTGTGTCTCACACGACAGATCGCGTACGCGCCGGCGACGCGTGTATTATATGCAGCCGCGGAAAAAGCGTGGACGCGCGAGAGTGTGTCGGCTACGCATGCGCCCTCGAGCTGACGAACGTACGAGGGGAACGCGCGATTGTCGGTGGTGGTGAGTGAACACGACGACGATGTCGCGGTGGTGTTGGTGCGAAGCTTTCTCGCGATTACGTCGAGGGGAAATGAATATATTTCCCTCTTCTCTCTCTCTCTCTCTCTCTTCGATTACAGATAATCCTATACTCGAGCCCCTCCCGCAGGACTCGACGGAGCCTATACGTGCATACACACCTTGTGGTAAAGAGAGACTTACCGGAGATAGCGCGTCTTTTTTAGTCTCTCATAATGCCATTCGCGGCATCGATTCAGACGGGTCTGAAGGCACTTTCACAAGTCTCGCGTCGTGTCCGCGCGTCGCTCCCTCGCCGCCCTTCATAGGAACGCCACGCCGCAGTCGGGACGGCCGGGAGCCTCCGTCGATCGTCCGCGAGCGGTGCCGGCGTGTCCGTGTGAGACGCGCGCGAGCGACAATGAGCCGGTGCGTACCGGCCATCTGCCGGTCGCGCGCGACAGCTGAAAATACGCGCGCCAAAACCGTCGTCTCCTCCTCGCCACCGCCAGGGACCCGGTGTCCCGGTGGGCGCGCTCGAGAGGCGCGTTTCCCGGACGGCGTCGATCGCGTCCACGTACGTCGAACCTCTCGTCGAGGCGATGTTTCGCTCCTCGTCGACGATAATTTGTATTTAGCGCGTCCCGCGGGATCCTGGTCGCTCGATCCTCCCCGGGACGACGCTTCCCATCGTCGAGGTTCGCCGATGGTCGATTCTCGGGCCGCCGTCCTCGTTTACGCCCCCGTTGAGTTTACCCGCCAAAAGTCGACGAGACTCCTCCTCTTCCGCTCTCCTCTATCGCGAGGGAACGAACGACGTATTCCGCGGATGCTTCCCGTTCCCCGTCGACGACGTTGACAGGATGCGGCGTGACCCGGTTTTACGCACTCTCGCCATTCTTGCACGCACTCCCGCGTACTTTCCGGAACGCACTATTAACATACCGGTCAGCCATGCTCGGGGGTGTTGGCGAACAAAGTCTGAATGTCTCTCTTTCTCTCTCTTTTTCTTCTCCCCCTTATCCCTTGTCTCTCTCTCTCTCTCTCTGTTTTTCCGCTTTGACGATATCGGGTCCCTTTAACCCGGGCCTCGCAATCTCGACGGGGTCGGAGGGACAGCAGGACAACACGTTACGTAGCTCATTCGCGAATTATGCAATTTAGTGACGTATTAACGCGCCGACGACGATCCCACCGTACGTATCGTACGCACGCTTTCGATCCTGCCGGACACTGATGTCCCCCCCGTTTCTTGCCTGCTGTTGCCCGAAACTAAGCGTACGATCGTCCCTTCCTCCTCGAATGGAGGGGTAATCGGCTGCAGGGACGGAAGTGCGGGGCCCCCGTGAAGCGGGAATAAAATTGTCGCCGGTAGAAAAGGTCGTGGACTTTCATCTCGATTAACTTGTTGACAATCTCATTTTCTCGTGTTCAGCAACATCTTGCGCTAAAAATAAACTGTATAAAACGATTTCCTTAGAAACAGTTTCCTTAAAAAGAATATCTCTTACGGAAAAGCTTCTTGGAAAATATGCTTTTTTATAAATAAGATATTTTTTTCAAAGATTGGGATGTTAAAAGAATATCTTGATTTTTTTAATTATCTTATAAGATATCGTACACAAAATGTTGTGGATCTAAATATATGGTACATAATCGAGTATACAATTAAATACTATACCGAATATTTACTTGAACAAAGACACATTCATGTAAAATTCGTGTAGTAAAAATAAATCTAAATGACATTTACTGTAAAGTTATTATGTCTTCTTATAATGTCAAGTTTAACAACAAAATACAATTTAATATCCGAAATTAATTAAAATTTCGTATTATATATTACATTTTTGACAGAGGTATAATTGTATACCTCATAATACACATATATTTGCGCGAAGCAAATAATCGGAGAAATGTATTGGAAATAATTTAATAATATTAGACATATTAAATATAATATTAAAATATTTTAATTTTGCCGGTTATTATTATCAAAAAATACTTTATGATATAAGTATATATCAAATATACATATTAAATTGAATATAATAGAACTCTTTTATTGTATAATTATCAAATTTTAATTATTCCTCTAAAATGTAGTACGTGAAATCAATTTATATCTTATGTCTTTTTTATTAGCGTTTTAAATAATTAACGAAACAGGACATTCCAGTTTAGAAAGAAACAACTATTCCAGAATAGAAAAATCCAAAATAAAAGAGTTCTATTTATGTTGATCATATTTCATTAGCTATTAGCTCGTTACAATGTTAATAAATTAATAACAAGCATGGTAAAAAATTAGTACTAATAAATAAAATATAATCTATATAATGATAAAAAAATTCACAATGATAAAAACTATCGCAATAAAACGCATTGGACGATATTTTTATCGAAAACGGACATATCTTTAAATTTCAACATTCAATCGCGTTCCCTCGGGTATCTACGACATTGGTACAGACCTGAATCAAGTAAAGCCAAGAAGAAGGGGACCCGGTGCTTTCTTCGTAACGTATTTATTTGAACTCTACGGAGCAGATACAAAAGGATCGTATCCTATGTAAGGGAGGCGTACGGTCTCCCTTCTCGCCCTTCAGTAACCTCCCTCTATTTTTCCTTCCCTTTTGGCCAGTCATTTCAACTTGTTTTTTAGAACGTTGTCCAGTACTCGGTTAGAGAACGTCGAGAAACGTAAGCAGTGTTTGCTGGTATCTAGATAAAATTATCTAGATAATTATCTAGATAAAGAAATGGATCATCTTTATCTTTAACTACATGAAGAAGTACAAAGTCTTTATCTTTATTTTAGATAAAAAATATATGTCATCTTATCTAAAAATTGTCTAAGATAAGATTTTCATTATGCAAAAGAGTTTTCCAGGCAAGCTTCTAAAAATCTATCTAAAATATCTAAAATATATTTATTTGGAAAATAAATATACTTTATCTTATACTTGTTTTACTTAAATTTGTGCAATGCATTAATATATATTTTATAAAAATAATATATGTATTGTTATACATTGATTATTACATTATAAATATATTATATATATAAATTAATAAATAAATATTTATCATATCATTTATATATATTTTTGTTATTATTTAAATATTCTTTAGATAAAGAGAAAGAATATGTGTTTATGATTTTAATAATTTTCCCATTTATAATCTGCCTCACATTTTTTACAAATATTTATAGTCTTATAGAATAAACAAAATTATGTTTATCTTTATCTAGATAATTTTGAAATTATCTACAGCAAACACTGAACATAAGGTAAGATGATCGAGGGTGTTCGCTCGATTACAATCATATGTCGACGATGACAAAAACCTCGGGTCGCTCCACCTGCGGACGATCGTAAATCTGCATCGCGGAATATGTAATAGCCTTTACCTCGGCGCCTTGCGTGTGTTTGCCGATCGTGAACTCCTCGCCGTATGCGGTGGCTTTGATTTTCAAGTCCTGCTCGTCGAATTCAGTAATCTTGACTTTCTGATGACAGACACACACACTTTTTCATCGAACGCGAACAGGCGATTAAAGAATCTTTTGCCATTTTAAATTTAATAAATACTCACAAATATAATTATTATTTGAATAATAGTCACTATACCTGGGATATTTTATTTAACTGAATTTTAATAGAATCCAAGCGTGAGAATAGAAAGATGTTTAGGAATTTTTAATAAACAATCAAAGATACTCATCACGTTGAAATGTAAATTTTCCTCTTTATATCGCTAATATGTATTTTTAATATTTTATTATTTCGAATTAAATGTCATACGCTATTAACGTATTGGAATATGATAGAGATTGTGTTAAATATATGTGTAAATTCAATTTATTTAATAATTTTTCGACGACAGAAAGCCATACCTTTGCGACAATGCATGGCTCGGCGCTGAACATGAAAAGCAGCTCGTCGAGGAAGTGGAAGAGCAGACTCTCGAGATCGTGTCCCTCGGCCTCCACGTGGTGCACCTGTGCGACCTCCACGCGAATCAGATCTGTCATGTAGCCGAACATGGCCATCGCGCACTGCTCGAAAGCTTCCTTCATGGTATCGCCCCATGCGTGCAATCTACGGTGCAGTCGCATATCTTAGTTCGATCTCGCAAATACTGTTTATTTTTTTAAAACGATAGATTCTACGATATCTACACAAGACATGTCTCTTCACACGTCCGGCTATTTGTGCGGTTTTAGGTTAGCCGGGGATTTAACCTCAAAAAAAAGAGTCCCCCGACTCCGGTGAAGAGAAAGATAAGTAATAATAATACTTACTGTACGTCCGCGGTGTGATCGAGATCTGAAACGGACAATTTTTCGGTGAGCATTTCTCAAAATCAAAGCCCGGAAGAAATACTTTTCTCAATTCATGAATATATATATCGCGTAAGCGAGGTTAGATTTCGTATCAATCGTGTAAAAGCGTGTATTTTTACTTCGACGGATGAGACTATTGAAAAATAAACGCAATGGATACTTACATTCGTATTTGATGGGCGGTATCTCGAGATCCTTATCCACCAGTTCCTCCATTGTCGCGCACAGCTGATTCTCCACGTGAGTAAAGCGATCAGCTGATTCACTGACGGGTTCAATCAACGGCAGCGTAGTTAAGCGTAGGTGAGTTCAAGCCGTTCAGATGGCGCCACTTATAAGCGAATCATTCGCGTACTTACCGACCAAATCTGTAGATTGCATCACAAGATATTGGATAATACTGATAATACCGACCGCATGCGGAAGAGCATGAATCGCGTTGAACCAGAATAAAAATAACATGATCATCGTCAGATGCATCCAATAGTTTAAACTTTTTCTGAGAAAAAAGATTTAATTAATACTCAAATATTTTAATTTAATAACATTTAATTAAATATTTTAATTATTGTAGAATATTAATACTTGAGTATTTTAATTAATAAGGTATCTAAATATATAAATACAGTACAATGATATACGATATAAACATTAGTAAACGATATTAAAATAATTAAAATGAGATAAAAAATTTTGCATTATATTAATTTATTATTTTACGCTATAATTTTATATATGTAATATTATGTGTAGTCGCGAAAAATTTTTAAAAATGTCTAATATATTAATAATTATTACTATAATAATTATTAGATACAATAAATTAATTATACATATTAAATTATAATAGTTAATTATAATATTTGCGTTAAAATGTCATATATTGACACTGTTTTGCGAGGAAACAAGGGGAATTCGGTTCCTATTCAACTATACAATTGCATCTGTTTCGTTGCTCGCGAATTAAATATGGATTGTAATACCTATCATTGTGCAATGGTGTGCCCCCCCCCCTCTCTCTCTCTTTTTCTATATATTTCATTAATAACGTACGCGTCTGGAAGTAGTCACCATTGAGTGAACGGTGATCGGCATAAACAAGATAGTGTGCTACTCCGAGAGACCTACATATCTTTCTTCTGAATAATTAATCAGAAGCAGGGATTTATTTTCTTTCTTATCCACATACACACATGAACAGAGATTAGAATCCAAAATAAGATACATTTGATTTTCTATGAAATTAGAAGATAAATAAATTTAAAAAAAGCATAAGAAAAGAAGTATTTATTTTCCTGCAATTATTTTTTTTATCTAAATTATGTTGTTTCTGAAAAAATTAAAATAAAAAAGATGATAATTTTTAAAATCTTATTTTAGTTAAAAAATACATCAAATAAAAACGTCAAATAAATTGATTTAGAACCCGCAAAAATATGTTACAGAGTCGCTAATTAAAGGAACATATATATATCTAGGTGTTCTTTGTATAGTTGAAGGGGAGGAAAAGATGCGTCATAATTGTCTCTGATCGCTATGTGCGTCTTTCGTTCATTTTTAATTCAACAAGGACTGTCTATTTTTTTACTTCCACAAGGACTCGTTGCATTATCGCTCGCGCTCATTGATCTAGCGAGAGTGCCTTTATGCAAATTACTATGCACAATTTGTGTCATACGAGAGAGAGATATCGGGCGAAAATGTTACTAGTAGTAACTGTGTAACTCAATATCAAATGTGTAACGGACTTGTTTACATTATGTATAACATATGGAATAAATTAATTTTATACAAATTATATGCTATTTATGTGCGTAACTTTTCCCAAATAGAGAGAAAAAAATATCATGTACTAAATATATTGTATATTATGTTTTTTATCAATATAAACATATAAATGTATTTATATTTATTTGATAAATATACATATATCATCATTTTTCTTAAATGTGCGAATAAAAGTCAGCGGCAGGTATCACATTATTTATTGTTTACGTAGCCAATGAGGAAAATATTAAGCAATTATCCAAAACTCTGACATTTAGCCAATTTGCGATGCACTCCTCTATTATCCACGCACTTTATTATGTCAGATGTCGTATGTAATACTGTTGCACGTCAGATGTTATATGTTGTTTAGAGCAAATTATTAAGTGTAGCCTGTGGTTCTTAAATAGTAATGTTGACCATCTCTGTATGACAATAAAATTGAAAACACATGGCTAAGAGTAAATACCTATTCTTAGTTCAGCTAGTTCGAAAAGACTTCATAACATGATATTATTATGTCGTGATTGTTTATTCGATATCAAATAGAAATTTATACGATAATGTCTACTCATTTTCTCTTCATCTCACTCATTGTCAAGACAACCTTTCGTTTGAAAATGTGAAATTTATGTTTGATATTTATTAACACAAAATTTCTATTCAAGAAGAAAATTAATCAAAAAGAAATTAGTAGAATTTATTTAAATTTATTACAACGTATTAGAAGTTTATTGCAGTAACATATAATTTTCATAACTCATATATAATTTTCTAACGTTAAATTATTTACAATATTGTATAATTACATCATACGTATGTTACTTTTAAAATATAATTGGCAATACTATTAATATTTTTTCAAGTACTGGCTATTTTAGATAATAGTAAGATTCAAAATAATACCAATAATATCTATGACTTTTCAAATAATATATAAGCATCGGAAAATACATAAATTACAATATATAAAAACAACATGGATTATATTGTCTGTATCTTGACAGTATTAATCACAATACACATGTGTGAATTGCTTTATATTTCAATGTAAGATAAAAAGAGAGACCAAGTTTCATTCTGTGTCAATTCAAAGACTGTCGAGTATTGTGTAAGGTAAAGCATGTAAAAAAAATGAGAAAGGACTCACACGCGTGTGCGCCATTCATAAACATAAAGTATACAATCGCGATATTCGCATCAAACGCATCAACATATCGACATAAATGTTCATTGTGTATGTAGTACATACATTTACAACAGCAGTCGAGTCATCAATATATCGTTTTGCTATCGGTATTTCTTTTTTTTCTTCATTCTGCACGAGCTTAAAGAAATTAATTTTTTCGATCGCTGTCGCGATCTGTTCCAAGGGTAGTTACTTTATGCATTCATAATCTGATTTTATTTCCATCGAGACTAGATATGTTGTAACGTATGCGATCGGCTAAATCGCTCTTACGTCATACGTAAAAATGCATACAAGGTCACGGAAGTCTGTACGCCTCGAGTTCATACCCTTGCACTTGCTCATAAAGATTGCGAAAGGGTCTTTCCGTGTTCTAGAAACTTTTCTTGATGCATTTCGTGCTCTTTATTGATGAGAATATATGATCGATTAATTTATTGTGCGATAAATGAGAGGAAGTCATTAAATTATTGTCTTTGCGGATGCGCAAGCAGAATCTTTTTTTATTTTTTTTAAATATCATTGTTTTGTAATTTTCTTTGCCAATGTAAAAAAATATCCATGACATTAGTAGATTTAAGCTATTTTATTCTGCTAGTTTAATAAGCCAGTTACAGAGATTTAATAACAGCTATTATGAATATTATGATGATTACATTGTAGCATTCTCGTAAGTAATTGTTTTTGCCGCAGCATTTTATTAAAAAATTTCCATATTTAAATTCCTGGATGACAATTAGACGATTGTTTGTAAACTTGGTACTTACATCTTAAAGAATAAAGTAAGTGTAGAATAAAATAAGTGTAAATGAAATCATTGGCTAAAAATGAAAAATTTAAGCTTCTTTCCAAAGAAAATTTTAATTAATATAAAATCATTAAAAACTAATTAATTTGTATCTATTTAATCAATTTAAATAAATAATAATTGAATAAATCTATCTAATTTATTAGTTATCACAAAAAGAAATGATTATCCCAAGTTTATTGAATGATTATATTACGTTTTATTTATTTATAAAAAGATCTTAATTATTTTTTATATGGGAATATATACATTTATTTGATATGTATATGTATGATTTCATTAATTTTATTGAATGTATGAATATATTAAATAAAATCTTTCTCTCTCTCGATTCCTTAAAAATGTATGAAAAAAAACATAACATTGAAAAATTACACTAGAACTTATATATCTCGAGGAAAATAATACATGTTGAATAGACTCACAATCAGATACTCAAATAGATATGCTTTTTTAAATCTCTATTTCGCAAAATAAATCATCAGAATAAATGATAAATTATAAAAATTTGTGACTCAAATAAAATATATTCGTGGGCTATAAAAAAAATTATATTTTATGCACCATTATTTAAGATTAGCTTTTTAATGACGATTTACGTAAAGTATTTCTCTGTTAATTACGTTTAGCTATTGGTGAAGCTATAAACTAATTAGAATTAATAAATTTAATAGAATATATATGCAAATAGAAGATTTGAGTTTTAAGAAGAGTAAATTTTTGCGATACTTTTATTTAATACACAGTTAAATTATACTTTAATATATTATATTATATTTTTTAAAAATTAATATATATGTGAGACAATTTTTGTGGAATTTATGATATTTTACGAAGGAAAGAAAATTCTTTTATATTTTATCAAATCTCTATCATTCTTTCATCAATAAATCTTCAAATATATGTATGTAGATCTATTAATCTATATAGATATATAAGTATATAGATATATAAGTCTATTCTTCCCAGTATACTTCTTGTATTTTCAGGCTTTATTCAGTGTATAAGTGAGTCACGTTTACATCTTATTTTAAATTCAAGAAGGACATGAAGAGAGAAGATGTTAACAGAAATAGACTTCCTCCTGCTAGGCATTCTCGGAATCACCGCAAGAGTGCAACAATAATCGAGCACGACTCATTGTCAATTAAACCGAGCCCAAGATGCCGATGTGGTAACAGAGAGAGAAAGAGAGAGGGGGGGCGGCAGAGGGGGAAAGAGAGAGAGAGAGAGAAATCAGAAAAAGTATTGTCAATCTCATCAAAAATATTTTTCTTTACCTATTTTCCTTTTATTCAAGACAAAAATATTTCTGATCGTTCTAAGAAAAATATCTTATGTCACATGGTACCATCTACTTATTATCTCTTATCTTCTTCTTTCTTCTTCTTCCTTCTTCCTTTTTTCATTTTCTTTTTCATTAAAATTGATTTCATTATAATTTCTCTGCAATCAAAATATAGATTCGCCTGAATTTGTTGAATTGCCATCCTTTTTTTACTCGTCGAAAATGTCCTGAAGGAAAGAGGAGCGTATTTTCCGATGCAGCCGTTTTAGTTTCCCACCTACTGCTGCTTCTCGCCTCTCACGTATAAGCTCGTTTTAATGACATGCAATTTTGCAACGTATCTTTGTCGAGTCCTTGGAACGGGAGACTATATAAACCGAGTGTTTATAATTGGTTGGACTAGCTACAAGAATTTTTAACCACGCAGGATGTCGTTCTACACTCTCGCCGTGTACTGCGCTACCGTATTTGTGCTTGTCGCAGCTCAGGATCTCGAGCTTCGTAAGTCCTTTATTCAGCCATCGATCTCTTCTGTCTTTGAGAATCGATTTTTCTTTGATTCGACTCATGTCAGTTAAGATTTAATTGGTTTTCTTTGTTCTGTCTCGAGAAGGAGGCAGTGTGAGACTTTTAATTAATTCAAAAATGTAAGAAATATGGTCCTGATTGATACTTTCCAGTGTGTGGAAAAGAATGTGTACTCAAATTTTACGTGCCATTGTTCACGACTATTCCCATGTGATGTAGAATCTCTCCTCACAATTTGTTAAAGGTGAATATCATGCTTTGATAAGCAGTTCTCTATAATATTCAATTACATAAATATATAGGGATAATATTTTATATGTAAAAAATTTAATTTAGGTTTAAAAATATTCGGAAAGAATGTTGTTTAAAATATAAATTCATTTTTCAGCATTTTTTTTTAAATATAATCAAATTAATTGTATCAAATTAATTGTACTGATTTATTTGATTCTTAATGAATGAAATGATACATTTCATTATAGTTTGCAAGATTCATTATAGATTGTTGCTGATGTTATTTTCACAACATACTATTGAAATAAAAAATTAAAGTAATCAATGAATTATAAATGTGAAGTATATACTGCTGTCATAACATACTGTCAATAACATACATAATATTTTCCTTAGAGCTTATTGACATTAATTATGTAAATGCTCTTTCTTATATTCTATCTATACTGAATTGACAACAATTCTATGGCATCAAAATAGCAAGTCAGTTTCAGAAAGCAAATCAAATTAGAGTGAATAAAACATTTTAATGTAGTGTATATAATATCAAATATAAATTCATATGCATAAAATTGTGTTTATATGTTTACGATTAAATAGATAATATGTAAATTTGCACGTATGTAGATCTGTATTTATATAGTTGAATGGATAATATTACTTACGTAAGTGTATATATGTTTATTAATTTATTTATTACATTTATATTTTTACTATTATTTAATGGCGTTGACACAATTAGTTATGCTAATATCAATAGTTTAATATTTTCTTATTAATAAAACATAACAAAAAATTATACAAAACATACAAGGATTAATGTTCATATTAGCACAATGGCTATCTTTGTAATTATTGCAGATAAAAAAATTGCAGTTGATATTAACAAAGAATAAGTTCAGAATTTAAACACAAAATTTTCTAAGCCAATCCGTACAAGATCCTGTTAGTGATTCATGCGTAAATAAAAATATTTTTAATTAAATAAAAATTCGATATTATTTATTATAAATATTTCGATTTTATATTTATTAAATATTTATGTTTTAAATTTTAAATGCTTAAAAGGCTACGAGATACAAACCATTTGGTTGCAATAAAAAAATCGAATTATTTCATTATACATATATAGTTCAGTATAATGTTCGAAATAATTAATTAATAGTTTATATATACATATGTATATTTAACGTATATTTTACATTTTTACACAGCGGTACAGACTTGCAAGCGGGATGCGTCTGATTATACATCTTGCCTCAGACTTGCGATGCAAGAAGCATGGCCAACTTTCATCGCAGGTAAAAAAGCAATACTATTCTTTTTTTAATTGTCCGAAAGAACCAATTTTTATTGCATTACATTTATTATAATTTATATATTATATATAAGAAAAAATATATATTTTTTATTATTTCATATATTTTTAAATATTACACAAACTTTATTTTTTTTCGGAAGGTATACCGGAATTAGATGTGCCACCTCTGGATCCGTATTTTCTTGAATATCAAAATACCGTATATGAAACCGGTGACTTGCGTGCAGACATAACAGTCAAAAATGTTAATATCTATGGACTTGCAAAGATTAATTTCTTGGCTGTGAGGCCGCATCATTCTGATGATTCTTTCCATTTAGAAGTCGATCTTGAGTTACCAAAAATGCTTATAGAGGGTAATTTCAAGGCGGAAGGAGCTTACGGAGTGTTAACAATTGGTGGCGAAGGTGTGTTAATTAAATAATAAAAATTTAATAAAAAGAGAGTTACCAACAAACAAAAAATATATTATATGCACTCTAGCTAGATATTAATTATTATTTAACTTTTCCAAAATTATATAATTTTGTTATTATTTAATATCATATAATATTTAATATAATATAATCAAAATGAATATTATTAAAAAATATTTAATATGACATAAATCAAACTAGAAATAAATTTTCAATATCTTTCTTTATATAATCTTTATATAATTTTTAATAGAGTTTTTGCATATGTTTGTGTATGTTTTTCTTTTACTTTGTTTGCATAGTTTATAAAATATTATAGTTTATCTCATTGTATTTATCCCATTTGATGTTTTTAAGCATGTATTAAAATAATTTCTTATTAATGGGAAATTTAATTACTCTTATAAAAAAGATATAATCTATTTTATTATTTACATGGCAGGATTTTTCAATATTAGTCTAGAAGATATAAAAGACACATGGTCGATAGAAGGACCTGTAGCAAGCGATAGATGGACGATCGAACATTTCCGTCTAAATCCGGAAATTGGAAAGATGGAAGTCTGGTTTAGTGATATGTTCAATGGCAACGAGCAACTCAGTAAGTACATATAAATAACAATTTAAAATAATTCTACTTTTGAAATAGTCCTTTTAGCTACAGACATATTTATCTTTATTTGACAATATATGTGTTGGTAATCTTTATTAATATATATATATATATATATATATATATATATATATTAATTTTATAAATTATATGCTAGATTATAGTAGGAAAAGGTAATTGATATCACAATATTATTTTTATGTTTTTATCTTAAGTAAAATTACCTATCATTGTTTCATTCTCTAATTATTTCATTATATAACTTTAACAAATTCCTGATAGTTACTCAATGGGAAATACAAATACATATATATGCGTTGTAATTCCTCTTACATAATGTTGTTTATGAATATAATTGCTAAAAAAAAAATTGCTAAATTGCTTTTTTCACATGCTGATTCGTTTTGAAGCAATATCGTCATAACAGGATTTTAATTTGCAGACAGCATGGCTCTGAAATTTATAAACGAGAATTGGCCGTCGTTGTACCGAGAGATGTTGCCATTCTTGTCGCAAAATTTGGATAATTATCTCACCGAAACTGCTAATCGCCTAATGTCAAAGATCTCCTTTTCAAAGACGTTCCCTTGAGGGCCTCGAAGACTATTTCTCGTGCCAAGGCACGTACAGCTTAGTTAAAATATAATCGAAAATGCACCGTTTTTAAAGTAGCGGATACTTTAGCCGACTGCTCGAAACCAACGCGGAGGATGCAGAGTCTCTCTCTCTTTCTTTAGATTCTGCAAACATCCCGTGATAATTTTTGTTTCTCATCGTAACGTGATAGTGTTAGAATGAATTTGCAAATCGAACGTCGACATGCGTGTGAATAATATGACAGTGGCGAGTTTATTGTATAACTATGTGTATAACGTGTAAACGAAATAGATTACTTTATTGTTATTATTATTGTGTTACTACTATTTTCACTAGCGAAGTTATTTATGTAAAGCACACAGATGTAATAAATATCTAGGAAAATAGAAAAAGAGTGCCAAATCGATTCAACAATTCTTTTGAATAATTTTCAATCCCCTTGAAGGTTTTTTCTCTGCAGACATTTATCTGAAATTGTTGTTATGGAAATATACACACATACACACGTCTAATTGACTTATTCATATTAGCAAGTCTTAATAAATATTAGATAATTTAAATAGATAGATTTAAGTATAATATTTATGTGAAACAAATTAAAATAATTAATCTCTCGTCATATATATTTAATCACTATGTATTTATACTCCAATAACAAATGTATGTTATATTCCATTAATATACCATTTTTAATTATTCGTTAAGACACTAACAATAACACCATATTTAATACTTAATATAATTATTCGTACATACCACCAAAGTTTTACTAATCTAAGTAACAATGTTTTCTGTCAACATGTGTTATTTTTCGCCTAAGAATATGCCTCAATGAATATTATATTTTAATCTTTCGATACAATTGTTTGTTTCGCATTTGTTCGATGATTGAATAATGAATTAAATAAAATATATATTAATTTAATACTTTAACAAAAATGAATTAATAATTAATATTTTGTTTCCAACGAGAAACAATCACAAAAGTAGCACATTATTATTATGTCATTGCGGCATTTTAATTAGCGGATTTAAAAATCGATCCTTGTGTAAATAAGCCAATTTATGTAGCATGTATAAAATTTTTGCTCTTTAAAATGGTGACAATTTTTTCAGTTTTATTATTTAAAAACTCTTTATAAAATTAGTGAATATATAATACTATGAGAAATATCAAGTTTCCTGAAATACCAGAATAAAATCACAGTTTATTTCAAAGTTGAAAGAGTCACAGTTAAAAAATTGCGGTTACAATTCTAAATTTAATGCCTCTTTAGTTTTAATTTAAATAAACTTGATACCTTTTATTTTTTATGCCATAATGCGTTGTCAGTTTTACCTTCCTATTTAAGATTGATCGTTTCTTTCATAAGAGAAAGCTAACAATCACTAATGAAGATATAATATAGATATCTCCTAAGGTGTAAGGAACATTTCTACTGGCACATGTCGTAACAATTGATTGACAATTCCGGCAAAGAGCGATGATAATTTTTTCTTCAATTGCGGTTCCATCACTTTCAATACCTCTTGTCCGTTTTCTCGTAGGAAGAGATTGATTGCTTCGGCTGTAGAAATTAAATATGACAAAAACAATATAAAAAAATTAATTAATTACAAGAGAGAGAGAGAGTTCATTAAATAATTTAATTTTTGGAATATTAAATATATTATAATAATTTTGTGCAATTTACTTACTGAGTATTCGATTATTTTTAAAGATTTTGCTGACTCGCATTTGCACATCCTTTACTCCAAGTATTACATCGAGGTTCTCGACATTCAAGTATGTTTTTCCATCTCGTGATTTCGTCGACACCGTCCCTTTGACTAGAGCTGTAGCATCACCGAAGCGTGCATGAAATGTGCCATTTCCACTTGCGGGTAAAATTATTAATACACCGGAACTGCAAAAATTAAATCTGATAAACAGACAGTCTACCCTTTTAAATATTGAGAAAAAATCACTTATTCAAATTATGTATACTTTATTCATTCTTTTTATTAAATTATTCTTTAGCGTTAACGAATAAAAAAATTTCTATATGCGAGAATAAAAATAATTTTTACTATACAAATGCAAATAAATAGGTATTCATAGAAAGTTGAAATACTACTTTGATACTTTAGTCGAGTATAATCGAATTCGTCTACCTGGAATAATGAGCGTCTAGTATAAGGGCTGGCATTCGTACAATAGCTTGGAAGGGTGAGCCAAGCTTAATATCATCCACTGTATAGTTACTTGCCCCTTTTACGTAAAGGTCGCGTAGCTGAATCTTGTAACCGTTTGAACCACCTGTCAGAGAGAGAGTCAGCTCGTCCATCTGTTGAAATTAACAGAAAAAGGGAAGGGAATGCGTAACGATGCAAATCGAAACAAAACTTTCGCGCATTGTATAATGTAATGTATATGTAATGTATTCATCTTATTACAATATTTATAGAGCCTGTAACATTTAATAACTACTTTCAAAATAAAGAAAGTATTATCCATAATTTTTATTATATTTATATAATATATAATAAAGATTACATCTATATTTAAAGCATTGGAAGCAATTACTTTATACAAACGTGTGTGGATTTATTTATATATGACAAATTTTATATACAATTATATATGTATATATAGAATGAGGCAATAACTTTGTCTACCTGGAATATCTGTGCTATTTTTGAAGATATTAAAAAATTATAATTACGAACAATATACGATATCAGGAGGACCATAATATGCTAGTAATATTCCATAAGTGGAGGCATTTCAGAGATTTCAAGATTATCTTCATTTTCTTTAATGAAACCTAATTTTTTTATATAAATCGATTTCTCACAATATTCCACATAAAAAGTAAATTGTAAATAATAGCCAAAAATTGAATACTTTACGAGGTATTTTATGCTTTAAGTTGACATAATTTTACATAAATTATAAAATATCTTGTAAAATATTCATTTTTCAATTATTTTGACTAAAATATTACCAGTACATTATAGTCCTTTTAATACCGTACAATTTTTACAATTTTACAATTTTATCATGTCTTTAAAAATAGCGCAGATATTCCAGGTAGACAAAATTATTGCCTCCTGTATATGTGTTAAGTATATAAAAATAAAAAGTTTCCTTTTTGAAATAAATTTTTATATATATATATATATATATATATATATATATATATATATATATGATAAATACAATAATATATAATCTCTGTGTACAATATTATTTATATTATAATTTAATATAGAACTTACACGAAATGGTTCTACTGAAGGCAATTCGATTTCGGGTATTCCGACACTCAAGTAAGGTCGTAAATGATGCAGAGCATCAATTAAACAAGATGTCAATTTTGGATCGCTCCTCGAGCATTGCTTCACGTATTCCGCTGTAAATAGAATGTTATAATGTTTGTTATGTTTGTTATATTATATTTCAACACATATACACAGATATATATATATGTTTAATCATATTTTATTATCGAAGAGAGAAAACATGAATCATAGACATGAATTTTTTAAATTACATTTTCTGACGTTTTCTATCTAAAGAAGAAAGAGAAATTTGAATTAGTTTTTGATCTAATAAGTAAAAGCGTCGACGAATAAGAAGCATCTTAGTCAGTAGTCACGTTAAAAGTGAAAGTATTATCTCGCGACGAAGTGCACCATTCAAGAGCATGTTACAAATTAGTGCAAAGGTCATATAAGTTTTTTTTTAGAATGAGATTATTGCGAGATTTTACAATTTAGATCATTCAATATATGCTTGATACATGCTAAATAAATTACAAATACACAAATAGAAATATATATAATACATATAACTTGGAAATAAATATGTAAATTATAATATATTAATTATATTGCTATTTTGCAATAATATAATTATGGTGGATTTACAATAGAATTACTCTAATAGTGTGACCTAAATACGTATACCTATATGCTAACTTTGAATATACTTGACTACAACATTGCAGCGGAAATGAAGATCCGGCCTTATGACAGTCCAACGCGATTGCATGCAGGAAATTGCACACATAATTTAGCTTTAATTTATATATAATAATTGTTTCTTTTATTTATAAAAAAGTTTTATTTTATGACATATAAAACAGTCGAATCTTTTTCTCAAGAACAATTTCTTGAAATTATAAGCTGCATACTGTTTTTTAAACTTTTTCATAGACTTAAGAAACATAAATACAATAAACAGCCTGATACGAGCTAAACTGTGGATGGTAGGTCAGTTAAAAAAACAAAAGATTAAAAAAGAATGTCAATAAGTCGCATTTATTAAGAGAGCGACAAAAAAGTGAGACGTTTCGATGCTTACTTGCATCTCTTCAGTCACGAAGTATTAAGATTCAAAAATATGATCGCATCTCGAATATAAAGTCAACGTGTGTTGTGTAACAGCTTGGTTTCTGATAAAAAATTACATACGCAAAATTAGATACATGAAACATAAAAGATTAAATAAAGAAAAAATAGCGTGAAACTTAAGGAAACCGTTACAATTAAAATAGATCATTTGTAAAAAATTTCACCTTTACTTAAGATCAAACGATCGTTTTGTTATAATTATCCAAATTCAAATATAATAAATTTCACGGATATTTAACGACTTATTTAATGTGTTTATTTTGCAAGGAATATTTTCAATTACTTACGACTTAAATCGGAGGAGAGAGCTACCGCGTAGCCGACAATAAGGATGACCCACAGCTTCTTGGTCATGATTTTCAATGTAGCCGTGACAACGATTTCGCGAAACTTTCGAGACTCGTGAAAATCCCGCGAGAATTCTGTCGCTGAATCTGTTCTATCCTTCGCAAGTTGGATACGAGATCTTATCTCACGAGGAGGATCACTAGCTACGAAGAGTTCGACTAAAGACTGCTGCGAATCTCACGATATAAACGACTCTGTCAGAGCAAGACTGACTATGCAAGAGAGGGCATTGACAGATGGTAGATCTCGTATAGCTGCACTCATGGATACTTTCACTACTGCAATATGCACCTGCGCCTTTTTCGTCGGCTGCAACGGCAGACGAGACTTGCACGGATTGTGGAGTCGGTTAGACGAAAGTGTCCTAACCAGAGGATACGTAATGATGCCCGTATGTCCGCATATAAATCATCGGTCCCATAATGAGAAGTTGGCTTCGACATTTTCACGACAAAAGCATATTGCATTTATGAATTGACGTTACAGATGTAATTTCGTATTTTAAACTGCATGAACGAAAAGCTAAAGAGATTGAATGTAATTTTACACTTATTATGGAATATTTATCTAACATAAAATCAATATTTATAAGTTTTACAAGTGTTTCGAATTATTAATAACGTCTATAATAGGAGATTTGTTTAATATATGTATAAATATATAGATTATTATCAATTTTTTCTCCCCTTATTTCCTCGTTTTTATCTTAATCTACTGCATATGATATTTCTATTGTAGATAAGTTTATTATATTACTATAATTATATTATTTTATTATAATTATAATTTTTTAGTTAATTTTTTAGTAGTAATTTAAAAAAAAGTTTGCTTAATATACATTGGTTTTTTCATGAAAAATCATTCTCAAAGAAAACTGCGAGAATCATATAATTTTATTCATTTCTCTTTTATTTCCAGATGACATCATATTTTCAATTTGAACTTGCGAAATTAGCAGTTTCGTGAGGCAAGATTATGATCCTGCACGCAATGTAAACAACAAGTGTCTATGATGATAAAGCGCATCGTATGTGTACATAGTAGTATAGCATCTTCTTAATAATGATGTAACAAGTCATTTGCATTCTGCAATTAAGGTGTTTGCATTGTGTAATAGAATTTCGATAGAATGAACATATATTCCATTAATGACAGTTCGTCATAGATGTTTGAAGTTATAAAATTCTCTAAAATTATTATATTAATATTCTAATATATAAAACAATAGAAATAAAATAATATTAGAAAAATATTAAGACATTTATAACCATTTTCAAGAAATTTTTTTAGTATTAAATATATAATTTTATATAGAAAAATAAATTCTGCAAAATATTTATTATTAATAATATTATTATTATTATCACAACAACTTTTCTCTCTTTTAATTTTTTATAACAATTTATTAATTTATCTTGTTTGACAAATTATAAAAAATGTTATTTATTCTTCTGCAATAATATCTTGAGAGAATAAGAGAGAAAAAAATACAAGAGATAATAGATAATCGTTGAATGAATATATTTACATACAGAAATCCTGTTTTACTTACTTACTGCATATGCATAACAAAAAATTAAAAAAAATTATAAATTTGAAAATTATAAATTTTAAAAAAAGATTTTATAGAGTATAAAATAAGCATTTTATAGAATATAAAATAATATTTAATTTTTATTTTAAATGAAAAAAATTCTACTTACACATATACATACATATAATAAAAAATTTTTTATATATTATGTATTTTTTACTTTTTTATGCAATAATAATCTATTTAAGAGAGAGAAGATCTATTTAATCTATTTATTTGAGATTTTTTTTAAAACATATTTTTATTTAAAAATATATTTTCTTGTAGTATAAATGATTCTCATACGCATATATATATATATATATATATATATATATATATATATATAAATTAATTATTTACATTTATATTCATATTTATATATACATATAAATTAATTATTATTGTGTTATAAAAATTTTTTAATTTTTCTTGCCTTAGATGATTGCGATACTAAAAGAGATATGCAATTTGTGAAAATTGTTAAATATTCGTATGCTTGCATATATGGTTGACATATATAATGTCTACATGAGAGAAACATGCAATCAACTCGAGAAGAAGTACAACGATCCCTTGAAACAAGTATTCTTCGTTTCTGTCATTTTATATTTTTCAAGGACGCATTCATTTGCTACAGATCAGGATAGACGGTTCAGAACAGCATCAGGTCTACTACCGAGTCTCACATTGCCGGGTTAGCATCTTCAACATCTACGTTCTAATCGTTCGTAAGGTTTTTAGGTAAGGAAACAGCGACAGAGTTCAAAATGTATTCAAACAATTTAATATCTAAATTATGAAATAATATCTAAATTAATCATAATATGTATATATAAATTATAACATCTAAATAATATCTAAATTATGAAATAATTATGTAAAATTATATATTGTTGGATTCAAAATATTTTTTGTGTAAACTAGATAATCCGCATTTTAATGTTTCAAAAGAGTTAATTAAGAGAGAGTTATCTAAATTAAATGGTATTTCTAAATCATCTATTACATAAAACTGGATAAAAAATTACACAACATATACACACGCATATATATATATATCTGTCAAAATTTATTACAGTTATATACATATTATGTATATAAAAATGTAATTATATAAAAATATTGTGTTATTTTTATATTCATTTGTGCGCGCTTATATTAAAAATGAATATTTGTTCAAAATTTCTAGGCTAATAAGAGCGTTCGACAAAAAATTGTCTGTCACCTAAACATCTAAATATCAATTAATCTTTTTTTTTATTAAAACAAAATTGACAAATATTCAAGAAATAAATTTTTTTATATTAAAGGTATCGCTATTGTATTCATTTTAATCGTGTGATTATAAAACACATAATGCAAAAAATTTTTATTTCAATTGCAAATATGAGAACTTAAATTATTTAGAAAATCAATCAGATATTTAAATATTAAAAAATGTGAATTATATATATTTGCAGCTCTAATGATAAACTTATATATATAGAAAAAATGTATAAATAGCTATCATAGACTTGTTTCTTGTTTTGTTTAAAATTTGATTTATGTTTACGCGAAATAAATTTAGAAAATAAATAAGGATTGGTGAAATTTAATTAAATCGTAATTGCAATGTAATATAAAATATTTGGGAATAATATATGTATCGGAGCGTATTATTATCGCGAATATTATTCTAACCGCAATCTACTAGCAATATAATGTTAGGTAATGATGTAACGTTAGATAATCCGCAATATACATAAGACTTGTTTTCTCTTTTCTAATATCAGTGGATAAGATATTGGTCCAAATTTCGAAACTGCGAGGGAAAAGATTTTTTTATGCGAATAAATTTCCACTCCCACTTGAAGCAATTTCTCTATCTTTTACTACATTACGTAAAACAGTCCCAAAATTTTACTTGGAGGCAGTTCGCCAAACCTTTTTCTCAGATGTATCGTAGACGGTGAAAGTGCAAGGATCGCACGCATTCCCCGTCCGCATAGTACCTCAAGTGAACCGTTGCGAACATTAATAAGTACATGATAAGTACCGTGGTGATTTTTTTTGCGTGCTTCAGATTTATCAAACAAAGTAGGAGAGAGAAAGAAAAGGCAGAAAGATGCTAAGAATCCTCTTGATTGCGCTACTATTGTACGCTTTGACTACCGCTGTCGAGTTCGGTGAGTACATTTGATGATTTTAACTACCACACGTGTAAGAAATTTAAAAATCGGTGATTTTTATGTTTGATATTATAAAGAGGAGAAATTGTCAATAAAATTAATAACAAATTTGAATAATAATTAAGCAAAACAGATTAAAAGATTCGAGAGATCTCTACTCTTTTATAATATATTTTCTTTAAATTTCTTTCGAGACATTATTGAAACTTTCATAATCACTTATATATCACGTGTTGTAACATAATTAAGTATTTTCAATATTACGGCGGACGAAAAATCAACACGTAATATTACTTTCACTGAAGAATTAAATATATAGATTGCACTGTGTGTGTGTATGTGTGAATATATATCATTTTATCGATTCTGAAAAAAAATATGTAAAATCAAATCGAATTTTATTGTTGTCGCTTTTGCTCAAAGCCGGTTTTAAGCTATGCGTATTGTTACTTTTATATTGCGAAAATTGTATATTTCGACAGTTTGAACGTTACAAGAGATCAGTAGTTACACAAATATATATATAATTTTATTGACTCCGGAAAGTTTGTGATATCAATTTTTTTTCTTGAAAGAATATCAAAATCTTAATATATTTGTTAAACAAGAGTGCATCATTATATTGAGACTATTAACGTATTAAAAAATAAGTTAGAATGATATAAGAAAAGTCATTTACACACACATTTATGGATATATTATGATGTATAATGATATTATTATATGTTGTAATAAAAACAGAATTCACGAATAAAATCTTTTCAAGAAATGCAACATTGTACTATAAAGTGCAAGATATTAGAAAATCAGAATGCTTAGGAGTGAAAGTTACATTATTGTGATTGCACATGTGCATTCAATGTTAATTGACGTATTTTCGCAACAATTCCTAAAACACACATAAACTTGCTAATTGGATTTAGTCATTATGAAGATTTTACAAAAAATTTTTTAATTTTAGCATTATTTATCTTTTCATTTTAATTGTAATAAAAACGGATAAAATATGTTTCAATTTAATATATAAAATAAATTGGATGTAGTAAATTCATGACATTACAATATTAATTGATACGTATTATTTCTTTCCTTTATATATGATTACTTATACCAAGATAAAAAAGATTTTTTAAATACAGCAAAAAAGTAAAGTATATGTTATAAAAATTATCTTTGCACAAACATTATAATAGAAATTTTATATTAATATTAATTTTATCAAATTTCATTAATATTGTATTAGATTATATTAGCATATTAAAATTATCATGATTTTAACTCCGTTTTGAAGATTACGTAATTCTCACAGAATAAAAAATTGCTTAGCATTCCTTAGCTTTTTATTATTCGATAAAATCTAACTCATTAATATCATTTTGACAGAATAAAAAATTAGTACATAATAATTAACGTACAAAAAACTGAAATAATATAGTTGAAACAGAATAAATCTAAAAAGATTATTGAACGCTTTAAAATCTAATTTCTATATAACTTTAATTATTTATCTAATTCTAAACATCTTCAGAATTTTAATTCTTTGTTACAAAATTAAATAATTTATGAAATATGTTGCTAACATATTCGAGAAAGAGTTTATTTAAAAAGCTTTTAAACACTCTTCAATGATAAATAATTATTTTTTAATGTTATATAATTCTGAATCATATATAATTCATTGTTACAAATTAATTTATACAACATTTCTCGTAATACAATATATATTTATGTACCAATTTAAATCAATGACTCTCAAATATAGCTCTCATGTATGTTTTTAGAGGACAACTTTAAAAATTGTCATCCCGATAAGTTAGGGTTTGATGCCTGCGTACGAGAGGGATTAAATTCGATTCGACCTTATTTCAAAACTGGTCTACCTAAATACAATGTGCTCCCGTTTGATCCATTTTTTGCCAAAGAGGTAACTGCCACGAGGGGAGTTCCGAATTTCGGTTTTATTTTAACCCTCCGAAATGTCACTGAAACGGGATGGGCCATCAGTAAAGTAACAAAGTTCATCTCCGAATTGAGAAATTACAGGGTACGTGCACTATATTCATCATTCGATGTAATTATATGTTACACTTGATGTAACATGCAATTTTATCGACAAATATCGTATGATTATATATATTAGTTCCTTATTATATTTTTCAAAAAATATTTATTAAGTGATTCATTATATCTTATCTTTTATATTAAAGAGCATCTTATATTTTATTATTTTTTAAAGATAAGAGAATATATTTATTCAGGATTATAATTAGGATAATTATTAATATTTTATATTATATACATTTAATTTTTATTAAGCCGGATCTACATTGGCCGCATCGTAACGTCGCAAAGGAGTAAGTCGTAGGCAAATTGACCAACCATCGATTATTTCAAAAATAATCAACCATGATTGGTCAATTTGCCTACGACTTACGACTTGCGACTCCTTTACGACGTCACGATACGACCAATCTAGATTCGGCTTTAGAGAAAAAAATCTAAACAAAAACAATAACATGATGACAAATCAATTATAACACTTTTAATATTATATTAATTAGATTGTGTACACGCAAAGCTTCCCGAAGAAAGTGCTGAATGGTAATTACGAATTTAAGGGTGAATTATTCAGCTCCACTATAACAAACAAAGGAAGATTTACCCTCATCTTATGTAAGTGTTATTAATAAATTTATTCCAAATGCGTTCGAAAGTTTCCATATAGAGTAAAATTTATTAGTAATTGCTAATTTTATAGTATGTGAAAGTGCGAATATTCATTTAAGAATGTCTAGAAAGTCGTATGTCTTTTAATCTTTTACTGTAGTCATTTGGTACGTTTAACCAATATTATTGAGCATGATTAATGGCGTGAAAAAAACTAATTTGCTTCAATGCAAAAAAAATAATCGTATGATCTTTTGTTTTCAATGCCATGATCCAGTATGGCTGCACTATAGGATTAGAAGAGAAAGATATATAATTAAAAAAAAATATTTATTTGCACACAATCTTTCTATTTTATGGTATTTTTTCTCACTGCAGACGATCTAATGCAAACGACTACCGTGACTAGATTACCGGGACAAAAAGTGCGGGCTCAAATGGATGTTGAGAGCATCAATAATCTAGAACTTCACATCACAAATCTTTTATTTGGCAAGCAATTGCTTGAAAATATTCTAGATAAAATAATCAACACTACCTGGCAACCTGGTTTCGTGATAACAAGGGGTTTAATCAACGAGCTCGTATCGACTGCCTTTACAGAAATTTTCAATAATTCCTTCTATAATTTTCCTTTCGAAAAAATTTTCAAATCGAATCAATCTATAAGTTAAATCAATTACATCTGTCAAGTAAGCTATGATTGAATGAATAAAAGCGTCTTTTAATTAATGTCTTTTAATTAATAAGTAAATAAAAAATATTTGTCGGTTCGATAAATAATGTTAAATCGCTGTAAAAAGACGAAGTTTAGTATAAATAATAAGTTTAATTTACATTTTTTGTGAAAATTTTTATGTAATTCATGTATTTTTATTTTAGAAATCTTGTGCTGTTTTTCTTATGTTTGCATAATCATACGTTTTCATTATACAAAAATATTCAGCACATAAAATATAAGTATATGTGAGATAAATATATGCTTCTTTTTGTATTGATTAAGTTCTACGATTCACGATATATATCGTGCTATCATCGAATAATTTTTCTTGCTACTCCAAATTAACATTGCTCATTAATTTGGCATATCGTGTCTTATATATAACAGTTATATTTTTCGTCGAGCGCTATGTCGACTATATTTTAAGAGAATTTTTTTCATTTTTGCATAAATTGCCGATTGCCTTGAGAATTCGCGGTCTTTGACCGCGCATCAAATTATTGTGGAATTTTCATTCTTTTTCCACATGAATCTTTCTAAATAAATCGATATTATTGCTAAAAAGAATTTTAATCATTTCAAGTTTCTTTTTTTTCACAAAATAGACAAATTTATTTTAATTTATGTTAAAAGTTACATAAGTTAAAATAGACATGGAATACGCCTATATGGAAACTGACCAGTTCAGAATTCGTTTTAGACGAATCGTATCTATTCGCTAGGATTAAGAAAGTGTAATAATAAATGTAAATTATATGCGATAAATAATCTCTATATTAGTGATTAATGAAAAATTAAAATAACAAGTTATAGCGAAATTAGTTTTTCTACAACGAATTTATTTGTATGACTGACACTTTTTAAAAAAAGAAGGATTCTAAAATTTTATAAGATTTATACTTTATATTTTCGTTACATTTTGAAACTCGCTATGAAATCACGTTGTGCAAAATTATTTACTATTTAGTCTCTCTCGTTCGTTTTTCCCTCACGTCTAAACGCAGGAAATACGACGTTGATCTTCCGCGAACATGTGCGCGAGCAAATCAGAAACGTGACTTAAAACGAACGTGACCGAGCCGATTAACGGTGTTTTAATATTCTCTTATTCCTCTTTCGGTTGTTCTATGACGTCCATTCTGACGTCCATTCAGACGCTTTCTTTCGTCCATATTCATCGCACATTTTCATTAGCTGTTATCAATATTACAAGTTACGATGACCTATTTTTCCTTTATTATTTGATTGACACCTTTTAAATTCCGACTTAGTCTTTGGATTGTTTACGTACTTAAATTGTATAATTTAATCGCAATTGCAACGCAACTCGATTTAATGCAGTTGTATCGCCTAATTATTCAAATCGTTAATTATTAGGAGTGGAGAAAATAGCTTTTTTGCTGCCTTTTCCAATCATTAAGCGCGTACCACTTTAATATTGCTAGAAAAGAAAAAGAAAGTTAAACAAACATCAGTAATTATCGGGAAAGTAAGCGCCGATACATTAAATTAATCAATGTGTTTTTTCGTCTCCTTCGAAATATCTTCAATGATAAATTCTCCATCAACAAGATGGAGCGGGTTCGTTAAAAGATTTCAAGAGCTCTATGAATAATTTAAAATTAGTACATTAATAAAAGTTGAACAACCTTGTATCAAACCTGCGTCGCTTCCTATTTCTTGCTTCTCCTTATTCTTTATTTACAGAAAATTGTATGGCAAACTTACTGCATCAATAATGTAATATACTCTGTCGAATCTAAAATTGATTTAGATAGAGATAATAAATTTGGAATTGTAATTTTTTCGAAAATCAAGATGATAAAATTATGAGAGATTTAGAAGAATTCTATTAGATTCACATCAACTCGGTGCTCTGTTCGGGCATCGTTGCAGCTCGAGTCTCTTCTTCTTCTTCTTCTTCTTCTTTGTTGTCCTCGGGGTCGGCATAGCGGGGGCAATGTCAAGGTAGGCTATAAGTCCTGGCGCATCCCTGCCAGCCGATCATTCTTCGTCGAGAAATCCGGTCAAGTCGCGCGGTCCGCAGACGAGGTTGATCGAGGAATTGATTGTAACGAGAGAGAAAGAAAGAAGAAAGAGCAGTAGAGCTGTCTCGCTGAACGAAGAAATGAGAGGTGTTGTACTGTTACTCTGCTACGCGTGCACGCTGCTGATTAGCGTCCAAGCCATCGGCAAATACCGAGGCCTTGAATTTCTGGAAACATGTTCCAGACATGACTCAAAATTGGAAGGCTGTTTAGCGAAAACGGCCAACACACTTGTCGCGCATTTTCGTCAAGGTGAGATCTCCAAATTTTATTTCATGCAAATTTATTTTGATATTTTAAAATTTCTTTGACGTAATTTTCTCTACAACTTCATATGCCATGTGAGTAGTAGTATTAATTTATTCTTCGTTTGAAATATCGAGGATGCATCTTCGTTTGTAGACAGAGATTTGATCTACAATTTGAATAAAAGCAACGTTAAACACGCATGTATTGTTTATATATTATACATGTATGTATTAAACTGTGTGATAAAATAAAAAAATGTGATTTTTTATTTTGCTATAACGATATTTGATTTATTAAATTATTAATATCTTGTACGATACGTCGAAGAAGCTAAAGTCTGTTTTTTTATTATGTCAAGTACATCAGCTGATTGGAATTCGCGTTTGACCGAGGTATACTTTTCTGTTTTTATTTTTTTTCTCCGTCTTGTTAAAATTATTCATAATTTGATATAACATTATTATTATGTTTAACATTATTATTATGTTTAATATTTTGTTCAATAAAATATAACTTTGATTCGATTAAAATACATAGTAATATAGAAAGATAACATTTTTACTTGCTATTCTGCGCAGTCGAAATAATTTAATCAATAGCTCTGATTAATAATTTATTCGTTAATTTTTTTAATAAATGAAGAAAAATGATGCACATCTCTTAATTTAGAAAAATTATGCTAAAAATAAGAAAGCAAAATTGTTGAATATTCTGTGTAACGTATTTTTACATATTTTAAAATATTCTACAATTTTTACATTGGCTTTGATAAATTTTTAAAACATAATGCCAAATATGATATTAATTTGATGTTAATTAATATGAAAATAATAAATTTGAAGCATCTGTTGCCTGTAGCGTGTATTTTTTACTTTACTTGATAAAAATTTTAAGAAAATAATTTTTATATACTACAGTGAACATTTATTAGAATTTTTTAGAATAAATATATGACAATAATACAAATAATTTGTAAATAAACTGCAAGTCGAAAGCCTGAGAAACAAAGTGGTTTTACAATCACATGGTTTTGTTAGCCACGTTAACCGAAGCAGGTTATAACGGTGTATTCGAATGATCACCCAGTGTCCTACATTCCAGTCATTTTGTATGAAGTTGTGCTCCGATACTTGGAGCGATAGCTTTCTGCAAACGTACATAACGATTTCAAAATTTGTCACTTTTAATACATTGTAAACTTTTCACACGAATTACAAAGATAATTAATGAAAAGCAAGATTTTCGTATTGCAATCTAATATCTCTGTCAGTTGTACGATAAAACATTATTTCTCTTAATCAGAGATTGTCTCTTAATTGTAACAATTTCTATTAAATTTAATAATAATAATTAAAAGATCATCTTCAAGAAACTTTTAAAAAATTAAAATTCTGTCAAGTTTTATTGCACGAAGAGAAACCTGCAAATTTTCTCATGACAAAACATATTAATCTATCTTAATTAATATCACAACTACAGGTTTACCGCAATTAGGCTATCCAGAAGTGGAACCAATTATTCTGGACGAATTGCATATCGCGTTGGGCGGCGGTCCGAATGGCTATAGAGCTCAATTCAGAAATATTACCGCGAGAGGAGTCTCTACCTTGCGAGTAACTGGTCTCAAGACAAGATTGAGTGATGACGAGGTGCAGTTGCAACTGGCTTTCAACATACCAAAGATAAGAGCTGCTGCCAAATATCGATCCAGTGGAACTTTAATCTTGGTTCAAGCCAGTGGAGCCGGAGATTATTGGGGGGAATATGGTAAGCTGAAACAATACAATTAATTAGTAGCAATTCAGCAGCGCATATTGCATATACCCCTATATAACTATACTTGTTGTTGTCTTAAAATTTAATTTATTGTCTTAAAATATTTTATTGTTCATTTAAAAGAGAATATGAAATTTGTCATTCATTTATTAGAAGTGTGCAGTATTCTTTAATTTCCCCGATGAATTTTGTTGAACGAGTGAAATGCCACTTACACGTGTACAAGTAACTTTCACTTGCGCATATACACCATATTGTCAATAAACTTCATTTATCGCTGTTTCGTAGAGTGAAACATTTATAATTGAATATAATAATAGATTGTTTACAGACATATCTGAACAAATTTGAACATTTGTTACATAAATAACGAACAATTAAAGGTTTGTTACATAAATAACGAATAATTAAAGGTTTAAAAATTAATTGGGGGAACTATTTACATATAAAAATCTTCATGCTATGTTAATTCGAGTTAAATGATCTCTAGCATTAAGCTCCTTGTGAATAGCAACACGATTTACCAACATGTTACAAGAAATATTCATGTAGACGGGAATTATACTCACGAAAGCTCCTTTCTGAAATAACTCATTGCCATTCGCGCCTGTCTGTAGATAATCCGAAATACAAATACGTGTCTCTTTTATCGTACCTGTAATTCCGAAAGAGAATTATAAAAAAATATGTATTTAAATGTAAATTATTTAAATGTCAAATAAGTAAGGTTTTATAATACAATGAGAATGATATTTTATTACTATTATATACGCATTATATTTAAAAAATGATTAATAATACATATCAATTTCTGACACTAATTTATACAAATAACTTGTACAAATAATCGAAAAGAAACATTAAAATTCGAATTTATTTTTCATGAAAATCAATCATATTTCACTTGAAATGTGAAGCAAGCCTGGAATATATTTTTTTATTTTGTTATTTTCCACAATTCCATTCACCAACATTTTTTCATTTGCAGAAGGTGTTAAGGCTAAGGTTTTCATCAGGGCAAGACCGTTTCTGGTCGAAGGTCGTCGTTATCTGAGATTACAACAACTAAAAATGGATTTTAGCGTACAAGATATTAAAATGGGAGTTGAAAATGTGCGCAATAGCAATAGCATATTGCGTAAGTAATTTTTATATAAAATTCTCAAATTATTTCAAAAAATAGAATAAAAGAATTTTAACAATTATAATAATAATAGTAAGATAAAAAATAATAGTATAATAAATGAAATAAAGAAATTTGATTGTAATAAAATTAAACTGAAAGAAATTAAAGAACGACTATAAGCGAAATTCAAACTTTAATTCGAATAAAAAGAAACCGATACGCTTTATTGATTGAAAACTAGCCAACAAATTAGCATGAAAGAAACTACGTTTAATGTGGGACATTCTGTATAATTGAATTTAAATTTTTACTTTTTAAATTATTTTTTAATTCTTGTGGATAAATTATGGAATTTTAAATCTAAAATGTAAAAAAAGGATTCTACAAAAATATATTTTACAAGAAACGTATTGAAATTTTGAGGCAATTCCAATAAGAATATCTAAATTTGACAAATATGTATGAGACAGAGATACTTCAGAGAGAGATACTTCAAGTTTATATCGATATTAATTTTGAGAAATAAAAGATGACATATAATTAATCAGAAAAATTCAAGTTTTGTTTGTATCATTATCTACTTTATATATCTTTATTCACATGCAATTCGTATTGTGATAGAATTTTATGGTCAAATGTGTCATTTTCATGTTTCATTTTACAGTGGCGGCATTGAATCTTTTCATCAACACGAATAGTCAGGAACTTTTGAAAGAAATGAAGCCGGATTTAAGGAGAAAACTGGTGCAGGTGATGTCGACTTTCGTGGAAAAACTTTTCGCTCAAGTGCCATACGATGCCTGGATCGTGGATTAAACACTTAATCGGTAATTGCTGAAAGCAAAAATTGTCAATCACGTAATCGGTGCACTTTTGAACCGCGAAGCGAGGCTCCTCAGGCAAAGAGAAAAAAAATTCCCTCTTCGTAGAAGTCGTGCGTTTTCGCGATATAACGAAGAGATCTCTTTATAATACAATGGGAATACCAGATGATAGATATGTCACGCAAGTAATAATTATTCTTAGATAATATCTCTGACAATAAGTTGAAAAAAAGTAAAACGACGATTGACGCTCTTTTTAATCTGACATAAAATACTCGAAGAGCGTTTGATTCTACAGAGATCGGTTATATGTTACATACAGGGGTCGGTTATATGTTGCATATGTTGCATACAGGGTATTTTATAAGATCTGCGTCGCGAATCTAAAGCGAATATATTGAATCAAAAATATTAAATCTGATGTAAGAGCGTATCTCAATAATTATGGAGATATTTGCACAGTAAATTAAAGTAAGTTTAAGCTTCAAAGATACAATTTTAAAAAAATATAGTTATATATATACAGATATATAATTTTAAGCATGATATCACAAGCGCGATGATTTGTAGTTTGCCTTCTTATTCTTGTTATTAATGATTATTTGTTATTTATTTCATCTTCGCTTCATAAGTGATGTTGAATTAAATTATGAAGTGTCTTGCATAGCGTATAAGAAAAGCAATGTTCTGTTTTAATTGGAATTCAAATTCGAACTATAATTCAAATAGAACATTATTTTTTATACGTTATGATATAAAACAATATAATAATGAAACTATGTGTATATATATATATATATATATATATATATATATATATATGTATGTATGCATATTTCCATTATAGATAAACAATATATACACATGTAATTTTAATCAGAATAAATAAAGTTTGTCAAAAAGTAATAATTACGAATATATGTTACAATACGTTACAATAATTACATTTTATGTGTACGTTATACGTTTACGGTTACGTATACGTATTACGTTTTATGTGTACAATGATATATATATATTTTGTTTCTCTTTTAATAATATCAAAGAAAATTACAATATTTGTTATTTATTAAAATAATTTAATTACAAGCTTTTATTTTAAAATAAATCATAGCACACATTTTAATCTTTATTCATCTCTATTCTTGTTACTTTTATATCTTATTATGAATAGTTTTAAATAAATATAGATAATTAGTCATTTACAGAATTTATTGCAATTATCATTCTATAAAAGCTATAATTCGTGTAAAGAAAATTAAAAATGTAATTCAGAATTCGACGATGCATTTTTCCGATTTACTTTGCGAAATTACGTTATATAAATTCAAGGTGCATGATTGTTATATCGCACGCGTGATAATATGATTAGTGAATATCAACGACAAACTCTGAACTTCGGAATAATAGGGGAATCGAAAAATAGATGGCTGAAATAAAATTTTTTATCATTGTACATATAAATTATTTTTTCGAGATAAATTAAAGCCTACAAATGATGATTATGTAATTAATATCAAATAATCCATTTTGATAAGCAACAAGAATAATGATTGCGTGTAATCGTAATTAAAAATCAAGATGACGTAACCATATGAGATGTTTTCTAATTTATTACTTATTATAAATCATTTATGATGTCAAGTACATTTAATATTCTGAGCAAATATCAGTGTTATTTTTTATTGTATTTTATTGTTGTTTTTTACTTTATTTGATTAATAGTAATAGTTTTACATAAACTTATGTAACAAGTATATGATATTAATTGTTTCAAATCTGAATGAAACAAATGAAGAGAAGAAATTAGTTGTACGACAAAGTTTTACATAAGACAATAATTGCAATGAAATGATGATTCTGAAGGGCAAAACAATTATATATATATATATATATATATATATATATATATATATAATACAATTGATTATATCTCGTATTAAATTAAATCACGTCTTTTCTAGAAATTTCAATCCATTATGTTCCGAACAGTTGCATTTTTCTTCAAGTAATAAATATGAACTTGTAATTATTAATAATTTATTTCATTTTTTTCATTAAAAATAGCAGCATCTTGTAGAAAATATAAAATTGAATTTCTATATAATATAAAATGAATAGATTAAAGATTACAAATAATTGATTGTATCGATTAGATCGATCATATAAAATATATTTAAAAAAATATACTTTGTTATTTGAACATTAAAGATTTAGCTTTCTCTCATTCTCTCTCTCTCTCTCTCTCTCTCTCTCTCTCTCTCTCTCTCTCTTTCTGCTTCTCTCTTATTTTTAATAAGAAAAATATATTAAGAATAATTAAATATTTTTACTCTTTTAAAAAGTTATTCTTAAAAATAACAAAGTATAATTTTTATTTTAGGTTCCTTACAAGATTTTTATCTTTAGGAATATCATTTTAAAATTTCTGATCAAATTAATTAAATTTAATTACATTAACTTATAAAGAAAAAATTAATAAACGTAAAAAATATTTCTGCCATCATTATTTACAGAATATTGTATTTAATTATATTATATTGCGCGTTTAGATATTAAAATTCTTAATTAGCAACAAAGTTCTATTCTATTCGCATTTCTATCGATAATGATAATATCTACAAGAGATTTTTTTATTGTATAAACTTTATTGCAAATTTAATATTCAATGAATAATATTAACATTAAACATATATCTAAGAGATCATTATAGAGATAATTATTATTATATAATAGAGATAATTATTATATTTACTCTCGCGGAAGATTAATTATATTGGTGCAAATGTATTGATCATCTTAACAAAATCACACATACACTCTCGCTCTCTCTCTGTCTCTTCTTCTTTCTCTCTCTCTCTCTCTCATATTAGTGTTACATCTTCGCGATTATCAAAGCGGAATCGCAACCAGTGATTGTCGGTTTGATGCGAGGGTTCTAGATTTAGTTTATTGAATGTAAGCGGTACAAGATGTACGTATGCTGCGCCAAAATGATTGAGACAATGAAAGCAGGGAATTAGAGTTTTCTGATATGATTACTGCTGTTGGTAATAATTTTTCAAAATAGAGTACAGATTAAAGTAATTTCGCAAATTTATCTTAATATCCTAGCTGTTGAAACAAAAAAGACGTAAGATTGTAAGTGACATCATGCAAGCGTGTTTACATGATGAAGTTTGCGAATAAAGATAATATGTCTTCCACTAATTTTTTAATCGCGGAATACGTTGAAATACATGACATACCCGTATTTCAAAATTCGACAATCACTGGTTGCGATTCCGCTTTGATAATCGCGAAGACGTAACACTAATATGAGAGAGAGAGAGAGAGAGAGAGAGAGAGAGAGAGAGAGAGAGAGAGAGAGAGAGAGTGTATGTATGATTTTGTTAAGATAATCAATACATTTGCGCCAATATAATTAATCTTCCGCGAGAGTAAATATAATAATTATCTCTATTATAGATATATGTTTAATGTTAATATTATGCAAAAATGAAGAAGAAAAAAATAAGATCAAATTTATAAAAAAACAAACATTTTTTCTTTTAAAAGGAAGAATAAAAATATATTTATATAGTATATATAAAAGATATTTTAATATAATATTATCTTTTTGTATTATGTATGAAGATTTAAAGTATTATATTTGATTGACAGCAAAAAGTAGCTGAAAATCAATATTGACGAATATATTCACTTCTGAAGTATTTTAAGTATGAGAAATTGCGTGGAATATTACAATTTGATCTTAGTTACAGTGCAGAGATGTATTTTTTAATATTTATTGCGTTTTTACTGAAATATTCCGAATTTTGTTAATCGAAATGATTAACTTTTGGCAGAGAATTTCGCCTTGTGTCAGATACATGGCAAATTTCATTGAATTATATTTAATATCTTTTTAACCAGTACTTGTATAATATTATTTGACCAAATATTTCCTCTGTATCTAAACTACACTTTTGCAAATTTTAAACAAATTCTGAATATTATTTCCATGTGTTTTTGTCATTTGAATTGATGTGATTATACCTTTCCCATAAGAACATGTTAATTCGGTGCAAAATAAAATCCTTATAACTTGTTGAGCGCTTTAGTAAATCGATTTAAAAATTGTACTGAAGATTCTAAACATATGTAAGGACATTCTGTACAATTTTCATTAAATTCTCAATATTTTGAAAATAAGTACAAAACATCCTTAATATAAATATAACATTTTTAGAACTTATTAAATTTGTTTTTTCATTCTGTAAAAAAACTAATGTCAGAAAAACAGGAAATTATTGGTAGATATAATAGTTTCCAAATTTTTTTATACTTTATAAGATATTTGTACTTTGAGTTGTATCTCTAATTTATTTGATTGATGGATTGCAAAGCGACACATTGACATCCGGTAGGTTGTCAACGCCGACTTCACGGTCATTATAGCATAGCTCTGACAACTCCTTTGATTTGATGGCTGACTATGAATTATTTTTGCTAATTCACGAGCTCACGATAACTCATGTACGTACGCATAAACAATCATTCATTCGTGTCCGGAAGTTACACACTTGCCTGTAAAACTTTATTTTTTGTATCTCGATAATTTTTGCTATATAATGTAGTACTTCTCGATTGTAATTTATAAAATGTGTTAAAATGTATCAAGAAAATTATTATAACAAGGTTTATTTATAGAAAGAAAATAGTTAGAAATTATTAAATAAAATTAATATATACACATAAAATTGGTAAAATTGGTTCTCTAGCAATAACAAAAATATTCAGTAATATTTTTTATACTTTTCAAAAAAAAGGCATTTTTATAATTTTGATCAAAAGTATGTATGTATAAGAAAAAAAACGCAAAAATATACTTTGTATTTTAGGAGCGATGCTACAATTAATATATAATATTCATTTTATTTTCTTAACGTTAATATTTTTTTCTTCTAAATATACTGATTTTCTTTTAAATATACTTATATTTATATTTTATTTATATTTATATTTAACGTTTGATATCAATATTTTATGGAAATATCAGTCACATTATTTTATAATAATCAATACTGTATTTAATTTAATTATGCTTCGCGGTGATTTCAACATTCATTAAAAGTCTGATTTATATCTGTACGGAAACTTTATAGTACTTAAAATAAAATCTTATTACATAAAAAATTTTATTTGATTACTCAGGAAGAGTTTATTTTTTGTAAACGTTCCAGGAAACTTTTAAGTTACCCGTGTAATAATATAATATTATTAGACACCGTGACTATGACGTGTGGACTTTGATTCCCACGCATTAAACACATTTTCATCTTATTTTAATTCTTGGAAAAATCTATGAAAACCTGTATCTTTTGTACGTTCACTTCCATCAATCTTCGTGAAACTCATCTTAACTGCGCGTTGGTACACACAAACATAGTGACATTGATGACCAAGGAACCACGTCTTTCATTGATATATTGCATAACACATGTTTCTTTCAGCAGCTGCTGCGATTTAGATTATCATTTGAAAAAATTCTTCCTTGATAGAAAAATTGATAGAAAAAAGACAATTGTAAAGCACCAAACCATTTAATCAATTTAGGGTTCAAGAATAAATTTTATAATACATGATTATTACAAAATTAATTTAATCATGAATATTTTTAAAAGAAAAATATTTTTTGTTTTATTAACAATTTATAAAATATATGCAATTAAGAAAAATTAAACTTTAAATTTAAAAAATTAAATTTTAAATGTAAATATGAACAATAAGAACAAAAATGGAAAACATAGCAAAATTTTATTTGTTTTAAAATCGAGTGTTATTACAATTCGAGGAGATTGATAATCACTCTAATCTGTCTTCTGTCACGTCATAATCACGTATTCTAAAATGCATAAAGTACCTTGCAAGATATTCACCGAATATTGAATTGCGATCTTCTTTGCGTCCTGCTTGGTTCACTTATTTATTGATCCTAAAATTAGGAATTCGTCTTCCTTCCGCCAGCGTATTACCAATAGGAAGATTCGGCTAATATAAAATTCTTGCGACGTACGTCGTCGATTTCTAAGCCGCTTTATATAATAGATCAATTCTAAAAGGGAGAATGTCAATTAAGACCATTAAAATTATGCGACCATTTTTTATCAAATAAATGCTAAATATCCGTTAAAAAAAAAGTTGCTGTTGTAAGGAGTGAAAAAAGATGACTGAGAAATGTTCAGATTTTGCATATCTTTTTCTTTCAAATATGCGCAATATTTATTATTAATTATATCAAAGGCAAAAAATAATTTATGTTAAAAGTTACATACACGCACATATAAAATAATCTTTCTCGTCTTCAAGGTCAACAGAAAGTAATATTAAGACCTCGATATGTCGTCATCAGGGATATATTTCATTCGATTGAAATAGAACGGCATAATTATAGTAAAGAAATTCTTTATTTATGAATTATGCTTGGATGTAAAATATTTTTCGATAATCGCAGATCGACATTTCTCGCTCACCTTCGGTATAAAAACTAAAAGAGGAAAGATGTAATGGCAAGGTCGTCTGCCTGCACATATTAGTTCTTTTTTTCGCTTTTCGCACGTGCACGATTTTCCTGTGATCATTTAAAAACAAATATCATCGACAGAATAAGAATGGTCTTTATCTCGAATTGAAATAAGTGAGTAACGGACGACGGAAGAGGGGGTAAATAAATAGTCTCTGCTATAAGGCTTCAGATCGCCGTTCGGATCATTCACTTCCAGCCCGACTATCCTCGAATCACCTGTTGCTGGATCCACCAGCAACCCTCACCGTCGAAATCCAGGCACCCGCAAGCCGAAAGACACACGCATTGAGCTTCCTGTCTGTCTTTTTCTTTCATTTTCTCCGGTGAAAAGATGACAGTACTAGCGAAGGCAACCGTCCTTGTGGTCCTGCTTGTCGAGGTGACGATTGGCGCGGAAGCTTTGCAAGACATACGTGAGTAAATTTGTCACCAAGACCTTTAAAAGACCTTAAAGGAGAAAATTTACCGCACAACACAAGAATATTTAATGTGTTTTCATGTGGCTTGAAATTGTGCATGTTTGTTATTTGAATTTTTTCACATTTATTACGTATTGCATTGTTACCACACATATAATGCAAACTGTTAAATGCTAAAGATTTTCGATTCAACACTTATTAAATCACCATCTCAATCAATCACCTCAAGCAAACCATCTCAAGATTTCTATTATAATTGAATCTTGCACTTTGATATATACTCGATTTAAGCGATGTAAGCGATTACTGTTAACTACTGAGTTAGGAACTTGAGAAGCGCGTTTTTCATATATATTTTATATATTTGTAAATCTAATTATTTCTATTTATTTGTCAGCAAAGTGCTGCTTGCTTCATTATCTTATTCTTCCTGCTTGAGTAAGCGTAAATTTGCAAGGTTTTGTCATGGCTATGATGCAAGAAATAATATATTGAATCTAATGGATTGAGTTATCACAATAAAGTATTGTTATTGAGTAAATTAAATTAATTGATTTGATTTTTAAATCTCGGCTGAAAAAGAACATCTTCTTTCTTTGTTTTTTAACTTAGCTTTCCTTATTTTTTAACTTAGATTTTGTTAAGCATACATATATATGTTACATATATATGTACGTACATCATCTTTTTACGCAAAATTGGCAATTTAATCACAAAGTTACTAAAAAAATTGTTCTAACGTCCTTTCTTTTCTAACAATATGCAACTTTAGTAAAAAGAAGGCACTTACATAAAAGATGCTTACCGATCTAAGTTTGCATAATTATTTTCTGCGCGTCATTGAATTTGATATATTCGGAGTATGTATTGTATATTCGGAGGGTTTAAATTTTATCGTTATAAATATCGTAAAATAATAGAAAAACGTTTGCACACAAAAAGTAAAGAAACCGAGAGCAGATTATGCATATGTAACCTCGAGATTATACATATATAATCTCGATATACATGATAATTATTCAATACATTCTTTTCATTAAAATACATAAGATGAAAATATATTATTAAAAGTATAATATTATACAAATAAAATCATATTGTAGTAGTAAATCAGAATCGAGCGAATTGATACCAATTTGCATATAACAAGTATTTATTGTTTTTCCTCCAAAAGATACTCTTACAATAATTTATGGTATAAATATAATTATAAATATAATTATATATAATATACATACATACATATATATATATATATATATATATATATAATTATATTAAGTATATTAAATTCTTATATTAATTATGTTATATAAATTATATAAATTATACTAATGATAATTTTAATTACGTTTGTAGCCGAATTCCTGCACATTTGCCAAGTTCAGCAACCACAATACGAAACATGTGTCACCAACAGTATAAATGATTTGAAGCCATATCTTAAGGTGGGCGTACCAGAATATCATATCCCTTCTCTGGAACCTCTTAAGTTGAAGACAATATCAGCTTCTCCATCTAATAGTTTGACAATGCATGCAAACGATATCAATGTGTACGGTGCCAGCAATTTTGAAATTAATAAAATAAAGTAAGTATAAAAAAATGTGGCATACATATAATAATAATATTATATTTCTTTTATCGTTATTGATCAATAATGATTAACTACAAGATATATTTTTTACATACAAAATTTAGTCATCTTTAAATATATTAATATTTATATTTTGATATTTAATAATTTATTGAGGAAAAATAAAGAGAAGAAAGAGAGAGAGAGAGAAAGAGAGAGACAATGTGTGTATATGTGTATAGTTTTTTTAATTTCTTGGATCAATAGTTTATAAATAAATATGTAATATAACAAATGATATAAGTTTTAGATATTAAAATCAATTGTAAAAAACTTCATGACCGTACTTTTGAATGAATATTAATTAGACATTTTCGATTATATGAACAATTGTTCGCGAGCGTATTATTTAAATAATGTGTGTTGTTTTGTACGGAATTAGAAATGACAAGTCTCTCCTAATATTAAATTGATTACGTACATGTTTCTGTTCTTTTGACCATTAACCCAACTAGATTACATATATAGTTATAAAAGAGATTGAATTGCGCACATATTGTTTTTACTGTTGTTGAGTTTTTCATATATTTGTATGACGTTTTCATATGCCTCTTTGTGACATGAATCGCTTCAGGTTCTTCGTACAACATCACTTTGACTTTTTTACACTTATTAAGAAAGAATTTATTAGTTGATCTAACTTATTATACTTTTTTAATTTTCTTACATTTATTCATAATTTTATTGAGAAAAATTTTAAATATTCTAATATAATGATAAAAAAGGATAAAATATAAAGATGAAGGATTGAAAGGAAGATAATTTTTTAAATAAGCACAGAAAATAAAAGTTTCATAAAATGTGTGATTTACGTCACACAAAGTTTCAACAAAGAATGTTGTTTCAGTCTATTTTTCTCATAATGATTCTTACAGCTTCAAAGTTTTAGTAATATTTAGAATTGTCTTTGAAGCATATGTTTTTATTGTCACGGATTTTTATCGTAACGTAAAGATTTCTTGCGAAAAAAATACATTAAATGAGGACAATGAGGAGCAAGCGTTTTGTTGCTTGTATTCTATGCGCGAATGGCCGTGACACAAACACTTGAAGTATGTGTATGTAACTGCAAAGTATCGAAAAATAATCATGCATTTTATAAAGATAAAAAGAATAATCAAAGACTGGATAAAGATCAGAAAATGAAAAAACGGTAATTGTAGTGTTTTTTATTTCGCACGTGAAATTTGAAAGGAATATTATGAGTCAAAGTATTGAGAGACTAAGACACTCAAGTATTAAAAGAGAGGGAGAGAGGGGGGGAGGGAGAAAAAAAGAGAAAGAGAGAAAGAGAGAGAAGGATAGAGAGGTGTATAAAATAATGTGGACGAAGAAGGCTGATGTCATTGAAATCGTTAGTTGATAACTTCCCATGTGTGGAAATTGTGAAAAAAATCTTATGCGTATTGATCACTACAAAATGCACATATAATATATTAACGTTTTAATATCTTGAAAATAATGTTAAAATTTTGCAAGGAGATGTAGCTTCCTAATAAACTAAAATAAATAATTTGCTTATAATTGCTTAATAATCAAATATTTTTGATAAAAATTTCAAGATAAAAAGGATATAGAATACGAGCATGTAGCATATACATATTATGTAACGATACAATTATAATAATAGATTTAACAAATTTCGATGAAATTCTTTTAAATTGTAATTTGTGTATTCAGTTTAAGCTGTTGTCAACTGCAAATCTATATTAGCGATTAATTAAGAAACAAGTTTAATTGTGCCATTTTTAGGGAAATTTATACAAAATAACTCAAGATTTAACGATTGTACGATTAGAAATTACTAAGGGGAGAGAATACGGATGTAAATGTTACTTGAAAGGATGTCATGTACGTTCAACGAGCCTCTCTAGTTTTTTTCTTCTACATCTCATGTTTTCTTACATTATTACATTATTACTTGTTAAAGTTATTTTTCCTTTTAAGAATGGACCTTACCAATATCGTCTTTAATGTGGATGTGGCATTGTCTAATATTGCTATTGACGGGAAATATGAAGTCGACGGCAAGATATTGTTACTTCCTATTCACGGATCTGGTCCACTAAGTGGCAACTTTTCTGAGTGCATAGGTATTTATTTTATATAAGATTATGTCATTCATTTATTATAGAAAAAATTCGCATAATAGACTTTAGGATGAAAATCGCACTAATAATCCAATTTCAACACAGTTTGCTGTCTCAAAATTCAAAAAGTGATATAAATATAATTATATCTTTTATGATCTAAACTTCATTTCTTTTTCAAATTTTTGTTAATGCAAATAACCTGTAAATATGCTTAATAAATGAATGCAAGAGAATAACTCTATGTTGGGCAATTAAAATATAAAATACATCAATGGAATTAAAAAATTGGAAAAAAAGGAAATCGATAAAAAAGAATAACATAAAAAATATTAGTATTTAGACCGTATTGGGAACAGTTATCTTATATCATTATTACAGTAATAGTTATATTGTACTTATCCGTCTCTATCATACATAAAATAACGATCTCATTTTTCCTTATAGGCGCATGCAAGATCAAGGGCGAAAGGTTCTTTGACGAGAACGGCGTAGAAAAAATTCGCATAATAGACTTTAGGATGAAAATCTCAGTGGGAAAAGGCTCGATAAAGTTGGACAATCTGTTTGACGGCGAACAGGTACTCGGGGATGTTGTGAATTCGGCCATCAACAACAACTTCCAACTCTTTATGAGGGAATTCTCGCCACTGTTAGAAATGGCGCTCTCTGACGCGTTTCAAGACATTGCCGACAAAATTATCCAGCAGTTCTCGTTTTCTCAACTCTTCCCCGGCGCATAAATCTATCTCGAGGGATCGTGATCGAGGGCGGACTGGAAAACAGTGATTAAATTTGAAAATCTGTAATATATGTAAACGCGATAGAAGGAATTAGGGAAATTCTGCGTTACTTTTCTCTACATTGAATCCTTTTTTGCATGGATACACCTAAGATTTGCATCGCTAACACTTAAGACATTATTAGCGCATTTAATTTCGACGTAACCAGAATTCGAATCTGGCAAGAAATAATGAAAAATTCTCAAAATCATCACACACAAAACGATTCTGACAAACACTTGTTATATTAATAATTGATGATCTTGATGAATCTAATTTAGAGCCTCCCGATATAAATTCACGAAATTTATTTATTTAATCGCGTAATATTATTTTAAAATGGCACGAAGCGGCTATTTGTGAAATGCTAAAAGAAAAATGACATTAGAAAATATCAGAATAAAAAATGTATCTTCGGAAATATTTGAATTATACAAAAATTTCACGAGAAAGGAACTTTTTACACAATTATACTAAGGAAACAATTTTATATAATTCAATATATCTAGATGTTTATTTTGGATTTTATTGTTGTCAAATACGAAAATGATTTAAGTTGCTAAAATGAGCACTTAGATTTAGACAGAGAATAATTGAAAGTATAAAATATTTTTCTGCAATAGTTCTAACAATAGTATACTGTACAGCAAAACTTTTGCTTCTATTCATTCTGGTTTATATTTCCTTATCGACAAGTAAAATAATTCTGAATGAAACTGTGAAAATACAGCTTATCGATATATAATTAGCATCATATTTTTACTTAAAAATTTAATTTGTAAAATACTTGTCAAGATTAGTAAACAAGATTATACATTATGATAAGATATTATTTTATTAATGAGAATATGTGTGCATATATCGATAAGTTCAATGTATTATGAATCATCGAATAAAGTTATTAACTATAATATTTGTCAAAAATAATATTAGCATTATTCGTTTCTTTGTATTCTTCTCTTTTTAAAATTTATAATAGATATTATAATTTGCATATTATAAAATACCTCACGAATTTTTATATCTATGAACATTTTTAAATAGATCACAATTATACTTTAAATAAATAATACATTATATATCTTCTTACATATTAGTAATTATTTCGCGAATTGCATTGTGATACTCTGTTAATTCATAATATTCCAACTTATTAAAAAAATCTAATATCTAATTTTAAATCTAATTTTTTAAATCTAATCTAATTTTTAATTTAGTACATATAGTACATATGTTTGTTGTAATTTTATGCATTGTAAGAAACATTAATAATAAGCAAAATCTTTTGTTTATACACATAATCTAAACGATAGCAACTATTATTTTTAGAATTCGAAATCAATAAGACTCTGAATATTACAAAATATGACAAAAAATAAACAGGATAAATAATAGAACTAATAAAAGAACTAATAAAAGAATCGAACGAAAATAAAATAAAATTCCTAATAATTATTAGGCAAATTTATTAAGATGTTTCAATTTCGCTTTGAACCATTTTGAGTTATTATATGGGAAGAATAAGAAAATATAACGAAATTAATACATGTATACGTGAGAAACCATAAACACTATTATTTTTAACAAATTTATTAAAATTTATAACGTTAGTAAGCTAATATATTTTAATCATGTATATATATATATATATATATATATATATATATACACACACACACACACACATATATATATATATATATATATATATATATAAAATAAATATATAAAAAAATAATTTATTTAGATATCTAAAGATATACTTTACATATATAAATGCTAATATTTAAATGTATTTAAATATTTTTTAAAGCGTAACATCGTAATCAAAAGCCAAAAACCGAGTGTTCTAGAAAAATGTGTTTTTCTATAATATATTTTGTATTGTATATATGTATGTGAATAAATTCAATATCAAACAACAAATAGATTACAAGGATAATGAGGAAAGGAATTATAAAATACGAGAGATGAGAAAATATAAAATGTTAAATAGAAAAATATCACGTTTTTTATAATTTTAATGCATTTAAATAATGAATAAACACATCACGATCGATTTAGCTCTAATTATAGCAAAAAATCTTTTAAACTCGAGAATTTTCAGTCACTCAACTTATGTAAGTACATAGCAAGATAAGAATTCTTGGAATTGCAGTTACCATATAATTAAATAGTTATCATGAAAAACAATCTCCATGAATTATGTTTTAAATAAATATTAAAGCTTTTTTTTACTGAAATTATTACAAAGATTCTTTTTGCGATATGGTATATATTGCACTAATATTTTTTCCAACAATATAAAAAACACACATATGTAATTAACACATACATTATTTACACACATTGTTATTTTAGCTAATATTTATATTAAATGTTAACTAAAATTAGTTAAAAAATTTAACATTTAATGTTAGTTTAAATTTTTAGTAGAATAGAATCATTAATTTCTAACTAATAATATAAAATATGTTAATTGTATATATTTTTTAATTGTATGAAAATTAATTAGAAAAACCTAATATATAAATGTCACACAATAATGTAAAACGTTATTATCAATTGTAAGCGATTGAGTCAAATTATTAATGACAAGTGTGCATGTCTAATAATAATTATACGAGTGATTAGTATGCACTCCATACACGCATATTAATCATTCTGTTAAATTGTATAGTTTAGTAAATATTCAGTTTTATTGTGGTCAATCGATTTTATTTTAGCTTATTATTATGCATATAGACTATGTATATTATTATTATGCAGATAGATTATGTATATTATGTATCATTATGTATCATTATAAATTGAAATGATATTTTTAAATTTTCTCAATTTATTCTTTTTCCTTTCACTTTTATATGTTTAATTATTGTTTATATAAATATTTAAAACTTTAAAATCTGGTTTATCTCCTTTTTCTACTTGCGAATGACATTTTATACAAGAAATATAAAACATGTAACATCTGTGTACGAGAAAAATAATACATATTGTTAAATAAATTAATATCTTTGAAAATGATCATCAATCTGTCATAATCAAACTATAACTTCTTACGTTATTGTTTATTAATTCTCTTAGTTTCATAATTATTACTCGAATTGTTAAAATACACAAGCTCCACGATGACACTTGATGACAATAAATTCAAAGCAAATATAAAAAAGTAACGATACATAGGGAAAAGATGATTTATTATCATGTTATAAAATGTAACAAGATAACAAGATGTCATATAAAAGTAACAATAAAATTATATATTGTAATTATATGTTGTAACAATAAAATTCAATTCGACTTTCCTTCATAATCAATACATTCTTTCATGAAAAAAATATAAATTTCAATATTTCTTCTTAACAATTTAGTAACTATTGTATTGTATATTTTGGGCACGCAAAACAATCATGTACAAAATAATAAAAAGAAAAATATTTCCAATTAACCGTTTGAATCTGCATTATTGCGATAATAATCCTTAACGATTATATTATTTTCTAATGAAAATGAAACTTTCTTTATTGCTTTTGAAAATGTAATAAATTTTACTGTAATTATTATTTAATTAAAACATAGAAGTAACCTTTTGATAATATGCAATTTGAGATCCAAGGTGACTTATGTTCTGTCCGGGAAGAGTTCTTCGTAAGTGAAGTGTTTAACTATATCGTTGGCAACCAATAGGATCCGTTTGGAAATTGCTTCTTCTAATGCCGGCTTAAAACTTTTAATAACCTCCTCCTGATTACTGCCTACAAAATTGTTTATAATTTCTGCCAATTGACCGTAATCTCTCTCATTCAAATCGTACTTAGCATCGTATCCTTTAATGTTAAGATTGAGTTTTATCTGTGACAAATATACATATGTTTTACTATTTTTAGTGATCATTTTCATATTCAGGTCTACTTCTGCTTCTATATTATCTGCAAGAAAATGAAAACTGTTAATCACGATGAAATATAAAAACGAATTTTGAATTTTTTACACTTAAAATAGTTTTCTAAACTTGCTAATGCAAAATCAATTATACTTTACATACCTGCAGTAATATAAACATTTCCCTTATGAGCAATAGGTACCAGTACACGTACATCAAAATCATATGTGCCATTCATCGTTATCCGTCCGAATGAGATTGTAGCAGTGTAATGCAATTTTTCAATATCCGCTTGAAAGGAATTTATGGTGAAATCACAAAGTCCCGATACTCTTATATTTCTCATATATAATTTAGTATTGGGTACATCGGAAATGACTAATATATCAAGAACAAGTGGATCATTAGATGGAATATCCAATTCCGGGATTCCTTCGCAAATCTTACTCTTCAAATTGTTTACGCTGTTTAAAATACATTGTTCGATATTCGGATCTCTGCGGCCACATACCTGAATGTAAGAGGCTGTAAGTTTAAAACAACTTTGTGTTAATTTATGATACATAACATTATATGTATATATAGAGCAAGCTTGAAAAAGCGATATAAATTATACAAAGAAGGGATTAGTAAAGGCCAAGGGGGGTAACAAGCGCAAAAAATAGACTTCCTCATGATTATTAGAATTATTAAGAAGTCTTATTGTTCTTTGCGCTTGTTGTAACTTATGTTTAACTATTCCATTCATTGTTTAATTTACATTATAATATTCAACATCTTATTTATCTATTATTTAAATAAAGTAATCATACATCATATAATGTATATAACTTTTGATTAATGATAAGTAATAAATAATAATGATAAATATGATAATAATGATAATAATGATAAATAATAATAAATCTGTTAAAAGAAAGAAAATCAAAAGTAAATCTTTTATAACACAGTATAAAATTTTAATGAAATCACGACATATATAAATTTAATATAATAATATAATGTTAGATAAGAAAATAATTATTCGCATTTTAAAAATTCTTTATAGATTAATTTTTTTTTTAATTGCAATGCTATTTACATTGCAATTTCGTTACATTTTAATCATATTTTAAATATAATTTAACAGATATATTTATGGCAGATTTTTACCCTTTTTTACAATTTTTATCTTTTAATATGAAAAACATTTCAAGAATCAAAATACATAGAAACATATATTGAAATAATAAGATGGCAAAATAGCAAATAAAATTTTATTATAAAATTCTTCTTACCTGTTGCTTCTAAAATATATTATATAACCGATATTATATCTTAATAAAAACGAATTATATTTGCTCCCTAAGTTTTCTTATTACTTATAAGAGTAATCTAATCTGAGAAATAATATTCAAAATGTTTCTTTTAATTACAATTCGTTTCCAATATTTTTGCAAGTTTACGAATAATATGGCAGAATCATGATAGAAACATAACTTTTATATTTACTTACGTATTTCTGCTGTAACATGTGCTGCTATAAGCACAAAAGCAAAGATTATAGCAAACATATTTCACAGAAAAATTTTTCAAGTTTCACACTTTCTAAAATATCGAAATGAGTTTGACAGATTCACGGTGAACGTAGGAATCGAGACTGAAGCAAACGCTTTGATCAAGCTTGTATATATACTATATTATATCTCCTTTTATTGAATTAGCAAACCAGTCTTTTTCTTTCTTATTATGATCATGATTCATTCCTTGTAAATCCATGGTCATATTCGTTTTCGTTCTAGAGTTAGGTAAACGCTATAGATAATGAATAAGAAATAAAAAATAAAGTTTTCTTAATTGACTCCATAAAAAGAATATTTTGCTATCATAAAAATGTATTTAATACAAGATAAAATTCGAGATAAGATCACTCCAAATTTATACTTATTTTTTGATATTATATTTAATTATTTCATATAAATAAAAATTTACTCGAATATCATGTGTACGAAATATAAATATCTGTAAAAAGATATTCTAAGTATTAATAAAAGATATTTTTTTTAAAGAAAAAAATATTTACTTACTAATAAAAAAGTAAAAAATTAAAACAGATTAATTTTATTTTTGAAATAAAAAATTTGCACATAATTGCAACTTTTATTACGGATTTATTTGTATTCAAACTCTTTTCGATTTCATACAAATAATAATAGACAAAAAAATATCAATATAAAGTAAATGATACGATTGACTTGTAAGTGACGTGATTATGTTGTAAAAAATGTAACTTATGTTTTTCTTTTCTTTTTTCTTAAATTTTTTTTTTAAGTCTTTGTTATTATTAACTTTGAGTTATGATTATAAGAGAAAGGTATAATAAATAAAATTTAATTTTTATATCTTTTCTCATGTATATTTTGTCTATTTTTATTGAAATATCAGAGTGTAATTTTAAAAAAATATCTCATCATTATCTGCACATATTTCTCTTTTTTATATAATGCTATAGATAAATTCTTATGTTGTTTAATACAAAATATCTTTTTAAATAACAAATTGACATGAAAAATCTATTTGCCTTTTAAATATACCTGATATATCTGATATAATTTCTAAAAATATATTAGAATTTTCTTGCAAATGTGAACAAGATCTCATAAATAATGCATAGCAATGATGAGATTGCATAGTATCGTACGTATAAATTTTTTTTATTCTATAAAGTAATTAATTAAAACAACAATTTTTTTATAATGAGTATAATTATTTACATTATTTTGCATGTGATTACAAAGTAAATGTTTAATTGTCAGTACAAATATAAACTTTGATATTAATATAATGTACATAAGAGAGTTCTTTGTTCGGCCTTCATGTTTTTTATGTGGGTCAAACACAATCATTTAGTATTATACAATACTGAATATTTGCTTTTAATAATTGTAAGTTACAAATATTTGAAAGTTAACAAGAAGTTACTATTATATAAGAATTTTTTTCTAAATATCATCTTTTTTTTAATATTAACTGAGCTGTGTGAGAATCGATAATAAATATATAATTGATAAGAATAGATAAATAATTGGTATTATTACGTGAGACTTAAACGAACAAATTTTTCCTATGATAGCAGTGTCAGTTGTAATCGTGTTTATATAAATCTAAAAATAGAAATTTCTGGAACTCGATGACCTTAACATTTTAAGATATACGAATCCTATTAAACTTCAGAATTCAGAACCTATTTCAATATTTTGCAATGATTACGATGCATTCCATGTGAAATCTAAAATTTGCGAGAGATTTGTGTTAAATATTATAGCATAATATATTAATATATAATATATATATTAATATTAAAATATGATACGTTAAAACTTGCGAAAAACTTGTGCAACTTAAACTTTATTGGGCATATTTAATTTGCTAGCATCTTTCGCTCTTCTGCTAATATTTGACATGTCGATATTATATCACAATACCACAATGGATATTTCTTCTAAGAACGGCATTTATTGAAACATTTTTAGAAAGAAAGGAAAAGAGAAACAAACAGAAAGAGAGAAAGAGAGGGAGGGAGGGAGGGAGGGTGGGAGGGGAGAGAGAGAGTTGTCAAATATGGAAAGAAGATAATAATTATATAAATCTAATAATAATAATAATTCTTATTCTAAATCAATATATTAAATCTATATATATATATATATATATATATATACATATACATATATATATATATATATATATATATATATATAATTTAAATGCCAAAATTTATAAACAAGACAAATATAAAGAAAAATTCAAATTTACAAATCCGGAAAATAATAAACAAATAATATATTTTTTAATGTAACTTTAATATAAAATTTAATATAAAATTATTATATTAATTTAATATAAAAAAGAAGAAAAGAGAAATAACTAAAAATGTCTAAAAGTATTCATTTCTTATGTGCTTTAATTATAATACACAGAATATCAGCAAATATCAGACAATATATGACATACAACTTGCGATCGTTGAAGCTGAATCGATATTAGATCTCAAATAATTAATAAATTAATATAAATAATTAATAAAGAAAACATTTTCAACTAATTTCTTTCGACTTAAACATACATTGTAAATCAAGATAAGTAATGTATTTTGCGTGATAATTAATTGTATCTTAAAAATTTTTTTACTAAAATTATTACTAATATGTTGCGACATAATTTTATTAGTTTATTTTCAATATTAATAATTTCAATATTATATAAGGTAATTAAAATAAATAATAGAATATTTAATGCTGTATTGTGGCAATTAATTTATAATGCGCATACTAATTATGCATTTATTTTGTAAAAAAAGTAGATTACACGAATGCATGTGTATAGAATATTTCGTTATAGAATATAATGCAATTTTCTCACTTACTTTGCAATTATTTTTTAATTAAATTAAATATCGGTGCAATTTTATATAGAGAAGGACTATTTTTGATTAGCCAATTATTATTTTGAGTCATTGTTGTGGTATCAAACAATAACATTTATATGATTATGTATATACTCTATCTGGAGCAAAAATAAAATTCCCTAATTCTCTCAAATTATTGTAACAGATTTTATTTCAATTATCCTTTAGACTGAATAACAATCTTGCAACGTAAAGTTCTAAATTATGTACGGTGCGGGAAGAGTTGCTCGTAAGAGAACGTTTTAAATACATTGTTGATAATTGAGATAAGCCATTTGGAGATCTCTTCCTCTAATGATGGAATCAATCTTTGAAGAAATTCCTCCTGATTGCTGCCTATAAGACCGCCAAGAATTTGGCCTAATTGACTTAGTTCATTTTCTTTCAAACCATATTGAGCGTCATATCCTTTAATATCGATATTTGATTTTAATTCCGATACATATATATGTTCTATACCCTTTTTAATTGCCTTTGACCCTTGTATGATTATTTTTATACTTGCGTTATCTGGAAGAAGATATAATTTAATCGTCAATGAAACAATAGTTAGTTTTTTATCTTTTACATTGATACATATGCACATACAAATGTTTTTAAAATTCTATCTTAATTTAATATAAAACTAACTTTAATTTAATATAAAACTAACTATTTTAGATACCTGTAGTAAGATAAATAGGTGCCTTATAAGCAATAGGCACGAGTATATGTATGTCGATATCATACGTGCCATTTAAGTAAAGTCGATTGAATGAAATGTCAATATTGAAAATAATCTTATCCAAATCTACAGAAACAGAGTTTATGATGAAATCACAAAGTCCCGTTATTTGTACATTATTTAAATATATTTTGTTGTTGGCAGTTTCGGAAATGACTAATTTGTCAATATTGAACGGCTCAAGTGGTGGAATATTTAAATCCGTAAGCCCTTCGCAAATTTTATTCTTTAAATTGTTCATATTGTCTATGATGCATTGATTGATATTTGGATTCTGGCGCCCACACACGTTGATGTAGGAGGCTACAAAAGTTTAAAATCATTTCTGTTAACTTATAATATTAAATAAAAATCTGTTAAGGGATTTAACTTCAAATATTATAGCAACAATGTATTATATTTTTATTTTAATGTATTATATTTTATGTATTAATTTCTATTTAAATTTTTGAATAGTTATACATAGTTAAAATAGTTTGTAATAATAAAGTATAAAATAAATGATTTTAATCTCTCTCTCTTTTTCTCTGTCTTTCTTTCTCTAGCATTAAATTTATTTTAATCCTAAAAAGATTAATTAAAATCGAAAATATTAACATAAAAATATCAAACTCACAATGATTTTCAAGTTATAAATGATAAAAAGTTATATATGATATGAATGATATACATAAACATGAATTTGCAAGATTAAAAAATTTGAGTGCTAATCATACTGCATCATACTCTATTAATTTTTACAACAGTTAATATCAATTTTTATTGCTCAATCAATTTCATTTTTTAGCTTGTTTGTTTGTACGAGAATAGATAATTAATTTATAAATTATTATGAATTAAAGTGAGATTTAAGCATTTGCTTCGTACTCTCTCATATATATAAATCTTGAATGTAATAAAAAATCCAAAAATACATATTACAATATTAAGTATTATAAAAATACATATTACAATATTAAGTATTACAAAAAGTTTATAAAAAGTTAAAAATTTTAAAATCTTATTCTATATATTTATAATTATTATTTTAGACAAAAAATGTGAAGTAACAATATGGAATATTTGTACAAAAAGGAAATGAATATATTGTTACAACCAGTCAATATTAGAATCGTCAATAAATGGATAAAATTTATTTACTCGTAATTTTCAAACTCTTTAGAGAATACTTTTTGAAATAAATTCCGGGATGATAACTGCTCACAGTACAAAGTAAACACAATGCGAAAATTAACTAGCATCGGAAAATGAGAAACAATGTTATTTGAGAGATTCGATTTTATATGTTAATTTATAGAAGAAAGAATATTGATTGACAAACATTAATTTATAAATGAAATTAAGAGATATATTAATATCAAATCATTTAAAAGATGTAAAGCATTCTGAAAGTATACTGCACGCAAAAAAATGATTTAATAAAACTGATTTCAACACTTATAATACTTCTATTGTGTTCGGTCTAAGTATTAGAGTGTATTTTGAACGAATTATTATAGCAAATTTATGAAATAGCTGTCATTTCAACAATTCTTTATAGGATCCCTTTTTAGGGAATAACAACATCAAAACATATAACATACGAGTAAAAAACTCAATGAAAAATTCTTTTCGAAGCCTATCATTCATCGTTTCGATTAAATGTACCAAGATTGTAATTAAAGATTTTATACATTTTACATTTTCTTGTTTAAAGTATATTCTTCATATTATTATATTCTTTACATTATGCTGCATATGATACATTAATTATGTTAATTAACATAACATATATATATATATATATATATATATATATATATATATATATACAGGGTGGGGCATTTATCTTGAGACAAGATAATATCTCGATTGGAGTCGATTATTTTGAAAAAAGTTTTAGACAAAAGTTGTATGGTTTCAAGGGGGACATAAGATGGTGTTATTAGTTTGATCTTGAAGAGCCACCTGAAGGACACGCGAAGGTCAGCTCCAACTTTTTAAATGGGACACCCTATATGCTTTTGCATATTCTTGTAGCTCATCTCAAGAGCTTTCCAAAACACTATAATTAAGTTAGTTTTCATTAAGTACTTTCCAAGTTATGAGGCTTGAAATCATTTTTTAATTTTACATAAACCGTAAAATATATTGTAAAATATTCATTTTTCGATTATTTTATCTTAATACTTTTATGTACAAAATAATGAGAAAAATCAATTGGTGTAAAGAAAACTCATAGTTGTTTCGAAAAAAAAAATGTAATTTGCAATTAACAATTACATATTTTTTCTTAAAAATAACTATGTCTTTTCTTTACACCAATTGATTCCTCTCATTATTTTGTACATAAAAGTATTAAGGTAAAATAATCGAAAAATGAATATTTTACAAGATATTTTACGGTTTATGTAAAATTAAAAAATGATTTCAAGCCTCATAACTTGGAAAGTACTTAATGAAAACTAACTTAATTATAGTGTTTTGGAAAGCTCTTGAGATGAGCTACAAGAATATGCAAAAGCATATAGGGTGTCCCATTTAAAAAGTTGGAGCTGACCTTCGCGTGTCCTTCAGGTGGCTCTTCAAGATCAAACTAATAACACCATCTTATGTCCCCCTTGAAACCATACAACTTTTGTCTAAAACTTTTTTCAAAATAATCGACTCCAATCGAGATATTATCTTGTCTCAAGATAAATGCCCCACCCTGTATATATATAATACATACATATATACATTATTATTGATTCCTATTGTCAAACGTTATTGTATCATATATTATAAAATATCATCATAATATTATCATAATATTTATAATAAAATAAATCAAAATTATGTTAAATGTCTTATTATATATCCAAACGAAATAATTGTTATAAATCAGCTGAAACTTAATCCAAGAAATATATATAAATAATAATATTTTACTGATGTGTTTTTTAATTGCGATCACAGGATACTCAACTTCAAATAATATGATCAGCGCTTGTCTCAAGATAAATATGGTAAAAAATATCCATATATAGTAATGGAAGTAAACAATCGATGAGTATATTTTTAATGCAAATTATTAAATATAATTATTTAAATAAAATATTATTAAAAATTATATTAAATAATATTAAATAAAATTAATTAAATAAAATAATATTTAAAAAAGTAGTACTGAAAGCACAAATATATATTTATTTAAATAATAATCAAGAAATAATACTTTTTTCTTTTAATTCGCTTACTTACGTATTTCAGCTGCATATGTTGTCACAAGCATAAATACAAAGATTACAGCAAACATTTTTAAAATCAAAGTTTTTCTTGTAAAATGACTTTTAAATCGCAGAATAGACTTTTTAATTGTAGAATAATTCTAAGAGATGTATTGCACGTACAAATCAAGACTGATCTATGGAAATAACGCAAACAATGATCGAACTTATATACTATAAGCTCCCACTATTATAGAACTATTAAAATTAAATCATACACTTGTCTTCTAGGACTGAAGTCTGATTTTTATTCACACATGCACAAAATCAAGTTGTATATACTTTTTTTCATCTATGTTTTCTCACTCTGTATCTGATTATGTCTGATTATTCCTGACAAATATAGTGGAGGATATCGCAAAAAGAGAATTTTAAATTTACAGTACATATGTAATCTTATATGTACGTTATACTTATAACTTTTTTTGCAATCTTACATGATTCATTTTTTATAAATCTATGTGCATATTCGTATTTATTAACAGAGTTAGACAAATTTTATACAAATAAAGATAAAATAAGGTATGAAGTATGAAGTTTTCTTTTATAAAATAAAATAAAAAAACTTTCTATTGAATAAAAAATTACTCGACACAAGTGTGCGGAGGATAAATAACAGAGGATTAAATTAATGTGTGTGTGTATGTGTGTAACAAATATTAATACAAAAATTTTAAAGGAGAATGTTTAATTTTAAAAATAACATAAATAAAATATTATGGTTATTTTTTTAAATAATTGATTTATGTTTGCACATTTTCGCTACGATTTTATTTCTATTTAAATTCTTCTTGATTTCAGTAATAACAGATAATAATATATAATAACAATAATAACAAATAATCGTACATCATAAAGAAAATACTGAGATATGCTGATGTAAAGAAGACAGTGAGTATTATAAAATAAGAAATAACATGCAATTATATTATAAAAAAATGGTATCCATTTTTAATTGTTAGATACAATGATGTTAATAATTAAATAAATATTACATAAGAAATGTATAATCAATTATAAATTTAAATTTTTCAAAACTTTTCGTATATATATACGAAAAATTATATATATATATATATATATATATATATATATACCTATATATATATACATGGTGCGTTTTTATACCTTACTTTTATTGAGTGATATTATTGAAAAATAGTAAATCAGGTTTATATCAAAGATTTCTGCATAAATTTTATGATATTATAAACAAATATATAATGTATATATAAAGATCACATATTCATTTCCTTAACAATCATATTATATATATTCTATATAAATATAAATTTATCTATATATGTTTATTATATAATATATATGTATTTAATATGTATAAAATTATATATATATATATATATATAATATTTTTATTTATATACATAATTTTGAGATATCTATATAGTAGTTTATAAAAAGTTTAATATGAGTTGAAAATCTTTACAAAAATTACATAGGCAACACAGAAGCAAATCGTATCGTGTGATTTTTGCGCACAGTAACGTGCACGTAATTCCTGAAATTAATTATATGAGGAAGTTTCTCACTTTGCACGAAATGATTAATGAAAATTGTTTGTTTCTTGACTCTCATAACTCATTACGATATATGTGATACAATTTTGCAACTATCATGCAAAACGTTTAACTGCCAATCAAATATTATAAATATATACCTGATAATTTAGCAAGAATCATATGTTACATGTACAAAATTGAACGATGAATATTATTTAATATTTTTATCCATTCTGCAATATTATTGAAATTCTTATTCTATTTTATTTTTTTAATATTTTTTATTCTCTATATTCTATTCTATTTTATTTTTTTGATACTTTTCGAGAGAGTAATTATATTAGAAGATATATATCACAAATATAATATATAAATATCACAAATGTAGAATATATTAGATTTATAGAAACATTATACAATATTTTAATTGTCTGAATCAATATATTGCTTGTTCGTTTAAAAATTTTCAGCGCTGTATTTTGTATTTTATTGCTAAAATTATTTAGAAATTAAGTTTCTTTCTACTCAATTTTTATATAGAATTTAATGTTATCAATTTATATAGCATTTAATGTTATTATTCTATAATATTATTATACTATAGAATATAAGAAAGATAATTTATAAATTTATTCTCGATAGTTGCTGCAGGTGCTGCACAATTATATCATGATTTTGTTTCCCTTTTAATATTTAATACGTGAACATTGCATTTAATGTCTCTTCTGCTAATAATAAAGAGCTGCTTTTACCGCTGAATATTTTCAACTGGGAAAATGCAAAGAAGTTGCACAAGTGGTCCAACAGGACGGCTTTTACGTTGTTGAGTTCATAATGATGTTCAATTTAAATGCAGAAATCTTACAGACGAGAAATATAAGAAAAGATTCAATAATTACAAATTAACAAAGTGACGAATATAAACTATAGTTTATATAATGTTTCATATATTAGCATATTAATGAATTATTAATTAATTAAAATACGTAACTCTAAAACAAGTTATATTACTTTAGCATTCTCTTTTCATCATATTAATTAAAATTGAAAAATATTATATAATTTTAACTAATAAATTAATGCGAAAGCGGCTCAGTATAATTTAACACTAAGTTACTATTGGGTTTGTTTTGTCATATTGCAACTGCTAATTTGAAAGACAAGATTTATGTGCGTGTATGTGCAAATAAAGAGATTGACGAAGAAATAAGAAAATTCACGTGTTTATTAAATCTCAAGATTTGTCGGCTACATCAATTTTATGTCGATAATTCGTAATCTTGTTAACATTAAAAATATAAAAAAAGCGCGTTATTTCTATCCTTACGTTATTAAGGTATATTAAGGTTAATCGAAAACACGTTTAACGTAAGAATTTCTGATAAAGAGAGTGGTAACGCTCGACACTTGTGCTGTGATTGTAATATTTGCATAATCTACTCATGTAATTTATATATCAAAATTTAACGTGAAAGCATTATTATTTCTCTTGATATTTTTCTATTAATATATGTAGTTTGACATAATATATCATATAATATAACTCGACTTGCCACTTCAATCTATTAGCGACTTGACATATGCACTTCTTCTAAATTAAATAGCAAGGACGAAGGAAGGAATGGTGCCGAGTGATTTTTTTACGCAGCAAGCATTCAACTCACTGCAACAGCAACTGCTATGCTTGTCATGCGTGTACAATGATTGTATGCGTGAATATAATACAGTGAACCATGCTGGTATACCAAAACTTTCCACATTATTGTGACATCGGCAAGTAACGACATTGTAACGGATGCGACACCTTCACGAAAGTATATTATTTTCGAGATGAAATGCATCATCACACTTATTATTTATGTGACGAATAAGCTTACGTAATTCATGACGTTGATTTTAAACGTGACTTTTCTCTCATGCATGACCGCATGACTTCATTTGTTAGATCTATGCATCATTATACCAACAAAATATTTACGCAAGACTATATAAAAAAGGAATAATATTAACATTAATGACGCCAATCTTTTAATCTTTATTTAAATAATTAAAAGAAATAATAAAAAAACACTGTGCAAAAAATGCGTTGAATTAATTTAATATCTGATGTAAACGTTAAATGAATTACAATTTTAAAATAAAGTTTAAAGATTTGATTTTTGGAAAATATTTCTCTCTTTCTCTTTCTCTCGTTGAAGAATCAAAATTTTCCCAGTTTATATCATAAGAGTGAGAAAAACCAACAGGAGCATGCATATTTCGGAAATATAAAAATAGCTTTCCAAAATTAAATGTAAGAGAAAGTTTATCAAGTGTAAAAGAAAAGGATGCATTTTTAAAATTTTAAATCAAAATTGTAAGATCAAAAAGTTGGAGAAACGATATAAATAAAAAAAATTTCTTTATATGTCTGCGTGTGTATTTTTCTATTACATTAAGAACCGAATTTCATTGGCGTATAGCGTCTAGAAAATCAGAAGAGAAAAAGGAAGAAAATGTATATATGTGTGTGTATAAATATGTGTGAGGAAGTTGATGCTTAATATTGCCACAGATCTTACCGTCATAGATCTAGATTGGCGTGCGTATGACTTGTATGAAATATGAACTTAAGTTTTGTTACGGATCGCGGCTTTTCAGACGTCGTTCACATAATCGACATTTTACTACTTTCGCTAATTATAAACGGCGAAATTGCATGATCCGATACCAGTTTTTTATCATAACACACCTTATATTAATACAATCGTTATATCAGATAAATTAACAAGTTAAATTAGAAAGAATATCCATCACAAATAAGTGTGTTTGCACACTTATACATATACATATACATATATATATACACACACACACACACATAACATTTCTCTTTTAATTATAATATTTTGTTTTTATATAATTATATATATTTTTGTACATATAAAATTAATTAATTTGAAGGAATCAGATATATCAAATATCTTTGATAATATTTATAAAAATGGATATTATTTACATGTAGATATAGCACGTATTTAACAATATTGTTTTATAAAATAGCTATTGTATGGAACAATATTGTTAAATATTTTTAAAAAAATTTTTCTTCTACAAAAATTATATTTTCATGAATAATATATAATTAAGATATAATTAAGATTATATAATTAAGATATATTTTTAAAAATATGATATTCTTTAAAAGCTGAAATAAAAAGTGAAATAATTTTTAGATACCAAGGATATATTCCATTTATGTCAAACAATATATCACACGTACATTCATGACAAGAATTTTAAACGAATGCCACGTACGAAATGTGTGAAACATCATACATAAAGCTGATATATCTATCAATCATTGAAGCACAATGAAAGATTACATATGAATATATAATGGTATTTGATTATCTTTGCTTGGTTACCTTGGTTATAAGATCATGGTCAATCTTTTGAACAGAAAAACACTGTATATTGCGATGTTATCTTTTTATATCACGATCTATCAGATTTTTAATTATGCTAAATTATTCAATGTTGCAATGTTGTTGTTTTATTGTTTTCCATATTATTTCTTTATGTATACAGTAAATTCCTGCAATATTTAAAAAATAATATTTTATTAATATAAAAATGCACGTTATTCTATTATATTTTTAATATAAATCGATAAAAATTTGTTATTAAATCACGCAAGACTTATAGAGTAAAAATTATATTTTTATCAATTTGCGCGTAAATTTTCTTAGACAGTTATCATTTCAAGAATTCATATTAGCAGAAATATATGCAAATGAATTTGTGTGATTGTACTATGTAAAATTTTAAATAAATTATTCTTATTGTTTATTTTTTTTAAATTAATTAAGTCGAAAATTTTAAGAGAAAATTAAAATTTACAATTTTTACTAGTTATACAGTCTAAATTAAACATCAAAGAATAAAGTATGCGGAGTCAAATCCGTAATTACATACACGTACTCTTATTAATTCCTCTTGTTTTTCTACTAATTTTCATAATTCAACTAACAATAAGATTGAGCTTTTATTTTTCAACTGTTATTATTTTTGAACTGTATATAAATTAATTTAAAAATTAAATTAAAAGAGGAAATTAAAAGAAGATTTTAAATTTTTAATTTTTATATACTGAAACATATTAGTCTCGAATATTATTTTTAAATTTGATTCTTTATATAAAACTTGATTATACACGCGAATTCTGAATAAAAAATATAAAATGCACAATAAGGCAATATTTGTTTAAGAGGAAAAATAAAGAATTCTTTTGGTGCATTTTGCGCGTCAAATTAATTAATATAAAAAAAGATCATTCTTCAGGAATAAAATTATATTTATATAATTATTAATTCTCTTAGCACTCGTTGCACTAGTCAAAATACAGAATTTCTACGATGATAGCTACTCATGATACGATGAAATATGTTAACAAAAAAAAGAATAAGAAAAAAAGAATGGAAAGAAGGCAACAGTGACATTCGATAAAATTTTACATATCTTTCTTAATTAATAGTTTTGCGCATATCTTTAATAATGGGCAAAAAATTGTTCGACAATTAATTTGTCTGACTTTTATCTGGCAGCAAACTCTCTGAATTGCAATTCCAACGAGAGGAATTACGAAACGTTAACACCTGATCGGAACATGCTTCGAAATGCGTGTTGTGTTTACCTTGCTCGGTTTCCTTCGCTTTTCAGCCCGCCCGAGATGAAAGGGTACCAGCGCGGTATTTGGGCAAGCACGCACGGTGCGGCTCATGCATCTACTTGAAAGCGAAAATCTTGGGCAAGAGGAAGTGGGGGGGGAGGACGAGTGACCTGGGTGAAAAGAACGATATCGATGGTGTCGCGATTTTTTCCCTACGAAGCAAGAATCGAGAAACGTGTTGTCCAATCGTCATCGCTGTATATGAAGGAGTGGACCAATGATCGACAAGTAGCACGAGGCAATCAACTGAATGCAAAAGCGCAACTAACCGAGTCTCATGATTGGGAGACTTATTCGCTGGTAAAACATCAAGTACCACATCATCCCCTGGTCACTGTCAACTGAACTTCTGTTAGAGTCGCCAGTAAACCTCGGATCGTCCTCCGATCAAGCTAGCCGCTATGTACACTTTCGTCATTCGTATTTGGTAAATTAATTGTGACCTAATTAAGCTTCATTAAGCATCGTCATTTTTCTCGTCGCAGTCTTTTAATTAATTCGATTTCAATTCATAGTTTCATCAGAAAAAAAAAACAGTTGGTAAAATCCCAACCAGTGATCAATCATAGTCAATAAATGTCGAAATTGTGAAATAAAAAGTAGTACGTAAGAAATTGATAAAAAACTAATATGTTTTTTTTACAAATTATTAATATTACTGCTGTGCATTATATCCGATATGACAGAAATATTAAGAAAATTTAAATTTTGTAGTATCTATTTTTGTAGTTTTAAATAAGCATTATCTTATAATTAAAAAGCTGGCCATTTCGTGATTTTTAGTGTTGATATATGAATGTGTAAAGATATTAGATTGACATTCTAAGAGTTTTTTATAAATACATCCACACATAGACATTCATAATTTTAAGTATAATTTCGGATATAAGTCCTAGTATTTATACATTAGATTTAAAGGATAAAGAGAGTTTTAAATTTAAATTTAAATCTTAGAAGAATAGCTATATTTTAAACTCTATTTATTTCCTTGTTTATTTCTTTGTATTTTGAATTTCCTTGTATTTTCTTGTTATAGATTATGACAAAAGAATTATTTGCGCATTTTATTTCTAAATATATATCCTAATATTCAAGAAACAAATTAATAATGAAATATTTCAAATAAATATTTATGATCTGTGATTGTATTTTGCATATTTCTGCATATTTCTTGATCATCTATTTTTAGACCTTTGATCAAAATTTTCCGATAAAAATGTTAATGGCATTGATAGATGTTTACAAAAAAGATATATAAATAAGTTACATAACAGTTACATATTAAATAAACATACATATTAAATAAATGTAGATAAGTGTAATTTTATTCTTGTAATCTTTCTATGTTGTTCATGTAATTTTATATAAACAATAAAAATAATTCAATATAAAAATAATCACACTATCATTATTAATTGTACGATAATATTATTCATCATAATTAAATTTGTTCTTTTTAATATAAAAAAACAACAGTTTAAATTTATGTAAATAAGTATACGGATTTTCTGTTAAAGCAAATTTAATTTATTATGAAAATAAAATCAAGATTCGTGGGTTATTTGTGCAGCAAAGTAAAAATTGTGTTATATAGTTTAAAAAGTTAACTATAACCTGGCATAATATATAGCATAATAGTAAACTCTTTCTCTTTGTTTGGGTGTCCTTCATTTTGATGCGCGTACTCAATAAATTCACTGATTTAATTGCGATGTAATAATTCTCTCTCATAGTTTATTTTTGAATCATAACACGTGCAATATTAATTTACTTTCAGTATGCATAAAACATTACCATGATAACATCTCATAAATTATTTATAATTATTTGAATAAAAGAATCAAATAAAATAATCCTTTTGCGACTTTTCATTAATTAAATATCACACTTTAATTATTATTTCAAAATAATTACATAAACAATTATATAAACAATATTAACACAGGACATTTGATTACATTATATATATTTAACGTATATGTATATTTATTTGTAATTTTTCAGAGCCAATTAAAATTTAAATGTTACATTTTAAATCAACTGCGTTTGTTGTACAAATTAAATATACATATCCAGTCAGCACAAAAAGGTCAAAAGATGTCTTAAAAACGTCTAGAGGACTTTAAGACGTCTTAAGTTGTCTTTTACGTTTTTTAGATATGTGTGCTGTCTGAGCGTATTATTTACTTTACATTTTATAATCATATTTTTACTAAGCGTGTAGTACGTTTGCATTTTCTTACATATTTATAATAATTGATATGTGTCAAACATGAAACAGAATTTTAGTTGAATACGCTTTCACCCATCATGCAAACTTGATACTTAAATGTTAAAACTATGATGAAGTTAAATATATACAGTAGAAAACAAAAACAGAAAGAATATTTTAGATTTTTTTAAACTTGTGAAAAAAAGAATTTCTTAAAAATAGCTAAATAAAAATATGCTACTTTTTAATGAAACTAAATATTTTTTAAAATTTACACACACACATTTATACACAGATAAAAATAAATTAATATTTACTTGCGGTTTTATTATTCAAGATAAGTCATAATAATCTCGTTATATATTTTTAGTGTACTATGATTATTCTTTATCTTTTCCATTTTTAGCGGTAATATTAGCATCTGTCAATCTTATATTTTTTCTTCTTTTCCCTTCTCTTTCTTTTTAAATTCTTTCCTTTTTGTTTTTTATCTCTCTTCCTCCATCTCTTATCAATTCTATATAATTACGTAGAAAAAAAGAAAATAGATTAAAATCTACATTGTTAGAAAAGAGCAGATAAATTCTCGCGAGAGACTTTCAAAAGGAAATAATTGCAAAATAGTTGTGTAATTTTCTTGCATAATATTGATTTAATTTACTGGTTATATGTATTATTCTCTTGAAATGTTTACATGCTTCTTCCATTAGAAAAAGGAGAAGAAGCTGCAATGTTTAAATATGCATAGATTTACATATTCCGGCTTTTATCTTCAAAATATTCAAATATGTACTTTTTATCTTTATACGTTCCAATCAAATCAATTCATCTTTTTTAAAGAAAAGACGTAAATATCTTAAATAAAGGAATAAGTTAATATTGTATTAATTAGTAATGTACCAAATAGACTTCTTATACAAATAACATTTCAAATCTTTTACCATCTTATACTTATGTTTCTTCTCGGTATGAATATTTTTATTTTTATTTAAGTGTGCGGATTCAATGCTAATAAATTTAATATTATAATGATTATAACGTTAAAATTATTATTATTTAATTATAAAAATTATTATTACTTTAAAATTATTACTTTGTTACTTTCGTGCTACAATTTTTAGATATTTTTAAGAAATAAATTTATAAATTTGTGTATAAATTTATTCTGCAAAAGAAATAAATTTTTCGACATTTTATATATCAATAGAATCTCATTTATAATCATATTTCTGTCAACATAATGTTTATAGAAACTTGAAGTTAAGAAATAATGAAAAACTTGACTTGACTTTAGAAACTTGACTTTGGAAAATATATTAAAAATATGATATCTCTTGCATAAATCAAGGACAAATTTGATTATTTTGTTGCAGACTCTATTATTAATATATATGATCATGTCATATTAATAAACGATTTTAAAATCTAACGTATGTGTTAAAGAGCCAACCATAAAAATATCAACAGTTCTATTTTAGGAAATAGTAGTTGGTCTTTAAAAATTTTATTAGCTTATTAATATTAATAATTCAAATTATATATTATGCCAATCTGTTGTGTGTGTTTCAGTTTAACTTATACCTTATTTAGTGTGGCCTTCGCTGCGATACGTGAGTAACATTTATATATATTTTTCAAAATATCTTTAATTGTTTATTGTAGATAATATAATTATTACTGCACTATATCTGGAACAATTAATTATAAATCTATAACTAGATTATATGATTTAGTAATACAATTACCTTATATATATAATTGATATAACAGATAATGTAAGCTATACAAATAATGTGTATGATGCACGTATTGCCTAATAGTCTCCATAAATTAATAGCCTCCATAAATTAAATATGAGATTAAAAGTGAAATTATTTTTTGTTGCAATCATATATTTACGTACCTTAATCATGTCGTAGAAAAGATTTATAAATTAGTATTTTGCATTTTCATAGCATCGTACATAAAAGTATGCAGTCGAAAGGATCCGGAAATAAATAAATGTGTATTTAATTCAATCGAACAATTGCGAGACAAGCTAATCACAGGAATTCCGGAATTAAGTGTTCCATCAATTGAACCGCTTATACTAAAGCATATACGTTTATTGAGAGGTCCCACCGGTGCGAGACTTGATGTTAATCTCACGAATATACAAGTTGGTATAAAGTTCAACGTTAATATTTGCTATAAAATGACATAGATAGAATAATTGAACTTTTGAGATAAAAAAGAAACGTTGTAAAAATGCAATATCAGGTGTATGATTTTTTCACGCTGAATAATGAAAAAAATATATTTTAATTAAAAATATTAAAACAGGTATTTGGACCTTCGACATTTAAAATACGAGACTTTAAAATCGACCCAAACAATGTAGTCCTTACCTTTAAAGTCGGCTTCCAAAAGCTCGATTTTCGAGGAAAATATCAGATAAATGCGCAAATTCTGTTGCTCAGATTAGTTGGGGAAGGAAATGTTACTGGAAATTTTCGTAAGTCTTGCATTTGCCTATGGATTTTTTGCGATTTTTCGTTAAAATATGAAGAAAATAAAATTATCGTCAAAGAAAAAAATATGAGAGATAAATAATTTGTAAAATTTTTATCTTATTGTTTCACCTTTGTTATATATTTTGCAGTGGGTTATGAGAGCGATTGCTTTTTGAAATCTCACAAAGTAATTAGAAATAATCAGACGCATATAATCTTCGAAAAAATGAAGTTTAACATCAAGATAAATAAAGCTCATATCAATCTTGACAATTTATTTAATGGCGATCCAGTTCTTGGTATGTTTAAATTTCTATTTCATATAATATTATTCTATTTTAAAAAAATTATAGCGAGTATAACGCAACTCAAGTACATCACAATTAATTTTTTCCTTTTAAACTAGGACCAGCGAGTAATGAAGTTTTAAACGCAAATAGTGATTTGTTGGTGGACGAAATAAAACCGGTACTGGAAGACGCCTTATCAGATCTTTTTACGAATATTTCGAACAAGATCACTGAAGCTTTCACATACGATGAATTGTTTCCAGATAATTAATAATTATAGACATAATTTATTCGAATCTATTTTTATCCAAAAATTTGATTTATATATTCCTCTATCTAAATTATTTCTTGATCTTTAAATTATAAGAATCCTTAAATTATAAGAACGATAATTTTAATGTTTGTTTTTATGGTATATCTTATAGTTTATTTTTGTTTTTATAGTATATCTTAAGGTACATGAATGTCTTACATGAGTGTAATTATAATGCACAAGCACAAATTGCGTTTACAGTGACAACAAGTGATTGCTACGCAAATTATATAAAAAATCTTTTCTTTGTAAAAGAAATTATTGTTTTTGTTAAAAGTTTGTAAGTTTGTTTTTGTTAAAAGTTTGTATACTACTACTTTTTCAGTTTTACCTTATGTTTCAGCATAAGTGGTTTAATTACTTTAGGTCTAAATCTTATCTTTGTAAAAGAAATTGTTGTTTTTGTTAAAAGTTTATACTACTAATTTTTTAGTTTTACCTTATATTTCAGCATAAGTGGTTTAAGTATTTTAATTACTTAATTTAATTATTTTTTGATCACATCGGTAATACCTTACTACTAAATTATTAAATCGATATATTGGCAATTAGTTAAGACTAAAATGAGTATCATATAATTTATCATTCTTAAATGTATATCTCAAGTATCTCATTTTTTTTATTTATTAATCTAATAAATCTAAAAAAGATAATTTAGCAAAATCTTTTTTAATCAAATTACATCATTAAAATTATTGAGTGCACGATTATATTACATTATAAAATATACACATACATATTCAGTGAATAATATTTTATAGCATCTTAGAGAAAATATACATTTGAGAGCAAGATTTCATATTTTACACATATAAAAATATACGAAAAACAAAATTTGACTAAATTTTATTAAATATAATCAAATGATAAAGCTCATGTTGCGAAATTTTCACGCAGAAAAACATGCTTATTGTACTTTATTAAGTTTGTTATTCGTGCCAAAGTTACGCAAGTACCTACAACCTAAATCTGGTTAAAATAAAAGAGACAGAAATGCAGTGCAAATGAAAAGAAATGATAGTTCAAACATTCTGGTGTAATTTATAATTGTAACGATTATATTGTGCTTAATCGTATATAACATTTCATCATCGAATTAAATATATTTAGAGTAATCGCACAATGCATATAATTTTTCAAAATAATTTTGATATATAATAATACTATTGTAATTTCTCCAGAATCTTCAAACCAATATTCTTTGATACTTCACGATTATTATTGTTATTCACTTTTAATACGAGCGAACAAATCATTTAACGACACATAGGTAATTAGGACTTTGAACTTATATGGTAATTAGGACTTTGAACTTTGATATCGATCAGCGAAAGATATTATGCAAAATTTTCCGAAGGACTTATTTATACAATAACGTTTTCATATATTGTTAATTAATATTAAGAATGTAATAATTGGAAAATATATTTCAATTAATGTATAGTACATAACATTTTATTTTTTTTTAATCAATATACTCTCTGTACATGCGATTTGCAGGAAAAACCGTCGCAAAATAGTATTGTGCAAAAGTGCAGTTACAATACTTTTTATTAGTGCCGTTGTATTTAATAATGTAACATATTCATGTGTACGATAATTTCTAATTATCGCACATGCGATAGTTTCTAATTATCGCGTCTAATAAAATTAGATATAACAATGAGATATACAAGATGCAAGTAACAAATTATCAAATAAACAAAAAAGTAAGCCTCAGCTAATCAATTTGTATCGCATCTCTTTGTAACGTATCTCTTTTTGTTGAATGAATTAACATTTCAATATTTTTTATGTATCTTTTTTTGTTGAATGAATTAACATTTCAATATTTTTTATGTATCTCTTTTTGTTGAATGAATTAACATTTCAATACTTTTCACGTTTAAAAGTAAAAACAAACGATGTTTTACGATTGTATAACATGGTTAAATAAATGGCTTTCTTTGGAGGTGAGATAACAAATTCAACGTTTTACCAACCTGGCGGAATGTATGATGAAAAAGCGAATAAACTTATATTAAATCGCCTACTTATCGCAATATTCGCATTTTATATTTGACGAGTCGAGTGAAATTCGACTATTTAAAAATTAAGGAACGAGCTCTTGTTTAGTAAGAACGCTCAGTGCTCTAGCGGCTAGAGCTTTACTCACAGTTGCAGCAGTATCCTCGATAATTGGACTAGCTATGTCCAATACTAAACGAGGATTGGAATTAAAGAATGTTGCAGCTGCGTCGGCTGAAATAAATATAAATAAATATAAGCAAATCTATCTAATATAAAGATAGAGCTAATTATATATATAAACAAAATTTAAGGCATCTTTTGAAAAAGTCTCTATCTCATACATATAAATTATTAATAAAAATCAAGAGTTGAAAATTAAAATTAAGCGAAGTATTGTAACAAGTATACTTAATACATAAGTTTTTTATGCGATTATTGAGCATAATTTTCGACAATTTAATTTTTACCGGCTAACGTGTGAGTAGGAGGTGCCTTCAGTTTAATATTTCCATGACCAACGCGGATTTTAGTAATCAATTTATCGACTTCGAGTCTCTGCACGCCATTTTTATCAGTAACTTCCTTGCCTTGTGCACTTACTTGAGCTTCGGTGTCAGCTAGATTAAAAAATCGACACGATGACAAAAAATCTAGACGCTATTAAAATAAATTATTGAGACTTATTGAAGACAGTATTGGATTATATACACATATATATTATATCGTTTTTATCTGTCAAACTTCATGTAAAATTGTTATGTATAAAATATCTATTAGTATATAATGTAAACTTTAATCTATTGAAATATTAATATAGATCCCTCTTATTCTCTTTTTACTTTTTCCTTTATAAGTTTAATTTCATAGAAAACTTACTAAAATTCCCTTTAAAATTGCCTACTCCACTTAAAGGCAGCAGCAACAATCTTCCTTGAACGTCATACTCGCCGCTCATATAAATGTGAGGCAGTTGGACTTTGAGAGACACAGTCAAATCGTTGGGATTTGCTTTAAGATCGTGCACGACGTAATTCGTAGCGCCATAAACGCGAATTTGACTCATATTGGCTTTAAGTTTCAAGGATTCCAGATTTCTATCTACCGTCAAGGATGGCAAAAACAAAGGATCCAATGCTGGCAATTTCAAAGACGGCACTCCCTTGACGAGAAGAGGCGTGAGAGTTTCCAGCTGTTTAAGAATGCACTTGTTGTACTCCGCCAAGTTGTCTGTTCGTGGACATGATGTTACTCCAGGAGCTGAAAACATCGATTGCATATTAATTTTAATAAGTTATTAGAAGAGCCGTTAAATTGATGAATGGAACACGGATCCATTAGTCTCTAGAATTTAAAAATAGCTTACTAAGACATTCATAAAATAAAGATTTGATAAATATAAATATTCACACGTATTTATAAGAATCTGAATTTCGTTTTCTGAATCACGCAGTAAAAAATTTTTATTTAATAAATATTAGCGCGTACAATATTCATAATATTTGAGAAAGTTAAAAATATGTTCTTAATTTTTTTTCCTACATGTAATCAAAACATCATTACGAAAATGACTTCTCAGGAAAATGCGGAGAAGCATTATTGAATTTTTTAACTATATCTTAATCAGAAATTATCCATAAATGTACAGCTGTATGTAATATGTAATTCAAATAATTTATAGAATAAAAAATAAAGTTTTACAGAATTAAAGAGTCTCGCTTTACAGAATTAAAGAGTACAGTGTATTGTAATTATTTCCAAGATGAGTGATGTCATCGTATTGAGAAAGATAGATATCTTTGAAGGCGATGAGTGATTGCAGGCATTGCACCCTGTTGCGATGTCGGTTGAGCGAACGCGATAATGATAAGAACTCGACGATGACTAAGAGAGCGACTTTTTTCTGGTCAATTAATCCGGCAGGCCTAAAATCGAAAGTGGACGGTAGTAGAAAGTGAAATTACGAAGGCGATTGGCGAATGAGTTGTTTTTTTTATCGACGCTTAATACACGGTGAATTCATGTGTGTCGCAGTGAGACATCGAAGAAAACATACATAAACGATCAAGCAAAAATCGAGAATAAATTGAGAGGATAAATTGATCTAGCTTAAACAATAAAAAATATGGTAATACATTCAGTAAGTTAAATATAGTAAGCTAAATAATAACTTAAATAATTTTAAATTTCGAAAGGATTCTTTCATAATTCTTCTAAATCTTCGTAAACTGTTAAAATAAAATTGATTGAAATACAATATTGATAATATAATAAATACTAATGTTTAATGATAACAATCTTAAAAATGTCTTAATTTTGAACAATAAAAATTGAAAACGAAAATTGCACTTCGAGTAAGAAAATAAATTTTTTAATTATTTCATTTATGCATTATGTAGATATATAAAATCCCCACTCTAATAATTCTAATAATTCTTATTTCTATATTTTTCAATTAATTATTAATGTTCTTCATTATTTTATTTTTTTCCAAAATAATATTAAACAGATACTAAATAAATTAGTTTGTAAATTATTTGTGCACAACAGTAATATGCTTTTCTCTAGTATTTATTATTATTATTATATACTTGTTGCGAAAGATATAATGATACATAATAAAAATTCTAAAAAAATACAAATAACATTTTCAAGTTTCTCTTGTTAAAACAAGAAAGTGATTATATTATTTCACCGCACGAGTTAAAGCGGTGACAAGAAAACCATTGCCCATAAGTAAAAGTGTCAAATTAAATTGTAGATTATATTGTCTCATGTATGCAATATGTAAAGTAACGACATTATTGTTCCAGGTAAAAAGCATACCTATCCGGTCGGATGTCGCAATACTTCCGGATTTTCTATTGAGATTTCTTAATAACAGTTGACATACTTTTATAAATTCTATGTTAATCGGAAATTGCATGTAAAATACATATAAAAAAACATATAAAGTTATATGCAATACTTCGCACATAACTTTAATCATCTTTCTGACAGTATAATCCTAATTAATGACTCTTTATTAATGTAAATATGTTGTAAATTATCTGTAAATTTTCTTGATTGTTATTCATTGCGAAATATTTTAAACATAGAAAAGACATAAATGTGTATCTAATTATCTTTTTTAAAGAAATTGAGAATATAATTTAAGAGCAAGAGTTTAGTGCATTTTTTATTATTTTCTATTTTGTATATATATATTCTCTTTATATATATTTTGTATATTCTCTATTCTTGCAAAGAAATTACTATTAAGATTATTACTAAAAAATTATTATAAAAAAATTAGAGATTTAAAATTCGATTGTTGCATATGATTTTATGACTTCAATTAATTTACATTTTAATTAAACATATGATTTGAAATAGCCTTCAATCCAGATATATAATTTTATGATTTTAAAATTGGTATCGATTAAATATAATTGTACAGAGACCTTACATTCAATGTTTCTGTAAACGTTAAATTTCGTAATGTGTTTTCATATTACATGTTGCAGAGTCATAATATGCATGAACATAAAGTCATTCTATTGCTCTTGAATCATATTATTGATTTCTTAAGAAAGGATGATTAAACACACGCGAATATTTCTTTTATATACATTGATAATTTTTTTATATACATTGATATTTCTTTTATATACATTGATAATTCTTTTATATACATTAATAATTATCATATATAAAAATTTTATTACATGTTTTCGATTAGTGGCATGTATATATTTATATAAAGTATCTTGTAATGAATGGTATAACAATCAAGAAAAAGATAATGGCAAAAATAAATCGAGAATATACAAAATAAAATTTTTGCATGCTAATTTTTCAGGAAAAAATCGTACGTTAAAAATTCATTAAATACATGTTCATTTTACTAAATTTTACTAAATTTTGATTTTGTGCATATGTTTATAGACAAATGCGACAATAGAAAAAATGATAGAAAACAAACTATGATTATTCTTATCAATGTTTATAAATACAGAAACATTTATTCATACATAAAGTAATATCGAAACTTGGCCAATTGACTAACTATAATTCGATGAATTTTCATGACAATTAATTTTGGCGAAAACAAAGTTTTATAAATACAAAAAATTTTTCTTGTACACTTTTAATTTTTTTTACGTATAAAATAATTTGTTTTCAACTATATCATTATTCAGAATGTTATGTCCAATCACTGTAGAAAGTATAAGAAAATAATACAAGCATATGATATGCATAAAAAAAGTCTGTGTTAATTACACCGATTATCTTTCTTGTGTATATCTTCTCGTGATTATCTACTCGTGGAAGAAACAAAATACAATATTATCCACGTATATAAATTACAGAGACAAATAAAGTCACATATTATTGATTTTTTATCGTACATGTAACCAAGGATATCAATTATACTTTTTTATCATACATGTGTCCAAGGATACGTATCAATTATATTCTTGACAAGTAAACTTACGCAGTTCCGACACGGCAGTCCTGGCCCACGCCGCAAACAGTACGAGTCCGATCAGCATCATCCTTGTGACGATCCTGCAGGTACGTATATGAGGTCGCAAGGCTTGCGATTAGTACGGTTCTTCTTTCACGAGATCGCAATTAGCGACAGCGATATCGAAAATGCGTACGATGGCCCCGTCGCGTGTGTATATATAAAGAAAAGTGCACTTTCTCCGCGCATGGTACCACCCCACTCGGACGACGGCGATGGTGAATTTATCATGGTAGAATGCCTCCTTTTAACTCAGTCAGGGCCGTAGCCAATCTTGACACACGTTTACGCACGACAGACATACACATGCACGCACGCGACATCCGTTAGAGAATTACGGGAAACTATAAAGTACCTCGGAGTACATTACAATTTCGCGCCGTCCTCTTCATAAATGATGGACGTGGTCTTTTTTCCGACGTCCAAGGATGAGGACAAGATGCGGTCGCGTGGATGATTACGCATCGCGGTTTTAATACGAGATCGTTGACTTTCGAAATACTATTGTTACTACTATTACACGGAGCATTATTCTTTTTGGATATACGCGACTGGTCGCTCTTGAAGGAAATTTCGATATTATTTCGCGAGTAATTTTAAATCTAACAACGAAGCCATTATCGCGAACAGCGATTCTCTCCTCAACACTCTTTTTTGCCATAATGTTTTTCTTCTCTTAACTTGACTGGGGATTCTTGTTCGACACTTGAGCTTGTTGACACAAATTGGCTCTATTCTATGTGTAATTTATCAAATATCTTTAAGAATCAGCATTTAGAGTGACAGCCTTTGCATTCTCATATGTGTCATCATCGTCCATCTTATAGAATTGTAAGATTATCAGATCAATATAAATATTAGTTATGGAATCGATTTTCGAAACATTTTCATCGTTTATATATTTTTGTTTGTACGAAATTTGCATTTATTTTGATAATTATTCCATATTTCTGTTTATAATAATAAAATATTGAATAATATTATTTATTGTATCTTATTTATATTTAATTTGAGATAAAATTGCGCATAGAATATAGGAAAATTTTGTTTATATCCTCTGATTGTCAAACATAAAAGCATAATAAATATCAGTTACGCGAATACGTAATATAGATTCATAATAAGATGTGGTAATATGTAACAGTGTTACATATGTAAGAATGTTAGAAATACAACCTGCATGAAGAATAAAATATGCAAAGTTACGTTGAAAATCACTGTTACTGAAGCTGAAAATGTCAATAAGGACTTTCAGGCCATAGACCAGGGCTGCGATCTACAGGTACGTTCTTCTCTTTACGGAGAGAAGAGTTACTCAATTTTATTTAACTTAAAATCGCTAAGAACTCTTTACAGGCAATTCCTCACAACTTCCGACATTGATTTGTTGAATTGACTCCAATAATTAATTTTTTTATACTTAAATAGAAAGATTTCCACGCATGTTTATATGTAACTGACAATTCTCGTGCATACAATTATCGCTTCAAATCGTTTCCCGCTAATCATTTACATTCTCTTTTCTTCTTGCAAAGTTCTTGCAAATTTTTGTGATTAACTACGATTCGTAATAATGAGACTCTCGTTAGTATTTATGAAAGATTAAATTTTATCCCGTCATTATATATATCTTACACAATCATTTTTCACGTAATGCAAAATTCGAAAAATAACATGAATTATACAATACACAAATAAACAAAGAATAGCGCTTATAAGAAGAATTAAATAGAATTTAAGTTATTTAAAAAAATTAAATTGATTGAAATTCTTGAAATGCAAAATTACCAAACTAATTTACATCTCACACCATTACCGTAAATCTAATTAATAATAAATATATAATTGACTAACTATTTATAAGGAAAGATTTGTATAAGCGCGATAAAAGTAACTTGTTCATGTATAATCCCGGAATACAAAGCAATTTTCGCTAGTGGAATAAAAAATGAAGATAGTTACTTGAATTTTCCAAATGTCATTATATAAAGGTAATAGATCGTCTCTTCCTTAAGTAAATGTATAAATGTGGGATTTTGTAACTATTTATAAAGGAATGTACGAAGGATTTAATATAAACGCAAATAAAAGCAGTCTGTTTATATAGAATTTCTTAAATAAACGACATAAAAAAAGAAGTTAAAGAAAACTCTTCCTATATTTTTCTTGTTAAGAATTTATGATTCTAGTTCTAAATTAATTTTGTATAATTATATATATTATTATTAATTAATTATATATATATATATATATATATTATATATATATATAATTATTTAAAATTATATTATTTTATATATACACAATATATAAAATAAAAATATAATAAAATATATTTCAAATATATATAAATATAAATAAATACGTATAATATTAATTAAAATCCCATTATGCTGAAAAAATGCATAAATATAAGCGAACAAAAATCTCAAAGTAACGATAAATAAATATATGTCATGAAAAACCGCATGCAAATAAAGGACTAAAATAAATAAATAAAATAAATAAATATATATAATAAATATATACGCGCAAGATTGACGAACAGAGACGTATCTCTGGAGGTGCAAAATTCTCGATCGTCCCGGGACACTTGATCGATCAAGCGAAAACTAGTTAATTGACGGGTAAATTCTCGTACATCCTGTAGATCAGTGCGTCGGCCGTTTTCTCGCTGAGCCCCTTAGTGGCAAAGTCGTCGGCGAGCATTGCAGCGATTGCCTCTGCAGCCGTTAAACCTGACGGAGGAAAGTGAATCGGCGTGAATGAGAGATCAATAGAGTTAACATCGCACAGGATCGTTTAGTCGCGGGGCCGTTCGGTCGCGTTCGCAAGAAAGTGAAGAGGACTTTTACTCTCTCGCGAGCTCTCGGGATACGTTTCGACGACTCTCGATCCGCGATGCCGATCATGCACGTTTCATCTTAGTTTCTTCTTTAGCGGAGTTAAGCCGTGCGACAGCAGCCAAGAAACGTATTTGCGAAATTTTAAGATCTCGCAAACGCGTGGCTATCCCCCGCGCGATTATTATTCGCTTGAAACTTTATACACCGTTTATATAATTGACACCTGATCGATATCGCCATGTAACGAGTCGTGAATCGACGTTACTTTCCAAGAAAGAATTCATCAAGTAGTAACTAGTAACTACGGAAGAGCCGTGCGACAGTCGCGTAACAAACACAAATGTGATTTCACGTAATCGTCAAGACCGGCTTTAAAGTTATCGATTAATTTATTCTGATAGTCGATAGCTAATTTATTGTTCTCCCTCTTTGAGAGAACAGTAATCGTGATTATTCTATTATTTATAGTTATACATATTTACCATAATTGAGAATAACTTGCACTGGTCCCGCCTCGTTCATACCTTGAAGATTGATCTTCTTGTCCTTGGCGGACAATTTGGCTCTAGCAGCACGAATGATAATCAGCTCTTCGTTCAGCTTCTTCAGTTCCAATGTAAAATCGCCCACTACATCGGCTATAGAAGCAACAGGGAAGTATACATTAATAAATTTTCGCTAATTTTCATTAATTTTCGCACGCAATTTCATCGCATGCAAGTTTTTCCTTACTAAAGTTTCCGGTCAGCAGGCCATTGCCACGTAACATCTCCTTTCCCACTTTTCCCGTAAGCGTGTATTGAGACTTGACGCGAAGCAGTGGAACGCGTATTCTCAAAATCACACGCATCACGTCGTCCTAGAGAATTTTTAGGATATGTGAGAAACAATAGATATAGAAACAACAGGTACAGCGACAAATTATTCTCTTTTTTTCTTATAAACTCACGGATATATCAGATATTTAAAACTCACGGATATATCAGATATTTAAAAAAATTTTTAAATGATTCAAAATGTGTGAGATTTGATTAAAAAAATATTGATTTTACTTCATCAGCTTCCTTAGAACGTGCTCGCTTCGTTCTTCTGTTATCACTGATATTTTGAGAAGCACTATCATTTCTCACGTCCATTTCGCCATAATGATAGATCAGCTGCATGCCTTCTTCAAAATATCCCTGCTGCTCTTGATAACCCTTCGCATATCTAGTTAGATTCCTCAAATTGTTAGCTTCCATGGCAGCTTTAACTAGGTCATTCCTCTTCCTCAAGGCTTCTCCCTCCGTAAAATTGTGAATAATAAACCTTGTATTCTCCCGAATGCCCTACATTCAGAATATTTTGCGAATCATGCAGAAACTGGTAACTTGAAAAAGAGAGAGGAAGAACCACAAATAAAAATAAAAATAAATAAATAAATATAAAAAAAATACCTTCATGATATCCTCGATGTCATATACTTGTCGGCTCTCTACAGGATTGATACCTAAGTTACCGAAATGTTTTATACTTCCATTAGCTTTGTCATCCGCGTAGACAATATCGATGTAATCTGTTCGCTCTATCACTCCGTGTCTCGATAATTTAACGTTGCTCAAGAGATTCGATCGCAAAGACTGTTCTCTATTATACAATGTAGGCGGTCTTGCATCACCCTGACTTTTCAACCTAGTCTCGACTGTTTTCGACGCAGAAACCTGTTTTATTAAATTTTGTAGTTTGAAAGTTTCTGCATATAAATTACGTTCACTAATGTTACTTCAGTCTGTATACAGTAATTTATACAGAAAGTTTATATAAAAATATTATATAATAACAAAAATAATATAATAATATTGTAATGTATAATTTTTTGTATAAATTATGCAGGGAACAATTAGATAAATCTTAATCAAACCTCAACATCCTCGATTCGCCTTTCATATCTGTCATCAGCGTCTTGTCGTGGTTCATATTTCTGGCTACCTTTCTGATTTCCCCTAAACTGGGAATCCTTTGAATCTCCACAATCAATTATTTCTTCACTGCTTCGCGAGCTTCCCTGATATCCTTGAATGTCTCTCGCCTTTTGTGCATAGATAGGCTGAACATAAGTCGGACGCTTAAAGTCTTTGAAATTCTCGGGATTTGTCTGCAAATTGCTCGACGCTTTTAAACTGTCCCTATGAAAATCATCGAATCTGACATCAGAACGAAAAGGCGTCCGCCGATTATATTGTTGATTTTGTTCAAATGTCCTCGAGCCATCTTGATCTTGTTGCAATTTTTCAAAGCGAGCTTCCTGATAACGCGAAGATGGTCTGATATCAGCTCGATTCACAGACGAAACGATGTCTTCGAAATTTTCTTTCGGTACATTAGGTTCTCTCATCATGGTATGGAAACTGTATCTGACGGAATCTACGTCTCTGATATTGCTGTAGCTCACGTATCCGGCCTCGAAATCGCTCAAGTTAGAGTTAAGTTCGCTGCGAGCGACGTAGATACTCTCCAAGATCGATTCGTTGAGCCCGACAATTTCCAAATTTCTTAGAATCACTCTGTAACTAATCTCACCTTCAGATTGATCAATTTTAATTACAGGTACTCTCAACGGATCCAGCTTGCCAATCTTCGTCAGACCTCCTGACACCGTCTTATTCCAGAGCATCTGGGACATTTCTAATAACGCGCATCTCACCAAAGTTATCGTAGAGAGTATTAGAAGTATGTAAACGATGTTCTGTGACTCCAATCTTGGCATTTTGTCTTTTTAATTAATTTAAATTGTTTAAATTAATTTTTCAGAAGGTGACAGGTGACAGATGGTTTTCAAGTGTCTGCAAATTTCGTTAATTTGATAAAGATGTCGAATTTATCGTATCTTGATACGATTGCAGAATTGAACGGATACTTCTTCAGATTCTTCAATAAGGTACGTCGATTTTCCAAATGTAGATTGGTTTATAAATCAATACTAAAATAATACTGATAATAATGAATATTAGCAGGAAATATGCAACGATCGTGCACATCAGCATTTGATTCAACATATGTTGCGCTTCGTTGATTTTTGGTACTCGACGATTCCACGCAACATTTCGGGAATAAGGATTCTTTACAAAATCAAAAAAATATCGACGACGAGTACAAACTATCGACTGCAAGTCGACCATGCATTCACAGAAAGTTTTTATAGTCGATCATGGAAGGGCGTAAGGGATCTAGGCCATGGACCAATCTTATATGATGCTGGCTAACTAAGTGGCTCTTAGTCAGACTTCGATATATTTTCTTCGCATTTCCTTAAATTCTCCTATTACATGGTGATGTAAAATGGAGAGCAAGGTCTTCGAATGGCCTTCTGTTACGCCGCAGATCATTATGGTATAAATAGAAACTAAAATTTCAAATAGATATATTTTGTCAAGAGTTATAAAATTACATGCAAAAATTATAATATTAAAAAAAAATAAATTAAATTAGACTTTAAATTAAGTTGCATGAGAAAATGGGACACCAGTTATTTTATATCGAACAAGCACTTTAATTCGTAAGTAAAGGAGAGCAATGAGAGGGGAGGCTATTAAAATCGCGCAATCAGCACATTGCCATAATCGATTGTAAAATTCACATATTTTTTTTAGCATTTCAGCGCGCCGATAAATTATTTCACATGCGGACTTCATTGTAGTCACAATGCACACAAGCGCGAATATTGCATTTTTGCTGATAACTGGTTTTATAGCAGTAAAATCTCGAGATATACGTAAGTAAAATCCAAATTACTTTATAAGAGATAGAAGTTTATATTTCATATATTGAATATGATAATATTTATCTTATAAAAGTGTTCCATTAAATCTTTCGAAATCTGATATCTCATGTAATAATTTTCATACATAATAATTTTTAATATAATATTAGCAAATAATACATAGTATGCTATATCAAATATTTTTGTTAATTTATCTTCTAATAATTTGTATATTATATAAAATATAAAATATTATTTATAACTATTAAATGTTAATTACTAAATTATTAATTATTAAATATTATATTAATTACAAGAAAAATCACGAATAAAAAATATCTATTTTCTTCGTAGCGTCATTTCTGAAGATATGTCACCGCAATGATCCGAATCTAAATGAATGCGTGAAACGAAGCATGGACTCGTTAAGACCTTATTTAAAAACAGGCATTCCAGCATTACAAATACCTCCTTGTGAGCCACTTCGCATACCACACATTGAAATCAGTCAAACAGCTGGTCCAATTTCCATGAGATCGACATATACTGATATCGAGATTCAAGGTGGAACAAATTTTATCTTAAAAAACGTCAAGTAAGTTCCATGATAGATTAAATTAAAAAACACAATTTATATAAATTTACCTTGCATTTAAAAAAAATCTGATCTTGTAAAACTTTTTTGGTTTATTTAAAGTTAATTTTGATAAATTTTATTCTCTAATAATTTCGATAAATTTTATTTTATTAATGGAATCATATATCAAAATTATTTGTATCATAAATTCTATTGCACGCGGAACTTATATGGCATGCTTTTTCAGAGTTGACGTCGATAGGGATTGCGTTAGATTGAAACTGTACCTTCCACGTCTTGAAATGACCGCGCACTACAACATGAACGGAAAGATCTTATTGTTGCCAATAAACGGAAATGGATTAGCACGTGGTAATTTCACGGATATCGAAGTCATAGCTACTGTTCAAGGTGAACGTTATCAATCTAAGAAAACTGGCGAGATTCATTTTCGTGTGATCGACCTTTACGTGGACTTTGACGTTGGACACGCTAATATCTATTTGGATAATTTATTCAACGGCGATGGTACTTTATCCAATGCTATGAATCTTTTCTTAAACGACAATTGGAAAATTGTAGCGGCCGAAATTAAGCCAGCTCTCGAAAATACCGTTTCAGACATGTTTAAAACATTCTCGAATAAGATTTACTCAATGTTTCCAATGGACACATTATTACCACCTTAAATATAGTAGTTGTTTTGTGTTTATTTTTTATCAATACAAAAACTTTTAAATGTAGATAAACTTTTCTATATACAGCACATATATAAACTTGTCATAAATATTCTAATAAATATTGTAATAAATATTGTAATAGAATTGTATAATATACAAGTAATATTATCAATATCAAAAAGATTAATATATGCCTTCACATTCAATAATTCGCAAATACTAATAAATAAATTGTGCAAAAACAAATAAAAATGTAAAATTTCTTTACTTAAATAAAATTAATAGAATATCTAAATTAAAATAAATTAGAAATTAAACAATAATAAAAATTATTTTTGAGTTAATCTATTTTTATTCAATATTTGCGAAATTATCATATATTGTGACAGCATTTATATTTAAAATTAATATTATATGAAAAAGGAATTATGATATACAAATATAATTTATAATAAAATAAATTTATAATATACAAATATAGTTTATAACAGAATAAAGTTAATCAAATACACATTACATACATTAAATGTACATGTATATCGTATGTTATTCACATTTGTAATATAAATGTCTGAAAGAATATTACAAAATGATATGTATAACATTATATATAATTCTGACTGCAGAACTTTTCTTAAAATTAAATTTAAATTTATGATTTTAAATTGTAATCTTAAATTTTAATATTTAGAAAAATTTATGATTTATGAATTTATGATTTTAAATTGTAATCTTAAATTTTAATATTTAGCTCTGATATTCATATAATAACTATGACTTATATAATAATAATAATAATAATTCTAATAGCTCTAATATTCCTAATATCTCTAATATTGGTAATAGTGCTTTAATAATCCTAGTAATTTCATCTTATTTGCTAAGGTAACACAAGACAAAATCGCAATTATAAAGTAGTATATTTTATTTGCGATTTAATTTTCTGTTTACGAGATTTTTGATTATGTATCATCACAGAGATATGCAGAGAAATATGTTATTTTACGCATATTTTATACACATTCTGACCAGGTTTGATCATCTATGTTGCATAAATTATATAATTTATTTCATCTTCTAATCAAATCTTTTTTTTCTTGATGCTGGCTGTATTTATATATTTGGATTGATTTACATTAGAAATATAAATTTAAAATCAGGAATAGATTGAAAAAGTAAAAAAGTTCTCCTGTCAAATAATTACGTTACCAGCAAATAAGCATAAATATGTTACATTAATTTACGATCGTAAAATATTCATACAATCGTTTATTCGATGTTATTTTATATAATTTTAATTGATTAAAAAAAAACCAAGTTATCAATCAACATAAACACATCAACTATAAAAAAAATAAATATTTATAGAAATAAGTTCCGTATTGAATTAGTATTATCACGATTATATATAATTAGTATAATTATGTATTTTTTATTAATTAAACAGAGTGAAACTATATACTATATAATTGAAATACTTTGTATCCTTCTTTAGTTTAATGTAACTTATTTAATTAAATATGTATAACTATATCCGTATAATTTATGTTTATAATATATATACATGCATATACATGCATGTATACATGTATATACATGCATATATGTACATATATATATTTAAGAAATTTATTAAAATTTATTAAAAGTTACCCTTTCTCAACCAATCTATTATAGCTTACTCAAAACAAAGAGATTTATGATGTTTTAATATAATATGCTAATATATTTCTCTACATTTTAATATTTATTACAATAAGATACTGTATGTATAATACATTCAGACATATATGGTATTTGACATATCATATTTGAAATTCAATTTTTATAGATTTATTATTTTAAAATATAATATATTGCCATGACTCACTATAATTGATGTACACGCAAGCAATTAATATATGTGTGTGTGAAAAAATAAATAAGTAATATATAAATAATAAATTCATTCTCCAAAATTACTTCGTCATCGCCAAATACAATCATTCGCAAAAAATGTATACACTTTATATAATTTGTTATTTTTTTCATTATTATAATAAACTCGTACACCTTGTACACCCGGCATCCCTGAATTAAATTAAAACGTGACGACATCCGCGACAAACAAATACGCGATACCTTGTACGGCATAATTTCCCAAAAATTAAATGCATGACACTTTGTACGGCACTCCCAAATTAATCACATACATATAATAAACAAGACACGAGAAATCACACGGCATGCTGAGAATAAATTCAACATATTATTATTTAACACATTTAATTTTTTTATTTATACATACATTTTATTTATACATGCATCAATATGTAAAATTTTACAGAATATTATACGAATATTTCTCACATTTTTAATAAATTATCAAATGGATAAATTTTAATAAACTGATTTGTATACATTTTTCATTATGTAAAATATTTAATTCAGTGATTTATTATATTCATTGTTCTACCTTGTTTTTTTTTATTTAAATTATTTAATCTAGGAGATCATAGTTACTATTATCATAGTAAATATTAAGTATAAGTTTGCATAAATTAACATTTAATATAAGTTTACTTTTTCTTTCATTTACTAATAGACTAATTTGTATGTCGAGACATATATTTTTTTAATAATTAAATTTCAATATTTGCATTATTAAAAATAATTTCTCAAGAATATTTTATATAACCAAATATTTTTAAATATCATATATTTGATTAATTTAAATCATTTATGAATCTTCTTTTTTGACGCTCCTTCCAATTGTTAACCACCATTGCACTCGAGTACATTCAAGAATCATTTCTTAGGCTGTCAGAAATCTCAGAAATTCCCTTACATGATTAAAATAGCATGTAATTATATATATAATTTATGTGACAAAAAAGCATTACATACATATGTATTATAAGCATCCAATTCTTGTTTTTGACAATTCATAAATTTGTTAAGTAGCTTTTATGTTAAGTAGCTTTCTTCATTTCTACTCTTTTTCATTGCAATTTTCTTATCTCTCTTCTTCCTGTTTTTCTTTTTCTGTTTGTCAACAAACTCATCTCTTAAAATGTAATTACATAATCATATAATTACGCAATTTGCCGCAATTCTTTGCTAAAGAGTATTCTACTTGCTTCACACTTAATTATTATTTATGCTTGTGTTATTTGTTTTTCAACGATGTAAGAAAGATAAACTATTCTGATTCTATAATTTTGAAATTATTTTTAATATTAATAGATTTATTATTCATTTTTTAAGATTAATAAATTTAATGTTCATTTTTAGAATGATATGTAATTTATATAATAATTGATATATTAGTACTTATTTATTTATTGATTGATATTTATAACTTATATTTTTAATTAATATTTAAATTTTTGAAATAAAATCGCATTATAATAGATATTAGTAAGCTAGCTTATTTTATATTCTTTAGTTTTTAAAAAATATTTTTAAATAATTTGTAAAAATATAGTATAAATATAAATGTACGATTCAAAAAATATAATGAAAAGTAAAATTCCTCCGAGAACGAATTTAAGGAGATAATGAAACACTAAATAGTCATGCTTGAACAAACTGTCAATCATCGCAGAATAAAACCAGTTTAATTAATTAGTTTTATTGTTTTACAGTCAATGCATATGCTTTTAAGTGACAAATGAAATTGAAAGTATTAAAAAAAGTAAGAATTTATTATTACCCATAAATTGTACATGTCAATGCAGACATATACAATTAATTAATTTAAAATAACAATGAGAATAGTATTATTAAAATATTTGTGAATAATATACAATCGTTGAATTGTATAGCAACATATTCTAATTCTTACATATGTGTAATAGCTCGAAAAATTGGGATATTTTAATTTCATTTTTTAATTTCATTTTTCCTGTTTTCATGATTAGATTAATTTATAAGTCAGACAAATTATTTTTAATTTCCTTATGAAGGAAAACATATATTAAGTAATTATGACATTAATTGTGACAAATAATTTAAATTTTATCTAAGCTATTTTGAATTTGTTCTCTATACAATATACGCATTTATATTATGCATTTATAACTATAAGGTCTTATTTTTCATTGAAAATTCTTTCTATATCATTGTGAATTCGATTGGAAAATCAATCAGTTTACTTTTAATTTCTTTTTTAATGATATTCATTGAAAAGATCTACATAACAGTCTCTTATATATGCAATGACTTATCAATATAAAATATATATATATAAGATTGAAATAGGAATGTATTTTTTCTCTTTCCATTTAATTGCATTTCATGAATTGTCACAAAACTTTTGATAAAAATAAAATTTATTACATTTTAAATACTCTGTGTTATTTAATACTCTTATTGAACTACTTCTCTAATATTGTTTTGCATCTATATTACTTTAAAATTATTATATCAAAGAAAAAATATAATGATACATAAATATGCTTTGCAAATGTATAGAACGTAAATTTTTTTGCATTTATTTCTAATAATCTACCTTAATTGTAAGAAAAATTCATAATAATATGCACGTAAATAATTGTTTACAACACATGAAAAATTATACATTCTTAGAAATATCTAGTGACGCACATTTTCCATGATCGTCGCAATCATATGCAAATTTCGTATGCAGTCGGTCATAGAAAATCGATTGCTGAATACAGTGTCCTGGTGGAAAGAGGTGACCACAACGGCTTCTTAAAGTCGAAGGCAGTAGTGGTGCTTTCTCAGAGTAGGGGAATCCCCACGCATATAAGACGGGATATGAAGGGGTCCCGTCCTTAGTTTATCTTAAAGTATAGTCGTTTAGTCATCGGCGGAATCCTTTAATTCCTTTATTTTTCTTTCCTCGATACCGATTATGTTTTTTCTGCAATCTTCGTGCCAAGAAAGCTGCCGGTCTTTCAGCTAAAAGTACGATACACGCACACATACTTGCACAAGTGTCTTTTTGTAAGTGTCCCTTATTGGAAGGGGAGGAAGGGGGTAATTAATCGCACGAGGCTAAAGATGTGTTCGCATTTTTACAGAATTAATTAATCAGAACGAGAAAGTGAAGAGTGTCGTGTCTCTCGAGAAGAATACAACCAGAATGATCTTCGCGAGGGTAGCTTCCGTCCTGCTTCTGGGACTCTACTCGAACGTCTTACTAGTGTCCTGCGAGGATCAGAACGTTACGGAAACCAACGTTACGGAAGCCAGTCTTACGGAACTCAATGAGCCGGATTTCGCCACTCGTAAGATCTGTGTCAAAATTTTTTTTTCACTTATAAACTGGCATACGCCTTGTCCTTCACATAGTTGTTAGAAACTGAGACATTGGATTGACATTAATTGATATGCAGCATGCGGATTTATTAGTCACAGATCTTGATGATAATATTCATTACTTATTTGATCTCAAATCATGTCACATTCCGCGTATTTTATTTCTCATTTGAATCACAACCGTGCAATGATTTTTAACGATAGCTAACCTTATTAAAGCATGCATTAAAGCACATTTAGAATATTCATCAATTATTCAAGGCATATTTGTTCTAGTTACTTTGTTCCTTTAATTAATGTAAAAACGAAATTATAATTTCAATTTGCATTTTTATTATTATTTATGCAGATAATATTACTAATTTAATTTATATTTTTATATTTTAACTTATATTTTTAAATCTTGCATTTGAATAGTTGTGGTTTTTAAAATATTATATAATTATTTAATAAAATGTTGTTGGAGGTATACACACTAATGATTTAAAAGTCGAGAAAGCTAACATTCTTTCGGCTGCATTTCCGGAAAAAGTTTGTGTTATTATTCTGTCATTATTCCGATGATCTTTGTTAACAATAATTTGATGATAATTTGATGATTTGATTTATTTTAAATTAGACTACGTTTAAACTACGTTTATATTAGTTTGAAAAGGAAATGTATTTTTTGCTTCCTTACATTATTGTTTACTTCACTTTGAGGAATGCACTAGCACAGTGATTACGTGTACAAAAGACAATAGGAAATGATTACATACGAGTGTAATCTCACTTCGCGTTTTCATTCGCATTTTTTGCCGAACATCTCGAGCGTATCTACCTTTCTCTTTCGTCACAGTCCAAAGGAAGACAAACAATGGATGCAGCGTGTGATTACATGACGGAAACTACTTGTCTTGATTGCACCTGCACTTTCCGCGATCGCAACTGCTAATTATTGGAACTCTTTCACGACATTTTGACAATTCGATTAGAGACTTCTTACAGTCAAATTTATATTTGATCTTCTCAAAGCATTCTCGATTAAAATTTTATTCACGTGATAAGTGTATTATCTTATAATGATATAAATTATTTTGTCTACAATGAAAGCATATAATATTAGAAATTTTAAAATCTTATCTTTTCATAAACGCACAATATAAACCTAATTAAAAAAACTTATTACATATATTTGTATAATAAGATCAATCAGAAATGTATTCAAATTTATAAATATTCTAATTTTGTATTATATAAAAAATCTTATACGTCATAAATGATATTTCAAATAACAACTTTCATGCATTGCATTTACTATGTAAAGTAGTTTCTTACAAGCAAGTTTACACACATAATTCTTGTCATAATTTTTATCTGTACATATATAATTCTATTATCTTTAATTATATCGTTTTTACATTTTTCTATAGCAACTTTAAATTAATAATTGTAAGCAATTAAAAAAGAAGGGCAATATCATACATCATTAGTTTCAATTATATAATTGTTGAGAATGATTTATGTTATACTAACATAATAATTTATGTTATACTAATGTTTTCTATAACTATTGGAATTTTTATAACTATTGAATATTTATTTATAACTATTGGATAACTGTTGGAATATTAGATGCAACTCTGAATTTGTTTGTGAGTTAAAAATATATGATTAAAAATACAGATAAATTACACTACTAGCACAATTTTGCGATGCTGCAAATAAGAATCAATAAAACATTTTCACTACAAACCGATAAATTTTAATGCATTAATTAATAAAATCAATAATACATCATATCATAATATTTTCGTTGTAAACGTGATTATTTTGTATGCTAAAATTCACCCTTGCCACATCGCGATGTGCACTTTTTGTTCAACATTCCTAGAAATAATAATAGCCCAAGACTAGCAAAATAATTCGCATGTACGAATATGACGCAAAGCGACGTGCACATTGGGCCTCATCGATATAATGCCTCGAAATATGGCGTAACGTTTCTCGACGGCGTGGCGAAGGTTATGTCAGAGATTGCGTAATTCGTGGTGTCGAGGATCGGCAGCAATCGTCCGGAGAAAGTACCAGGTTAAAGCCGGTATTACGACGACATACGCAAAGCACCGCCGATTCTCTACTCTGTATACTTTACGTATTACCTAAGCGCCGACATTTTTTCGAGGAAGATAAATGCTGAATTCGCGAATCAGACTCTAAACATGAAGATTAAATCATATTTCTCTTTTTCTCGAATACGAAGTTTTTGTTAAAATCTCTCGGTCTGTATTAAAAAGAATTATACCTAATATTTATGTAATTACGAGATATTTTTCTACATAATCATTTTATAGATAAATCATCAGAATTTTTTATTTAAATTCTCATGAATTATAGACTACTTGCTAAATCATTAAAGAAAACTAATTAAAATATGCAAACGTACATTCACAAATAAAAATAATTTTGATAATATTCTACTCTTAAAATGTGTAATTAATATAAAATGTGTGTATTTCACAAAATATTAAATTAAAAATGGAAAGCATATTATCAATCAAAAGCTTTTTCAAAAAAATAATATCTAAAAAATAAAAAAGTGTGATTTTTCCTTTTTAAATAATTTTTTATGTTTCATATAAATACATTAATGCTCATTGTGTTTCTTCTTTCTTTGTCTTTCACTATACATATCGTTTTTGTACATTGTCAATCATGCGCGTGTCATGAGTGAAAGTGACGACGTAATAGCCATGTGTCAGGTGAACCAGATTCCTACAAAAGACATAATATTGATACAAAGGTATCAATGTGTTTCTGCTGTTTGACACAGATTTTAATTACGTCAACAAAGGTCAAGAGTCGCCACTGTTAGAAACATTTTACTCAGTCATTTTTTTTCTTATATAAATATCTCAGACTTTCTCATTAAAAATGTAAATTAATGCTGTTAGAATATATGCAGGGTGTCCCAGCTATATATTTCATTTATCTCAGTTTGTATGTCAAAGAAAAATCATAAGTAGTTCTCGCTAAACTGAACTAAAAGTCCCATACTATTTTGCAAATAATCACGTAAAATTTCGGGTATTTAATTAAATTTAATTAAAAAGAATTTCGGGTATTTAATTAAATTTAATTAAAAAGAATTAAATCTACTTATGATTTTTCTTTGACACACGATAGTTTGAACGCCCTGTATATGAATGCATGCAAATGTATGGGAATTAATTTATTAAATCATAATTTTAAAAAGTTTTCGAAATAAATTCGAAATTATATTGTGAATAATATATACTCGCTATATTGAATAATTTATCAAAAATAAAATTTTATTAATTGATATATTACTAAAATCACACAAAAATGTAACAATTTATAAATATTAATTTATAAATATTAATTTAGTAATATAAATATTGTATATTTTTATATTTTTTATTAAAAAAGTGCGTAAATGAATATTTATAAATATTAATTTATAAAATATAAAAATATGATATATTTATATTACTAAAATAATATGTGTAGTATTTATTACTGATTTATTTTATATGATAGTTTGCTAGTACATTTAAAAATATTACATACTATTACAATATATAATATAGATATATTTAATAAAAAATCAATTTATATAGATGGAAAATATGACATCTTCGTAAGGTTTTATTTTTTCATTAAAAAATAAAATAATTAATAATTAAAATTGTTATTTAATAAAAATTTCTTTTTAAATAGAAGATTATTCCGAATTATTTAAAGTCTCGGAAGTATACAAGTATGATATTACTTTCTCTGATTGACGTTTCTTAAATTTGAAGTGAGTAAAATAGCATCAATTGACTGTTAGCCTTGTGAGGTCATTGAAAGTGAGAGTGATTGCATAAAAGATATGAAAGGAAATAGGAAGACGTTGCAGAATAATTCGTTAAAAATGGATGTATGCATAATTCTATGTTAAGCATATTTTTATAATTAAGTTAATTGTAATTTCCATTAGATCAACTTAGTATTTAAACGATATCTCGATCAAGTACAAGAAGAAAAAGTAATATTATTTTAATTGCTCTGACAGCGAATGATTTCAAATAATCTTTGATTATGTAACGATTGTAGCGTATTAATAATAATCAATTTTGTTCTTATAAGATAATTACAAAATAATGTAGCATTGAATAACAATTTTTATAATGTATTAGAACATGTTTAAATGATGTATAAACAAATGATTAATTCAAATGATACAGACCATTACATAACATAACAAAATTAATGTAACGAAATGTATACAAGTAAATACAAAAAAAAATAAAACAGTATCAGATTAATCTTGAAAAAGATTAAAATAAAATGAAAATATATAATAAAAAAATTTTCTATTCAGTTTAGCTTTTCTAAGACTTCTAAGACTTATTAGTTTAATATCGATTTGATTATTCTCACTTTTAGTTTTCAATTTTTATTTAAATAATTAATATTTTCGTATATTGAAAAAAATAATAATTATAATAAATTGTTATAATTATTATAATTGCACAATTTTATAATATTTCATTATCTTGATTTGAAAATTACTTATTTAGTATATTTTATTTACTATTATATAATATTTTATTTATTATTTAATTTTGTTTATTCAAAATTCTATAGCACATTATAGCTCTTTTAAAAAATTGCAAAAGCATAAAATTGCATCTCAAAGAATTAAGGATTTTTACAGCAATCTGAAATATATGTATGAACTAGCAATTCTGATAAATCTTTTCACAAAAATGTCCACATATAGTTAAATTTAAAAATTAGATTACGCATTGAATGTTTAAAAAGTATACTTAAAAAAAATTATTAGAAAAATTAATAAAAAAAATGGAGATATGCTAATAGATTATCAAAATTTATTGTGAAAAAATTCGTATCATATATATCGTATTGTATATTATTATTACCATATTACATCTATTATTAATTATATAATGCTCATTGCGCAATGTCTGATCGTATACAATCAAGTTTTCTTTTTTGCAGCCGAGTACATATTACCATGCAGTAGAAAAGACCCAAAGATTGAATCGTGTTTTCTTGGTACGCTCAACCATATTCAACCATATTTGGTGAAAGGTAAGTAAAATACATGTGTTCACCATAAATACACGTATGGTCATGAAATTGACAAATTGCTCCCCAATACATTGATAAAATTGTAATAATAATATGGTGGAAATATGTATTGTAAATATGTTTGTGATAATGAAAATTAAATATATATTGCTTGTTATAAATCATTAATTACATGCTATAAACTATTATAATCGTGCACGATTTCATCTTATAGCTAAATCATTACTTTCGATACATTTTATATTTATTTAGAGCAAAATGTTCATATAATCTGATATAAAAAAAAAATTAATTAATTCAGTAAAAGATTAATATGTAATCCATGATATCGTAGAAATTTTTTATTCATTCGATATATATTTCAACGAACCAAACTTTTCTTTTAATCTCTATTTTTATCGAATTTATATAACGTGCCAGTTAATACAGTGGGCAGATCAATTAAACTTGTAGACAGCAAAATGTTAGTACCAATTGTTACGTAAAGCATGTTTTCATGTTTTAAGAGAGTACTGTAAGCTTTCATCGTGATTAACTGCGAAATATTGCGAAAATTTATATATGTAATTTAGACCTTTATAATAACGTTTAATTTTTAGACCTTTATAATAACGTTTAATTTTTATATAATACATAAAGTCAGAACTTGAAGTTTCATAGAACAATATGCAATTACACGCATGGTGTTGCAAAATGATAACATGATAATATTAAAAATTTAAATTATATTTTTATATAATTATGTAATTTATATTCATAAATTATATTTATAATTATAATTTAATTTTGATACCTAATCTATATGATCTATATATAAACATATTTCAAAAAATTAAATTAACGTTAAAGTACATAATAAAGAAAAATAGAAATATATACATTTTTTCTTATTACATACATTTTAATGTCAATTTAAAGTAACGTCTAAAATAATCAATATTTTTAAAAATAAATTCTACACAATTAAATTTTTATTTTTTTTAATAGTTTCATAAAGAATTACTAATTATTAATGTCGTATATTACATACCTTAAAGTTACTCCATCATTATTTGATGCTTCCTTGGCCTCTTCTTTTTCCTTTGTTCTTTTCTTGTTGTTCCTTCATGGTGCTCTTTTGCGAACGATTAATTACAATGCACGCACTAATCAACGAAAATCAATAATCGCGCGGCACTTTATAACGGCACTCTCGATGTTAATCGCGTGTTTTATCACACCGTAAAATGAAAAATGAAGTAAAAATTATAATTGCATAAAAATATATATTCGGAATTGACCAGATTTATGCATCACGATAATTGATGCCACGATAATTCTACGTTCTGTAATGAATAAACTTTCGCATTTTAAGACAATTATATTCTCGCATTATAATATTTCAACAGAATAATATACGAAAATATGTCTTTGTTGACATTTGCGTGTGATAAATTTCGAACTCAGAAAATACGTTTTAATACAGTACCGATACAATCGCGATGCTATATATTACGCGAATCGATTTAATTGTTAAAGTTAAGACACAATAATAGAATGTCTGAAAGTGTGCATAAAATAAAAATTTAATATTATACGCGCGATATATTTCAAAGATAAGATGTTCGAAATTAATGTATTATTAATAAACGGATTTTATATTTTTATCAATATTTCTCATTTTTTTGTTAAATTATTCGATCTAATAATTTTTGATTCCCTTTCTGAAGAAAGCGAAAATGATATAATAGACAAATTATATTTATAAATAAAAAAAAATCAAGAATTTTGATAAGAAATATATTCGAAGATCCAAACATTAAAGAAATTATTGTCATTCTATATATCTAGATAGAAATAATTTATAATTGTCATTCTATATTTTAATTCGATGTTTATTTCAAATTAATAAATCGTGCAAGGCATCTACTTCGATATATAAATAACCATGAACTTTGATTGTGAAAATTAATTAAGCGAATTGATAATTGCCAGTATCACAATAATCGTATATAATAATCTGTAATCGGAAATAACAGTGAATTGATATCTTCTATTTATCGCTATCACGTTTGGAGAAATAATACGATGTCAAAATGTTCAACACCATTCGAGTCTCACGAATGACAACAGAACGATTGTACATAAACAAACTATGTTTTATACGTACGTACATAAAATTCGACAAAATACTTAACACGAAATAAATGTATGCACAAAATATTTTATGTACGCGTGTGTTACGTTGAATTTTGAATTAATTATTAATAAACGGATAATGTGTCGTTTCGTCGTTTTTTATTACTTGAATTGCTCGATCTTATTATTTATATTTTATTACGCGTTCTTCATAAATCATGTACAAATTAATTAATTTCAATCAGCAAAGATCTCTATACACGATATGAAAAAAATAACGTACAATTCATAGTTGCTGTCTTTTGCGTCATTTTCTATTTCAAATAATTATATTGATAAAAATACTTGCTTTACTATATAAATAATTTACTATATATTTACTATATAAATCATTTTAACATTAACCAATTAACTCCGCAGATTGACGATTTTTAATTAAGTTATCGATCGTAATAATGAATATTATTTACCTCTCGGTATTTATTGCTTTATTATATTTCTGGTCAATTTCGAAATAATACAATGATGTACACAGTACTTCGTACCTCTTCGCTCGAGCGTCGCCGCGCGAATGATAACAGACACGACTCTGCTGCGTAAACAAAGCCGGGAATCCCGGCGCCATGTATGCAAAAAGCGTATGTTGATGTCACGAAATATTTAACGTAAAAACACGAATTTATATTCTATTTTCTCTTGTATTAAATCTCTCTTGCATTAATTTTGATATTCCTAATTTTAATGCCTATTTTTAAAGGATAAAATTTATTTTTATGATACTTGAAAAATATATTATTTATATTTACTTTAATATTTATTCTTTTTTTTCTCTTTCTTAGATTTTTACGTCTTGTGTGAGAAAAGTAAAATTGTATTTTAATAAGTCGATAAAATTATGACATGTAATTAAATTTCCAAAAGAAAGTATATTTATATCGAATAATAAAAAGATTTTATTATTAAATTGGTTATTGAATTAAAATTACATAATATAAAACTTTTTCTATAAAAAGTTTTATAAAAAAAACATCTAAAAATGGGAAGATAGAATAATAAACAATAAATCCTTGTGGATTTATTTAACACATAGCTCTTGGAAAAAATCAATATCATTATTTTTATATCAAATATCATAATAAATATAATTTGAGATTATAATAAATAGATGTTGACTATTATTATTAATATTTTCGCGATTTTTAGTAATCCTCATCTTGAGAAAGAGAAAAAAGAACATGCTTTTTAATAAAATTCTTTAACAGGTATTCCAGAGTTAGATTTACCTTCAATCGAACCACTTGTGATTCCCGAATTAAAGATAGAAAATGGTCAAGGCCCGGTGCGCATTAGAGCATTCTTTACTAACATTACTGCAATAGGACCAGGAAACTATAGCATCAACAAAGTACGAGTGAATATATCATCATATAGGATCGATCTTTATCTATCATTGCCTAAAATTGAAGTTCAAGGAAACTATGATATCAATGGAAACGTACTCCTTTTCCCCATACAAAGTCACGGCAATTTTTGGGCATTATTCGGTAAGTGTGTGAAAAATATAATGAAAAAACACAATAATTTTATAATTTTTAAAAATAAAAATATTGTAGGATATCGTTTCCTCATAATATAATTATTATATATTATTATACATTATTATATATATTATTATATATTATAATAAATATATATGTTAGCTTTTCTTCTTCTTGTTTTATTTTAGGTAATGTAGAGGCAATCGCTCGTATACAAGGTGTTGAAGAAGTGAGAGAGGGAATTCGCTATATGCAGATTTCTCGATTGCTGGTCGATTTCAATCTCGCTCGAGTCAGATTTCGCATAATGGATCATCTAAACGGTAACAACGTGATCGGACAAGCAATGAATCAATTTCTAAATCAAAATTCCAAAGAGATAATCGAAGAAATGAGACCGGCGGCTAGTGCTAGTATTGCTAAACATTTTAAAGAATTTTTAAATAGCGCTTTCGGCAAACTACCCCTGAAAGTCTGGATGCATGATACGTAATAGTTTACGCTTTTCACAATAGCGTACTAAATTCACACACTATAGACTTTATAGAAAAATTCATGTAACATTAATTTCTTTAGATTAACAAGGTCTAAAAGTACAAATCAGATTGCCATCATTTTAATGTTCAGTATTAACATTTTTTTTCAAATCGTTTTTGTGATAGACCTCGTATTTCGAATTTACAAAATGTATACATATAAATGTAAATAATAATGATGAAATATGTTATATTTAAAGCAATTTAAAAAAATACAATTAAATCGATTGTCATTTTATGACATTAAAATTAAGTTTCATTAGTAAATTAATTAATAAAATCATATACGTATACATATATATATAATACGTAATTTTTGCAGACTTTTATTAGTTATACTAAACATTTAATTTGTAAATCGTGTGTGGATTATAGCATTACCATTTATATCAGACACGTATATTTCATACAAATAATTATTACATATAAAAATTATTTTTCACAACAAGATTGATAAATATATGTCTACCTCGAAATAAAGAATTTTAATCAAAACACTTATGGCGTTTCTATTTATTATTTTTATTAGGGTAAAATTATTTCTAAATAGCTCAGAGGATCATTAAATTAATCTTTAGGTAATAATGGAAGAAACTTACACAATTAGTAGTAAAAAATTTCTTAAAAATCTCTTACTTTAATCTAGATTTCTTCAAAATTTTTTAGTTTTTTAATTACCTTCATTTATTAATTATTTATCTAATTGTAAAATATTTAAAATAAGTATCAAAAATTAGAAGAACATTTATTAATTAATATCATTAATTATTCATTTATTTTGCATATGGGAAAAATTTTTGTTAAATTTGAATTTTTTAAATCTAAGAAATACTTCATTTTTTTAAATTTTATTAACTAAGATGAATAGTTGTATATTTTGCATACAATAAATTACATTTTACGAAAGTAATGTAGCTTAAAAATTATATATTCTTTGCTTAAAATATTTAATTTGTAATCTGCATTTTTTTATTCGTCATTAATTATTGAATTATCATATATAACATGTCATATCCCGAAAAATTTTGTTCTACAAAGAGCATTTTACATTTTTCAGAAATATAATTTTTTTTAAATATAATATAATTCTTAAATAATATATCATTGAAGAAGAAAAGGGTGACATGGAGAAGCAAATAATTAAAAACATAGATAAACGAAGTACTGCGAACGGGGTTAAATCGGCTCCAACTTGCCGGCCACTCATAAACTTTTTATAACACGCGTGAAACATGACAGCGTATTGGCCGATAATGAATTAGAATCGTGGTAAGACCGTATCATTTGACCTCCGATCCTCTCTTCTCGATTTTTTTAAAGTTCTTAAAAGTGGCAACGATGCTTGATCACGCACGCGCGCATATCGGAAGAGACAAAACGGGCCATATTGTGTGTATATCCCAAGTAAATGTGTTTATTCTTCGTAAGCGTAAAGTCAGTCGTTTCGTGATCGTTTTTGATGTAAATATACGAATTCCCGTTGCCGGTTTTCTTCGTTGAGGAATCGACTAAGTGCTGTATCTAGGAAGATACAAGGAGTGCGTGAATCAGAATGGTCCAGTTCACTAAGAGACAATGGCTCACCCTAATTGTCATTAGCATTGCTGATTTTGCAAATGCCATCTGCGTTTCACTGCAAGCACCTTTCTATCCTCAAGAGGTAAGGATAGTAATCGTCGTAGATTCTCTATATGGGAACAATTTTTCCGAATAACTGCATTTGTAGACGAAAAAAAAAAAGAAACCGATGAATGATCTTGCTATTTAATTTTTTACTTTTCTAAAAATGCGGTACCAAATAAAAGTTTTCTATCTTTAAAGTATCTTTAGAATTTCAAATGATAATATTGTTTACAGACTCCTCATTTCTATAGACATAACATGATAATGCTCTATTTATAGTATCGTTGATATATTATGTGTCAATTTGGTGATATAATTATAAAAAATCTATTTATAAGTTATTAGAAATAAAAGAAAGATTTTAGCAGATTTAAATTCTTACGGATATAAATCTCAAACACGGAAATCTTAAACTATGATGAGATATTTACAAATCTCTAGTTCTATGATTGTTTTCGATTTAGAATAAATCATCAGAAATAGAACATTTAAATATTTCCATTGAAAATATGAAAATATAGAATGTATTGTAATGTGTGTGCAGAGAGAACACAATTTAAATTCATTAAGTTTCAGAGACAAATTTCGGAATTAAGGAAGACAAATATAATAAATATATTTGTTTTCTCTTAAACTCTTGTTTTCAATATTATTAAATTTACTGATATCTTTGTCACATTTCGTTAGCATGTTTATTTTTGTTGGATATTAAAATTGATTTTAAAACGAGTTTTTAGTACGCATTATAATATTGAAATAACTTTTTATAAACTCAAAAATTTAAAAAATTAAAAGATAAAACTCTGCAAGATATAAAATTATTTTATTAATTATTTTTATAGTAAACATTTATAGTCTTTCTCCTTTCATATCGCAACGAGATGCCATTATTGAATAAGATGATAAGGAGATCAGTTACCCGCGTTACTCGTTTTCGATTTTTTCATAATCGATGTGTTGCTTGAGATTAATCTGTTAGTCTCGTACACATTGTCAGATTATACATGATCACTTCTAACTCAAAATAATATATTTCGATGAGATTCTTTTTGGCTATTGTCAATTTTAATGTTATTTATTACTTATTTTTTTATATTTTTTATATTTTTATATATTTTATGTATTTTTACGGCAAGCGGAGCCATTCATGCCTAGTTATTAATAACTGTCTTCAATATAATCAGTTGTTCTGCGTTAGTAGAACAGAAAAGTGATATGTTCTATCATTTTATACCATATGAATAATAATGCTTCGGTATTTATCTTAAATAGCATATTTAACCGCAAAAGAAATTGAAATTTTCATCACTTTTATATTTATTACATTCACTATTTTCAATTTCTATTGTACTACTTTATCTTTCATCATGTTCCTCAACATTTTCAACTTGTTATATTCTCTTTATCTTTGTTAAATTTAAAAAATTAAATTACATTAAAAGATTATTGTAAATAAAATTTATGTGATATTACAAATTTACATAAAATTATTTATCAATTTATTGAATCTTTCTGAAGAAAAAAAATTGATTAAAATATTATATTTGATAAAATCAAAAACGAAACTTTTCAAAAAAGTATGATTTGTTTCATTTTTTATAAAATAATATTATCTAGAGTTTCTGCAAATTTTTCTTATATTATCTTTTTCTTTTAATTTTTTGTCTCAATTATTTTATTACATGCACAAAACATCACTGTCATAAGATTAAAACTACGAAAATTACGATATTTTATTGAAGTTTTTATGCATGATCACATATGCGTTATATATATATATATATATATATATATATATATATATATGTGAAGTTAACATATTATTTTTATAATGTATTACAAATTGTAAATATAAATCGTATATATAAAGACATTGAAAACTCAGTTTTTCATATAATTTTTAAGAATAAACTTAAGGGTAAAAATTAAAATAATTATTATTAGCAAAAATTAATAATAAAACTTATAACATAAACAAATAATAATAATGTTCACATTGATGAAAGATATAAAACGCACAATCAGGATTTATGTTGATAATTTTTATTAACCCCGAGTAATTAACTGGTTGTAGTTCATATAAAACATATCTATCTTAATTTGTTTCTTTGCAGAAACGCATTATGATATGATTAAAAGATATTATAATGTCAAATTGTAATATTGCTGATAATTTGGAGATATTAACGATAATTAAGAATGAATAAAAAAAACGCATATAACGTAAATAGTTTATAACAGCATATCAGAGAATATTACAATTAATTTCAAACTTTTCATGCAATAAATACATTTTCAGAATAAATTAAATAAACTTTGCAAATTCCCTTGCAATACATTTGATAAAAAAATCTTAATTTTTTCTAGTTTATTTATAAAAATAAAATTATAATGTGCAATTGAAAAATATGATAAATGCAAGGTATTACTTTGTAATTTAACTTATCTTATTGCAAACTACTATATTAATTAATCAAACTATTATATTAATTATTTTAATATTGACACAAACTAAGTTTTATTTAAACTGTTTAAACTACTTGAAATGTTAATAGATATATAAAGGAAGACTTTTTTTATAGTTTAATTAATTTAATGTGAAATTTTTCTTTGGGTCACAAAAGAGGAAATTTTTATCAATATTGATAATAAAATATTTTACATCACTTTTTTATTTTGTATAAGGAAATATGAATATATATTGGAAAAAATAATACATATATATATATATATATATCATTTTTTCCAATATATAAATATATATATATATATATATATATATATTATTTTTTCCAATATATAAATATATATATATATATATATATATATATATATATTTACTCTTATGTCACTGTAATGTATATCGCATGATAAGAATTTTTTTCTTTTATTTCTTATGTCTTTCAGGATCAAAGTCTTTCCATCTATTCAAATCAATTTTCGATTTTTATGTTAGAAATACATATCACATGATACATCACATAATTTTTCAGTTATTTTACGTATGTTATGGACAAAATACGTGTTCAAGGGCGTTTTTATCTATCGCAGGAGGCCAAACGTACGATTTGTAGTCTTGCCGCATGGAGCAAAGCTACAAAGTTTATCGGGATATTATCTCGACGAATATTAATTGCAATACGACAAGAGATAACCGACAAAGCTACTGCGTAGCTCGAAGCTGTATCTTTGCCAATATTTCGTTAACAAATTAATACGTATGTAGCATATATGTATATAAATGTAAATGTTCATTAGCGTGAATATTTCTTCTTCACAGGCTGAAAAGAAAGGAGCCTCACCTTCGGAATATGGCTTGGTCTTCGGAATTTTCGAACTGGTGGTCTTCATCATTAGTCCATTTTATGGACAGCACGTGAGTTTCTGACATAATTATTATAATTAGTATAATGATTATAAAGGGATGGCGCAATTTTAAAATATTTTATTATATTTTCAAAAAAGTGTCAAAATGCGTTATTATTTTATTAATTTATAAAGCCATATATAATAAAATTCTTCCAACCATAATTTAAAGATGCATTTTTTTGTTAATATTTCTGCGGTATCATAAATCAATTTATCTTATCTATTTGCATCTTAAGTATTTAATCTAAGAAAAAATATATCTATTAGATAATATAAATAAAATATTAAATAAATAGAATAATCAAAGAAATGATGAAAATATATCATTTAAGGATAATTTTACAAATATATTTATTATATTATGAAGAATAATACACAATATTTTTATTGTTATATAAAATTTAAAGCTTATAATGTGAGCCTATGTAATTAGAATTCAAAAATTAGAATTCAAATGCAAAGTGTTGAGGTTTGCCACTTACATTATTATTAAATTATTATTGCATGTAATTTATTATAAATTAACAGTTAAGATCTTATGCTTTCGCCTCTACGACAATAATTTAATTAACGAGTCACATTTATTGTTTTTTGCAGCTTAATCGAATCGGCCCGAAGTTTTTATTCAATGGTGGTATCTTGACTACAGGAACCTGTGCCATATTCTTCGGTTTATTGGATAAAGTCAACGGTCATTATCCCTTCATAATACTATCTTTTATGATCAGAATTGTGGAGGCATTGGGAAATGCTGCATTCCTGACAGCTAGCTTCGCCATTATTGCCAAAGAGTTTCCAGACAATGTCGCCACGACATTTGCCAGTTTAGAAACTTTTTTCGGTTTGGGTCTCATGGTTGGTCCCACCGTGGGAGGTGCACTTTACCAAGTAATGTATTCTCAGGATAACATTCTCTGCAAATTCTTCTATTTAACGCTTTAAACGCAAATATCTATATTTTGCTTAGATTTACAAAGTGATATATTCTAGAAATATTAATTATATATTAGATATTATTAATATATTAATGATTATTAATATATATATATATATATATATATATATATATATATATTAGGTTGGTGGATATACCACTCCATTTGTGATCCTTGGATCAGCGTTATTCTTGGCAGCTGTCAGTACTGCATTCATTCTACCTATGCACAACGATAGTGATCGAGATCAGAGCAATACCGGAGGTATTATACGAATAAATATTTAAGACTATAAATTCTAAATCTCCCTCTCTCTTTTAAAATATATATATATATTATTCGTGTTATGATTTACAGGAGTGACAAAGGTCTTGAAAATTCCTGGCGTGATGATTGCCTCTATGTCAATAATTGCAACAAGCATGAGTATCGGATTTTTGCAAGCAACTTTGGAACCGCATCTGAGGCAATTTAAATTGAGTCCGGTCGTATTAGGATTGATGTTTGTCATTAACGGTGGCACATATGCAATAACTGCGCCGGCCTGGGGTTGGCTTTGCGATAAATATTGGCATCCAAAGGTAATTTTATAAGAAAGATAATTTTATATTAAAGAGAGAGCACTCTCGTCACAATAATTATTATATTTATAGAAATTTAGCTTTGAATTAAACATTTACAATTTTTTTTTGAATGCAAGGACTTAGATGCTTCAACATTGTGTATTAAAATATAATGTTTTTTCAGATGGCAACCATTGCCGGTTGCATTCTCGTAATAATCAGTTTCTCTTTGGTTGGTCCGGCACCGTTTATTCCGTGGCCTACCGTAATCTGGATGCCTATCTGCGGCCTCGTGATCCACGGCTTGGGCATGGCTGCTCAACTGGTTGCGAGCTTCACGGATGCCTTGCGGACATCTATGTAAGTTCCATAAGAATAGCTTTGGATATTCGATCATTTCAATTATTTCTACACTACGAAATGTGCGATCTTTTATTTACGGATGGTCCAAGAGCTGTATATATTGTTAAAACTAAAGAAATTATAATTTTTAACAATATTATTTATTTATGACACAAGATCGTACGGATTTCCAAACAATCTTGAGACTTATGGTCTCATCAGTGGATTATGGACAAGTACTTTCGCCCTTGGTGCTTTCATCGGCCCTAGCATTGCTGGAATTCTTTTGGATAATGTCGGTTTCAGAAACGGGTCCATGTTTATCGTGATACTTCATATGCTAGTAGTACGTATGATCCACTTTATATTATTCGATACATGTGAGATATCTATCATAATTTTTTACATTTATTTTCTATAGCTAAATAATTTCAAATCTAAGTCGTCCAGAAAAAAAACATCACAATCTTACAATTTATATTCCTAGTTGACGTATTAAGTAAACTGTTGTAATTGCAAAATTAACTTTTTTTGTTAAATTTTTTTTCCGACAATAATGATATGAAATTAAATTATAAAATTAATATATATGGACATATTTTATTTTTAATATTTAAGCTATCAGGAATCAATAATCTATTTCACGTCACCGTATGCATATTACTTTGCATAAACTTTGAATTAGAAATATATATTTTCCTTCTATATTTCATCAAATATTCCAAATTCGATCTAATCGCAACTTGTGCATCTTTTCCAGGGCGCGATAGCCACAGTATTCCTAAGCAGCTGCTCTCGCTCACCCAAGCCATACACCGACGTTGGCACAGTCGAGAATCTCAGAGCACCTTTGATGGATAGCGTCCGATCGGGCAGCGGCAGTTTGCAGCAAAATGGACGGGGTCAGAGTGTGCCGATCGATAGGCCCAACGGCATGAATTCGCTCATCGTGTGCAACAGTTATTCGAACAGAGCGGGAGCGTGGTCTAGAGCGTCGTACAGTGGCCGCTATTCCCATAGCTATGGATCTATAGAAAATAAGAGATACCTGGAGTTCGCCACGTGATCCCGTTCGATCACCTTTATACGAAACAATAACAACAACATGAGCAGAATATTACTTTTGCGTCCATCGTTCACTCTTTGACCATCATTCAAACAGTCTCAGTTTCCGCGACGTATGATTCAATCAAAAAACGCGAGAAATATTTCAGAGACATTTTGTTTTCAGAAAGTATATAGACCAAAAATCAATGTCTCATTATTAATTTTTTTATTTTAATAATTCGTATATGAAATTACATAATAATACTCATCATGATGGTAATATATACATATATTATAAATATATCACGACAGATATTATATTGTGCGTATAATTTCAAAAATTAAAATATATGTATATAAATACAATAGACACAATACTGTACCATAAATAGTATTGTAAATCTTTCTTCTATATAATAAGCTTGCTTTAACGATAATAGAGAGAAAGGGAGGAAGAAAAATGAAGAAACAAAGAGCGTTGCCGAATTTTTATCATAAGTAGAAATCAATTGTTACAATTAAATAATTTTTATTATGATCAAAAACTAAATAAAATTTATTATGAGAAAAAATTGTGTGTTAACTTTGGAATATTCTTGAACTCATTAACTCTTAAGTACACGAGTTTCTTTTTATTGCTTCTTATATATGCGATCATAAATTTTTAATCTTTCGTACCTTCGGCTTTCCCAAAAGAGATGTGTTCCATTTGAAGACAATTTTATAGGTTTTTGGAAGTGCTAGTTTTTGGAGGTGATTCCAAATTTATCATCAAAATTTAAATTCAAAATGGATTCAAAATTCAGATTCAAGATGGACTAGTGACTATGATAAGCTTAAATATCAATATATTTAAAATGAGCTTAGATTTTATTTTTTTAAATATATATTATGTTTTCTTTTTGAATATACACACACACGTTCGACTCGTAGCGTTGTTATATATACACTTTTTTGCAAGCCACGTATCTGTCGCAAGACTTGGATGCCCGTTGCACGCGTCGTCTTACTTCACGAACACTTTAATTACACATATAAATTATTATAATATTTATATAAAAGTGTAATCACATAAATAAAACTTAAAGTTTATAATTAGCGCATAATTCTATGATTTTTCGATATAATATATATGATTATTCGTCATTCTCTAAAAGTTTGATTTTTTTACAAAGTTTAGATAATTATATTTTATTGTAATCATTTCAAAGTACGCGATTTTTTTACATGTCACCTTTTACATGTAAACCTCTGTTTGAACCTTCTTTTCTAAAACAAGTCGAACTAAAAGTCGATAAGATTATTTGTTTAAAATTTATGATTTTTTTTATAGGTGGGGCATATATGTATGTACCGGAGGTACGAAAGGGTTAAAATAAAATTTTAAAATACAAAAAAATTACAAAAATATTTTCCATTAATAGCAATTAGATATGCTCGAGATAAGAGATAATTTTACATTGATATGCATAAATCGCGTGATTTTTCAGTGCATTCAGTGTATAATTAATAAAGACTGTTAATTTTTAAGATTAAATAATATTTTAAAACTAAAATGCAAAAATAAAAATAAAAGTAGTTAAATTTTAAAAGCAACACAGTTCCTTCTCTGTCTCGCAGAGAGATTATCTGCTTTTAATATTTGAGAATTATGAATCACTCCGTGCATTTACACGTGCTGAGTTCACAGAAGGCGAGTCTTTTTTTACATTGTTATACATACATAGACAGGAGCGAGGAAAGACAGTCGTGCATACATTGTTAAAGAATTCGTGCACGTGCGTGGGCGTGTCATGCATGCATGAACAGCTTGGAATTCAAATTAAATACGAGAAGAAATGACATTTGGAAATTTGACGCGGTCGTTAAAGGCAACGAGAATCGCATGAAAGTAAATTTTACTAAAGAAAGAGAAGGGATATGTATTAGTTGATAATACAATAATGCGAAAATAAAATATATGAAAAAAAATATTATTACTGACAGGCGATTAATATTTACATTAAAATATCTAAAAATTAATTTAATTATTTTTAGCTACGATAAAAGAAATATAAATAGAAGTATTTATTGACGAAATTTTTTGACTGAAAATTATTTCTTAAATGAAACTAAAACAATTAAAAATATGTCTGTGTAATTGCAGTATTTAATCTACTAATACGTTGTTTTTTTGTCTTCTTTCCTATTGAGCAGGTATTTTTTGCCGTGCAAACAATTTTTTTCTATCCGATTATTACAATATACAAGTTCAATTATGATTGACAAAAATATTGCAATTATCTCGTTATTTCAATAAAAATTATTATATTTATATATGTATACATATATTAAAATTATACAATTAAAATTATAATTTGCTAAAATTATATATATATATATATATATATATATATATATATATATAAAATACATTTATAATATTATTAAAATAACATAATAAAATTATAACATTGTTAAGTTTGTATAATACATAATACATAATACATAATATAAATTGTGATAATTTTAATTAAAGGTAAAGGATGTAATAATTTTTTTTAAATTAAAGTCACCGAATTTATTAAAATATGAGTAATTTGTTTTATGCACAAAACAAATGTTATATTTTTTCCTTCAAAGAAACAAGCTAAGAAATGACGCTTTGTTAAGTACGAGCGGAAGGAAGCAGTGAAAAAGACTAAAGAAAAAAAGAGAGAAAGAGAGAGAGAGAGAGAGAAAGAAATTCGAAGAATTTGAAAATCTTCTTTCCTTCTTCAAACATAGCCGAGCACGAAAGCGAAGTAGAAGAATGAAAGGAAGACGAGAGAATGATTAACGTATACGGCGTTGTTCACCGGTGTGCATCGAAGTGTCTGTCGAAGCACTAGCTTCCCTTTCCCTCCTCTCATCCCTTTTCTCCAACGATTCCTAACAACGAGATATAAGGTGTTACGTCGCGAATTCTTACGGATCTTTTTGTCCTGACCGCTTGAATGGAAGAACTTCGATGTCAGAAGGAACAACAGTCGGGGCCAACGCGAGCAATTAGTGAATTTACGTAATAAATGTTCCTATTTAACGTAATTGAAAGAGAATTATATTTGAGATTTATCCTTTCTTAAATTTATAATTAATTCTTTGATTGAAAAAATCTTATATACATGTTAGAGATTAAAAATTCTATAGCAAATTTTTAGATTAAATAATCAATTAAAACGTTTCATTGTTGTAAAATTTATATCAGTATTTTATCGCTTTATATTATGATATGAAAATAATAAGTCTAAGTAATATCTAATAATTATATTGTATTTTCATTTCATTGATATGTGACCAAAAATTTTAAAAATTAATTCGCTCATGTGCAAATTGAGTGTGTCATTTTTCTCATATTTAATAATTAATCTTATTTAATGAAAAAATTGCAATCCCGATCGATTTTGCGTTTATTTCTAAAATATTAATTGTTTCATGACAGACTACAAATAAATTCAATTTAAATTTAATAAAATCTAAATATATCCCTTTGAAATAAGGATGTTAAATAACTTTTTACTAATTTACTAATGTCTTCATTCTTTTTAAAAAACTTACTAAAACAATAAGTGTCTATTCGAAAATTTATTTATTATATCTTAGAAAATTTTAGAAAAAAAGATCAGAATATGAATTATTCTTCTAAATTAAACAGATTATAAATAAACGTCGATATCAGCTCTCATGCGGGTAGATAAGCAGGTACCAGTACACCTTGCTCCAGACTTCTCTCATTCCATCAGGTGCACCTATCGAGCGAGGTGCTGCCACCTAAACAGGTACACCCGCAGGTATAAAGGTAGGCACATACACAAATGCACAACGCACACATACAATAACAACTCGCGGAAAGAAGCGTATGCATAGAAAGAGGGTTGTCGGTCGTTCCTTCCACCTCTCCCTTTTATTAACCGGTAGAAGGGGCTCTGATGCGCAGGCGCAAAGACCCATGAGTCCTTTGCACCGAGAGGAACGGTCGGGGCCGGAGTGCGGAGACCCAAAGTCCGTTTCTATCGTAAGGGAAGGACGTGCTGGTCTTACCAGCGTCTTTGAGTTATACGTAATTTTTCGCCCTTTCTTTTTATAGGCCGGTCTTTCTCGTGAGTTCTCGTTCCAATTTTTCACTTTTTGTTTTCTTTTCGTCACAGTTTGATCGCGAGTGAAACGTGTGGAAATTTTGAAATTTCGACAAACGCATAAATTACCAGTGACGAGAGAGATTACTCGTATTTACCGGTATATACTGTGCCATGGGGATTTAGGAGCGGTCAGGGTAAGTTACACGAAAAAGATTTTCCTCTACATCTTAAGGAGCATATATATAATACATAATTTCTAACAATTAATTAATTTAATTTTTTTTCAAAAGAATATTCAAAAGAATATTTTATTCAAGCTAAAATATATTTTGTTTTAAATGACAGAAAGAGGAAAATAATAAATAAATTTTATTTCAAATTATTGTTTCTTTTTCTTAATATGTTCCTCAGGACTAAGAAAATTATATTATTTATCTTAATAATATTATACTTATTATTGAATAAATACAAAATTGAAAAAAAAATATAAAAAATATTTGATTTATCTCTCCTTCAAGAGAAATTTTATGTACTATATGAGATTGTGAGAATTAATTCTCCCTTTTACAATCGCAAACTAAGTAGTACAAATTTAAATTGCATAATAAAAATTTTAATAATTATAAACTCATAATTTGACTTAGCTATGGCATTTTTATGATATACGTCTGTCGATGCCATTCACTTTTTATGGAGAGTGAAGTGACGAAATAGGATGTCGAAAGACGAGTGTGCTAAAATGTTAGCTATTATTGATTTATGTAATGATTTATAGAAAATATTTGTATAAAATTTTTGCGAAATTTATTTAAATCTTTTAGATATTTTTATTTAAGGCAACATTGCGCTTGTCTTCATTTATTAATTATCTAAAGTTAACCGCAAGAACATAATAATTTTCGCGTAATTGCCATCCTATGTAAGTCTGCGAAATAACATTTATATTAATATTCCCGGGACACGCGAAAGCGCAGCGCGATTCCTGACTTATAACAGAGATAGATAACCAAGCGGAGCACTGACCGGTGATTTGAATGCGCACAACAGCGCGAGAGCTTACGATTCATAAACGTTCTTTATCTGCTACCCAGTAGCAGAAATACGATATATACATACGATCATAAGCATCGCCATAATTCTTAGATATGTTCGATTTACGATGTTTATACGTACCACCACATTTACAATCAATAATAATCCGTCCTGATTTTTCTATTCACTTAATGCATTAATTATTTTTATTCTGATTTCTATGCATAAAATTATTTTTTTTAAAAAAATGTATTTATTTTGTTGTGCTAAAAATCAGATTAATCGCGAGAAAATGCTGTCTTGAAAATAAAAGAAGATATTTATTAGTTTGTTTTTTTAAGAAAAGTCTAAATAATAATATCAAGGTACGAGTTGTTCGATACAAATATTTCGATATTTTGATATTTGTATATAAATTTTATATTATATATTATAATTAAAATGTTTTAAATTTTAGTTATTTATAATTATTTAAAAATATATACATAAACAAATAGTATTTACTGAGATTTGTTAATATCATCATAAAATCATGAGATGTTTCGTTGCAAAAACAGAAATCACATTGTCCAATAAACTTTTATATATATGCATTTTATGCTGTATATGCAAATTTAATTTCTCGTGATAGAAGTGTTAGATTAATAAAATTTAAAGGGATATAATAAAATAATAATATAATACATGAACGCCACTCACAGGAAAGCGACCGTCTAAAAATAAAATGCTCTACAGTAACAAAGTTTATAAAACATTTTATTTGCAAACTATATCCAAATGTATTTAAATTATATAGAGAGTAATGTCCAAAATAATTAATATTTCAAAAAATGATTATTGAGCAAAATTAAATTTTCATTGGCTTTTTTTAAATAGATTTTAAATAGAAATAACAGAAAGAAAGAAAGTTTCAGCTATAAATTTTTATATCAAAAACATAAAAAATAGAAATCATATTCTTATAAATTTCACAAAAACCATAAATAATAAATAAACAATATTATAAATTGTTTAGCGTTTAGCTCATTATGGCCCCGCCATCGTCTAATACTTCTTTAGACTTCCTCTTCCTATTTCTTTTTTGTGTATTCTTTGCTGCTCCTTCATGGTATTCACACGATTTGCAAAAACATGATTAATTAATATGATGTGCATTAATTATCAAAATACCCATAATACTTTACTTAAGTCTCCAAACATTGAAAGCATATACGTGCATTTTATTTCACATTGCGTCGGGAAAATTGCATTACAGTTGTGATTTATTATTAAAAAAATCGCGCAGCCAAATTTGCACATTACTATTCTTACAAACCTTAGTATACACATGCATTTTATTTGATCATTTAATAATTATTAATAATTATTAATCTCACGTGATTAATTAATTTTCACGATTAGTGTGCTTTAACTAGAATAATCACATAGTCACTGATTTATTGAAACGTGTGTATTTTACATGATTCATCCACTGAAAATCATTCTTCGTAAAGCTTATTCTTTCGATCAATGACGAGAGTGCTAAAATGCCGCACACATAGACTAATAATTAGTGCGCGTATGATGGTAATTATTTTGAATACCGTGTGAGTGCCAGGAGATGAAGACGCAGCAAAGAACAAACAGGAGAAGTGGAAACTTGGAAAGGCATAAGCGACGACCGAGTTGAGGTGAGTAATTTGTAATGTTAATTTATTACTTGTATTTGTGAAATTTATAAAAACTATAAATTTTTATTTCTTATATTTTATATAAAAATTTCCATCTAATAATTTTAAATATTTAATGAATAATTTTTTTGGTAAATAAACTTTTAATAAATATCTGTTTTTTTAAAGAAACGAATAAAATATATCAAACGTAAGAGATATAAATTTACAGCAATTAATCGTTTATTAATATAACGTATTATTTATATAAAATATAATACTTAAAGCATTTTTAATATTAATCGAATGAAATTATTTAATTATTCTGTGCATGATTTGCAATCGGTAGATAGTTAAGATACTTGAAATTGTGATTCGAAGCATGTGCGAGAAGGGAAGATTAGGGCAAGCAGAGACGGATGAATGGACGCGCGAATGTACGTTAGGTACGTGTACATCGTCAGAGATCAAATCATGTTAGTCTAATGTTGGGAACGAATATGCTCGTACGTGGGTGGTTATATCTATCCTGAAATCTCTCAACTGCGCTCGAGGATATCCCGACTCTTTGCACCATGAAAGGATTCCTGCAGGAATTTAATATCTCACGAATAAGAGAGGAGAAATAAATAAATAAATAAAATACACATATATATATATATATATATATATATATATATATATATATTATAAATCTCGCGTTATTAATTGAGAATAATAAAAAATTATTCTGTCACGAAATTATTAATTTATTTGTCGACAAGAAATTAATGTGGTTCGAAACTTCTCTTTCATGAAAAATTTAACATTTAAAATTTTTAAAAATCTATCGTTAAAATTAAACAGTTGGAAATGCTGAAAACGCCTGTAAAGATGCGCTTCATTAAAGCTTCATATTAAAGCAACAATATATTATTTTAATATCACAATGTGATGTCACCAAGGGGTAATCTATTAACGCGAAGAATTCGAGTAATCTTTCACCTTTTTCTCTTCCTTTTCCTTGTCACTTCTACAATCTACTTAAACAGGACACGAAGAATAAGCGTCATACTGATCGACGATCGTGCGAACTGCGGGCGCGCGATTAATCTCCATTTCGCGCAATTTCTTATATAGTGGCCCATTATCTCTCCCAGGTATCAAAATGCAAAGTGAGCGAGGAGACGGAATTAATCACTCGATAATAGCACACGAAGTAGAATTCGAGGTTCCCCGCATCGAGAGATGCGGCGAGACGCAAAGGCCTGAGTGCACAAAGTGAGCCACGGGTCGATCGCTTTTCACATGTACATATTTTACATATGGTCTCTGTCTGGTTACAAGCCTCGCGATCGACCACGGAGAGAGAGATTTGGAAAGAGCTCCTCTTGAAAGAACCTCTCTGTATTTGTACAGGATTTGTATGCACTTGTGCGCGTGTATGTATTGCGTATGCATATGAAGCGACAGAATGTGCGTCGTCACACGAAATGTAGTCGAACCGGCCTGCAAACGATGCATCCCGGAGCCGTGCCCCGGAACTCCACGGACGCCGGCCGGGCCCTGACGAATTTTTTCCTCCCTTTCTCGAGTTCGTGTTACGGTTGTAAAGCGCACGCCGCGGTAAAAGTTTTATGCCTACCTCGGCAGTTATGGATACGCGGGCTTTCTTCGCAGTCGAAAGTAGTGAGCGTTTTTTTCCGGCACGACTTGGCGCATTATTAATATCTAATTATGCGAAATGAAATTGTCGGGTTTGACTCTCTAGGAAACGAGATCGAATGTGCGGACGTGAGATAAATGATGTAATTAAATGTGTCCGTGGCAAGGTCGAATGACAGGTAGAACTTAGTTAAATATCCTTTAGATTAACAAAAACATCGAGATCTTACAGAGAAATTGAAATTCCATAATTATATAAAAATATAATTATATAATTATATAAAAATTTTTTATTTAAATTATCTGTGAAAGAGAGAGAAGAATCATACTAGTCTACTTTAGAATTTTCTTCTATAAATGAAATATGATAATTATAATGCGTTAGTCATACACTTAACCTTGTGTATTTATAAATCAATAAAAGATAGAAAACATAAATTATTTGATTGAAATAAATCATTACATAAATTAATCAACTTTAATCCTTAGACAACGGACGTAATAATGACACTGAATCGATTTTCCTTCTCCCTATAAAAAAATTTCATTTATTTTTGCAGAATAAAATTTTGTAATGGATTTTAATTTTATATATATATTTATAAAATATTCTTAAATAAAAAATTATAATAATTAAATAAAATCATTAAATTATTTTATTACTAAGACAACATTAACAAATTAAATATTATATATTATAATTAAAAGAAATCCAAGATAAAAATTATTGATATTTCTGTATAATGGTAGATAAATATAATATATGAAATATTTATTTCGATTATCATACCAGTTTTATAAAACATTCTTAAGATATGGGTCATGAGTGAAGCGACTGCCGGCGGTGGTTAAACATGTGCATCGCGATG